ATCTGCTCTAGTTAAGGATTAGGCTTCGAGATTAACCGGATTATAAAGAATAATATCTTTCTTCTTTTATATTAGCAGAGGACCGACTACTAGAAGGAGGATATTATCTGCTCTAGTTAAGAGTCAGGCTCCGAGGTTAACTAGATTATAGAGGACGTTATGCTTCTAGTTAAGCTCTCTAGTTCTTTATAGTTCGAGAAGGTTATTAAATATTAAAAGCGGTATTCTGTCTTTGCTTTCTAAGAACAAATACGGGTCCTTTGCTAGTAGTATTATATTACCTCTATAGGCCGAGTCAAATAAGCTTAGTATTATATAATAGCGGGATTAATATAATAGTTAAAGGCTCAAAGTTTAAAGAATCTCATATATTAGAAAATACTAAGCTATAGAACAAAGTAGGGAGAATACCTTGACCTTTAGTATTATTCCGTCTAAGTAATTCCGGCTTAGCTTCGTTTTGTGCCTGTTTCCGATATCCTGTCCTTGGCAGATCATGCCCTTATACTAGCCGTCACACAAGCCAGCTCGGAAGTATATATATATACTAGCTATATAAATCTCCTGTATTACTTTACTATATATTCGAATTCTAGAGGTATTAATATAAATTAATTTTTGAGCACATTATATATAGAGGTTTTCTGTTAGATGATTTGCCCCTAATAAATAATATATGTAGTACTTGGACAGACTTTAATGGTAGAGCCAGGGGCTTGATGTGCACTTACACTTGACGATGCTCGATAATTAGAACTCTTTACGGAGCGCGGGCTCTGGAAGAATATTATCTCAAAGGACACCGGCAGGATTCGATTTATAGGAACACTGGGCCTTCCATTTGCGCAATCCGATTAATGGCCAGCTTGAAGCACACTGTCCCTAAGCTCGCTCGCGAATTACCCGTTGACAGCTTGTCACCTGGGAAACCGCAACCAGGAAGAGCGATTGCAATGGAATCCACAAGACACAGCAAGAGCAGGTATTCCTTCCAAGGTTGACGAGCTTGAAGAAGCGAGGCTAACGATGTACCTTAGCACCGAGAGGAGGAGAAAGCAAATGATTGCGTTGGTGAAGCAACGACCCGCAAAGCCACCGCACGGCACGTTGACGAGTACCCAGAACATGGAAGAAAAGGGCAAGACAATATAATTTGATATGAGGAGGAACACATAAATTTGACAACTTCTGGATAGGGGCGTTGCTAAGATGGGAGGAGGATTTTCTATTGAAAGAGGTACGCCAGTGGCAGGAGACAGAACAAGATCGGCAGGAGGGTAATTTTAGGTTTACTTCGGCTATATGTACTGGGAGTATGCATGGATCGACCGCTATTGCTTTTGCTTCTGACTGGGAATGCCAGTACGTAGTCCTTGTGGTGACTATGGGGTTGAGACCAATTTTAGCGAAAAAGAGGTAGAATAAGAAGAAGACAGCCCAGCAATACAATCGTTATCGAAAACACTCACAGTTAGAGTTTCACCCTCGCCTTCTAATTTCTTAGCATGTTTGCTTTAGTCTTGCACATTAAGTTATAGTTGCGGGTTCAATTTTGTTAGACTGTTTAGTTACTAATCAATCCCCCCATCACATTTCGCCATTAAAATCTTACACGAAGAAACCCCTTCAGCCGCTTGGCGAACCCTTGATGATTACTGGTCTTTGGTCACGTCATGGTGAAGCAACTCCAGCATCTCCGAGCTTCTAGTCCCAAATAAAACAAAGTTATAGAGCGTAACTATCCGCCAGGGAACAGATGTGAGGTTTGATTCTTGATTTGCAATTCTTGGCATATGAGAGATCCTTCCGCCGAACTCGACCACTGAGGTCCCCCTTTCCTTCCCATTTTAGCCCTTACTTTCCAAGTTAGTGTATGCAGCCCAGGCGACAACCCACTCAACCTCGCATTTGTTTCATATTCCGAGTGCTCACACCAAATAAGAAGAATATTCACTATATCGACAGCTTTTCTCTCGTCATCACGCGAGTTCAAACCAGCTGGAAGGCATCGCTACAGCTATAAAGTCTCAAAAGTTGTAGTCACAGGTGCCGCGTGCGGGAGTAACTGGTCTAGTTACTCTCAAAAATCTGCTCGAAGAAGACTTTAACACGACGGCGTTCGAGAGGAGAGATACGATTGGTGGCCTCTGGAAATACACCAGTGACAGAGAGGTTGTGTCTGTCTTGGAGACAACCGTGAGCAATAAAAGCAGGTTCAAATTTTCCTTTGCCGAAAGGATCTGCATCATTTCCAACTTCGGCTGAGGTATACAACTATCTGGAATCTTAAGCAAACAGATTCAATCTTCTGCCACACATCCATCTCCGAACGAAGAAACTAAGGGTAACTCGTAACCACGACGATACACAGTGGATCGTTCATTTATGAGAACGGAATAAGTTGAAGACCGCGCAAACCTTGATAAAGTCACCATTTGTAGTGGTGTGTGAAGAAGGCCGGAATGCCTTTGATTGAGGGTAGATGTTTATTCGAAAGAGAGGTCATTTGTCCCCATACATTCAGGACTCCGAGCAAACTTCAAGGGTAAGGCAGTCGCCGTACTGGGCATCGGTAGCAATGCAGCAGACATCGCAACAGCTCTTGTAGGGAATACAATTAGGGCTTACCTCTCTCACCGCGGTGGTGTCAATATTGTTGCTCTGCCCTCCATCTAGAATTTAAGTTAATGATGTGACATAGCTGCCTCGCAATATTGACGGCAAGCCGGGTGACCTCGCAACCAGCAGATACATAATCGGCTTGAAGTACACATTGAAAGCAATTTCACTAGAAATATCGGAGGAGTTTTTTGACATGATAATGCATCTCTCACAAAGAAGGCGTTCAAACTTCAACCCGAATGTTGCATACACCCTCCTAAATCGACCTTGTGTTACCAACCCATGGCAGCCGACACCTTGTTCTTTAATTTTGAAGATGAATCAATAACTTCCAGGCATAGTGTCCTGCAATTCTTTGGCGCAGGCACGATCAAATTCAACAATGTTTCGCAGCCGAGGTAGATGCCTTGATTTGTTGCATGAGCTACTGTCGAGACTTCTCCCTCCTACCGGAACTTACGACTACTGAGAAGAATGTCTGGAGTGAGAAACCAAACTCCGGCGGGCAACTCCTCTGAAGGTTCTACCAGAACATCTTTCCACCTTCACAGGGAGACTCAATAGCCTTCTTGAACAACTTTACCTATGGAATACAGATCTTGCCGTTATGTCTGTGGCACAGGTTTTGAAGGGAGCATTACACTTGCCATCAGTTGGGGAGATGAATCGGCAGTTCGATAAACATCAGGCTTGGCTGACAATACTCGCGGAGCGTGAGATGGTGGCCTCGGATTTTGTTTTAAGAGGAAAATTGGCTCCGTTGGTGCCACGACGCTGCTGGAACGGGGATCAATTAAAATTTTGGGTACGGGGCTGCTGGGTGGAGCTTTTGGGTGAAGGATACGAGGCTCTTCGGCTGTCGATGGGAGCGGAAGAAGTGGGATGGAGCTAGGGAAGCCATTATGAATGTGAATAAGGAGACTAACAGACTGTAGAGATTTTTTATATATCGATTCAAGAGAAATATAAAGAGCGGGCTGGCGTATCTTTGCTTTCGCTCTCGTCATGGTATGGCTATCCTCGCTAGCTGTCAGGGGTAAGTCGCTTAATTTCAATTATAACGCTTCAAGAGTCAAGACTATGAAAGTAGGACCTAAACTTGATAATAACACGCATTACATAAAAGGCATAAAAGTTATATTAGTGTAGAATTCGTTAACTCGCCTCGCCTTCCAGTATTGCGCAAAGCCCACACTTTAAAGTATTCTGATCGAAATATGCGAGTCGTGCTGGGAGCTATAGGGAGCAGAACGTCAATATTATGAAGACAATGTAAAGCCAATTCTATGACGGTATAGGGTACAAAAGCTTTTAAAGTCATTTGGAATCGTGTGCTAATAAATAAACAATAGAACAATATACGTATAACTTTTTGATATCCATCCATCTGCTCAAATTTTCTCATCGCATGGAAAAGTCAAGTCATGCGCTCTCAGCGGAGGGCTGCTCTAGTTAGGATGAAAATCTAACTAGAGTTTGATAAAGCCTTGGAGATAGGAAAATATAATCATTGAGCTTAATCTATATTTTCTTCGCCAATTAGAGTCGAGGGAGCTTTATCTGTCGACCCAGTAAAATTTGGTTATAATAGAGAGCTTAGTAGCATATATACGAGCAAGAATGAATAACGGTATAAGAAGTATAAAGATTTGGTCCATTGAGCGGTAGTTTACATTCTCCTAGTAAGTGTCATGGCCTGGACAAGCTATGGAAGTGGAATGTGGGTATGTTTGGTATAAAAATATATGAATAATAGTACCCTAAGGGCGGTAAAGAAGCTATATATACGCCTGTATATAGTACATAATAGTAAGCATATAATTGTCCCCTCGGTTTCTTGTTAACAGACCGCCCTGGGACTGTCCCCCCTGCTGACTCACTCAGGGGAAGCGAGTCGTGGATTCACCCCACCAGCAAACGTGGTTGATGTGTTCCTTATAAAATGAGATGTTATTGTTCAAATAATGCTTCTGAATAGATTCTTTTCAATCTCGTAACCCCCAAGGTCCGCAAGGTCTAGTGAAGCTTATATCTGAAAGTGCACAGCGAAATAGCACATGATTCCTCGTTCCCTTATAGTTTTACGGAGGTTCCAGCACAAAGTAAAGGGAATATAGGGTTCAAAGCCTGTAAGAGCCTCTAAGAGATTGACCACTGGAACAGCATAACCTTAGCCGTAAGCCCCTTAGCTGGCAGGGCAACAACAGCGCCCAGAGCGCTGTAACCGAGATTTTTTTTTACAGGGCTTGTTAGGGCTCGTTAACTGAAGGGGAAAATCACAGGGCATTATGGGTGCTACAGGCTCTGAGCCCTGTATTCTCTTTACCTTATGCCGGAACCTTCGTACCCCGTTGTTACCCCGCTTTCTCCTTATCAACACGATCTACAGTCAACCTGCCGATCATGATGAGGCTTTCGCATATCCTGATTATGACCTTTAAGATTCGACCTACTACTCTGCCTACCTTACTAGTTTTCTTTTACTGCGCAACTTCATGGCAAGGATAAGATGACCTCACCATCATACATCATCGTCGGCTCCGGAGTCTTCGGAGCCTCGACCTCGCTCTCCCTCATCCGCAAGTACCCATCCGCCAGCATCATCCTCATCGATCGCGATGCTTTCTACGCCCCTTTCCGTGTCGCCGCATCCTGGGACTGGAACAAGGCTGTCCGCGCTGACTATAGGGACATTCTGTACACCAAGCTCGGCCTGGAAGCGCAATTGCTCTGGCGGACGGACCCGGTCTGGCAACCGTTCTACCACCAGAGTGGCGTGATGTGGATCTCGTCCACAGCGTTCACGGAGCAGGTGCTGAAGAACTTTGCTGAGTTGGGAGTTGAGGTTGATATACGCGCTTACTCTGTAGAGGAGGCCAGGGCTTTGTATGGTGGGCTTTTTGAAGATGCTGATTACACTGGTGTTAAGCAGGTATTGGTGAATAGGACCAGTGGATGGGCGGAGGCGAAGGAGGCGTTGCAGAATACCATTAAGACAGCTGTTGGCCTTGGAGTGAAGTACGTGACGGCTGAGGTCACAGCGCTTGAATTCGAGGATAGCCCAGGGAGGAAACGATGTCACGGCGTCAAGACAGCTATTGGGGAGTCCATCGGTGCTGATCGGGTGATTCTTTGCACGGGAGCTTTCACTCCTAAATTGTTGGTTGACAGTGCGCCGGAGTGGACGGATCTTCACGTTGGCGATCGGATCATTGCCGCCGCTGTCACCGAAGCCATTGCCCCCCTGACCGCTGAGCAATACCATATTCTAGACACGATGCCCGTGGCAATCAATGACAATCCCACAGAATACGGTGTGAATGGCGCGTACGTTTTCTGACTTCAACTTACTAACTATTCGAGTAGGAGAAAACCTCGGATGTCTGCCGCTGCCCAAAATCAACGCACTCAAGTATTGGGGTCAAATCATCTTCCGAAATACTCTTGAGCATCACATTACTCGCAAACCGTTATCTATGCCACCGCTTAAGTCGGACTATGCGCAGTGGGACGTGCCGCTGGCGTTGAAAGATGACGTTCGAAGGGGACCCGAGTCGATGTTTGGGCGAAAGAAAGTTAATCAAGAACTGGAGAAGTTCAGAATCTGCTGGTCTGTTTCCTCTTTTTTATATTTCAATTTTGGCTAATTTTGAGGCTGTGGTGGTAGGGAGGCTTTGACGCCAAGTCAAGACTTCATTGTTTCTCCTCACTCTGCTTGCGATGGGTTGTATGTTGCAACTTGCGGCTCTTTCCACGGGTTTAAATTCCTGCCCGTTCTTGGGAAGTACGTTGTTGAGATGTTGTGTGGTGAGTTGGAGCCGAAACTGAGGGAGAGGTGGGCGTGGGATCGAGAGTTACCTCCCACGAAGGTGAATAGCAAATGGCCGAAGAGAGATTTGATAGCATTGTCCGAATAAGGTTTGTCGTGAACGGCACCGGGGGAGGAGGGGTAAGTTATCCAGTGAAGGATTTGCACTTTCCTAAGCATCTTCTGGTTTGATTAATATTGGTATATTCATTGGACTCTCGCAGTAAACATCTTCACTTAATTACGAGTTATGAATGAAATCAATTCTTCAACAAATGTTACACAAGACACGACTATAATTTCAAGAATTGCTGAATATCTAACCCCTAACTCCAACAATGCAACAACGCCAACAAGACACAATCTACCAGAGCGACCAAGAAGCCTTCTCATACCCCCTTTCCCATCCCTCCAGATCTCGATCTAGCGCCGCCCTCCCCCTCATAACACACTCCGCATTCCCTAGAATCTTTTCCTCGCTTCCACTACTCACAACATCGATCATAGCCGCCGCAAGCTCATCTACATCGACGCTCCCAATAAACACACTCCCCAGCCACCTTAGATCCCCTTTCTCTCCTTTCTTCGGCAGAACCATCGATGGCTTCACAATGAAACTCTGCCAGTGTCCCCCATGCAAAAATTCGCCATTCGTCTCAAAGTCCATCATTTCCAGTTCCGCTTTCCCTTTAATCCGTCGCCCTCCCGAAAGGAACAGTAAACATCGCTCCTGATCTTGTTCCGCGAGCCGTCCACTGGTGTGCACATATCGGAACGGCTTCTTTTGTCGCGCGACGGAGGGGGCAATAGCATTACAAAAGGCGAGCGGGTAGTCGATTTCGATGTCCTGGCGGCCTTCGGTCGTTCCCAATGCCCAAATACACGCATCAGCTCCTTCCATCTTCTTGATCACTTCTTCGGAGTATACAGTGAAGTCTTTCATGATGATTACCTCGATTTTCGGGTCTTTCGTTAGGCTTCCCGGGAGAGGACGGCGGGACAGCGCCATTATGGATGTAACGGTTGGGTCGCGGCGACATTGGGAAAGGATTTCGCTGCCGATGAAGCCGGTGACACCTGTGAGGATGACCTTCATATTTGCAATTTTCGCAACTAAAGCTTCATGAGTGATGAGGTGTTACGCTGAAGGCCGTATTCGGAGGTTGCTGAAATAGAAAGAGGTCGAGTGAAGTGTGAAGTCGTGAGGAGATCGAGATGGCTCTGCGACTTTGACCGTTGTTGGGGAAAGATCACTTTGATCACTTTGATAGGATACTGCGTGCTGAAAATAACGAATTCCATTGCGGAGGAACTCATTAGATATAGACCCTCGAGTTAGGCTTCGCAAGAGTCGATTGCCCGGAGTGTCCATCGTCCCGGGTGATGAAGCGATTCGACGACCTGTGCTGTCTAAATCCCCCGACCGGCGCAAATCAGCCCCGAACGCCCCGCCGCCCAACCTCGCCAAAGCCCCCCGATGATCCGATCTCAGACGGGATCATCCGAATGGGCACGATGTTTTGCAGTCGCGATGCGTCCAATCGCAGCCCTGCCCTCGCAAATCGAAGAGTCCTTGGGTTCGTGAGGGTTGCGCCTCGCTTGTGATTTCCGGCGAGTGAGAAGCTTGGAATGTGCGGTTGCGGCGTATTTAGAGTTCTCGTGGACCGGGTCGGGTCGATGTTGCACCGTGGATCATCCACGGTGGATGGCTTCTGGAAGCGCCCACTTGACCAAAAGCGAGGGAGATGGAGATGCACTGGAAAGTTACTTGTACTTTTGTACCGAATATTAAGATTGGGATGGAGCCGATGGAGAGGGATAGCTGGCCTAGCCTATGAGTGAGTGAAGGGAGGCTGTGAAGCAGCACGAAAGCTCTAACCAAGCACTGCGTTCTACTTGGCGATGGCCACCCTTGCCGTTCTCATCCTCGCTGTTGCAATCGATGCCACTGCTCTGTGTAGCTTTGCCATTAAGTCAACACCACTTGAAAAGTCCTCAAAAGAGACTAAATTCCCAAATCGATCATTGCGGACGAAATTCACGGCACTGGCTTCAAAGCTTTCTGGGCCGGAACAGCCTTCATGCTCTGCTATGTCGTATTCCAGCCTGTCATCGACTGCTTCTCTAGCATTTTTGGCCGTAGACTCGTCCTCACCTCCTCAGTGCTGTTCTTCCTTGCAGAATGTCTGCGCTTTGCTCTGGCGAAGAACTTCAAAATAGTCCTCGTTTTTCGAGTGTGTAAGACGCTGGTGGTGATGGAATTGCTGTCATGACGGAGACTATTGTTTCTGAGACGATCCCGCTGAGATTGAGGGGCGAGTGGTTTGGTGTTCTTAGTGGGAGGAATGCTATTGGAACTCTGCTGGGTCCGATCCTTGGGGGTGTGTTGGCGCAGCATGTTACTTGGGTAAGCATACTGTCTCTCTCAAAGCAATCGGGCTGGTGTTGACTATCGCAGCGATGGGTCTTTTATATCAACCTCTCATTCATTGGCGTTGAGTGATGGTTCCTCTTTCCATCAACCTCACTGTTCTCCTTACTTCCCTCGTCGACAAACTCAAACGCATCGACCTGATCGGCTCTCTGATCTTCATTGGCTCTACCACCGGCTTCATGATGGGTATCTCGTGGGTTGGAGTGCAATACCCTTGGTCGTCTTGGCACATCGTCATCCTATCGCCATTGGTTTCCGTGGTTTCATCGGATTTTACTTCTAGGAGGAGTTCCTGACCGTCGAACTTATCGTACCCACCTGCATCTTCAAAACCCACAACGCAGTCGCCGGATACCTCAACACCATCCTGCACAGCACGACCGTTCTCTCTCTGGTCTACCGCTTGCCTCTCTACTCCCATGGCGTAAAGGGATAACCACAACCATCACATGGGAGCGGTCTTCCCGGAGACATTCACAGTCGCGCCGGTCGCTGTTATAGCCGGCATTCTGATTGGGAAGTTCAGTATTTCCCGCTGAGTCATCTAGCCTGGCTGGACTGCCGCCGCTCTCAGCATGGGAATCCTCTTCCTTGGATGTCAACACCAGTACCGTGGAGTGGATCCTCCTGAATCTTATTCCGGGTATTAGAACGGGTGCTTTGTACCCCGCCTTACGATGTAGTATCCAATCTGCTTGCGCGGACGAAGACCTCGCTGCGGCTATCTCAATCTACAGCTTCTTCCGCTCCCTTCGCAGACGCTCGGTATTGTATTCGGAGCTATGGGTCCGTAGAATGAGCTGGTGGTCAAGCTCCAGAAGTATCCGAACTTGGCACCGTATTCTGGTGAGTATAGACGGGATGCCGGTGGTTTCGCAAGAACTCTCAGCGCGATGCCACCTAGTCAGGATAAGGTGGATTTGGTGCAGGCGTACGTGGATTCATCGAAGTTTGTTTAATCGCGAGGTTTCTACTAATTTCGCCTATTTCCCTAAAAATAGGCGAGGCATACCCATAAGCAAATTTCAGCGAAACACAAGCTATTTGTATGGGAATTGCCTGCATTGCTACTGCAAAGTAACCTCAACCCATTTCTCTATAATAGATTTGATCCAAAATGCCTACTCCTTCTGCAAGTATCGAGAAACGATTATAGCAAGCTATTAAAGCTATTTGTACGGGTCAAATTAATACCTTTCCGCAAGCTGCAAAGTACTATTATATCGACTATGACCTTTTGATTGCCCGCACCCACGGAAGACCTACGAACCATATAAAGGGGAGGCAAAATAAGAAACTTACGGAGAAGGAGGACCAATCTTTAAAGTAATACTGCAAGCGGTATATTATTGCAAGAGATCCCCTAAAGAGATATTATATTAAAGCAATAGCTAATAGTATTTGTTTTACTATAAGAAAGAAGCCTATATTAAAGCCTTAATTAACGAAATAAATAAAACGAAATCCAGATCTCCTAAAGAAAAAGAAATCGAAATCCCTAGCTATTAAACAGAAAGTAATCTACGAATCGAGGAGATTTGCAAATACTTTCGGGGATTTAAAAAGGCAAGGAATAAGTATGAGATTAAGTTAGAGAACTACTAGAATTTTAATAAAACGGGATAGTAAATTAGATCTTTAAAAAGATATATTATCTTTACGTTTCCTAATATTACTGCGGTTTATATATCTAATTCAGATATAAGAGAATTAATAACTAGTTTAGAAGCTATAAATACTACTAGTAATATAATACCTATAATACTTATATTTCCTGGCTTTATTCTTTTAAAATATAAGTTTAATAATAATATTAATTATAATGGCGCTAGCTAGAGGCTATATAAAAATAGCTATTATATAACTGGTTTTATTTAGCTAGCCGGCATTTTAGTAGTTTTAGCTAGTATTTCTCTTCTTTTATCTATTTTCTTTTTCTCTCTCTCTCTCCTTCTTCCCTTTAGCTTAATATTCTCAATATATAGGATTTTCCTAAATCTTTAAGCCCTAGTTATTATTTTAATTCCGCTATTATATTAATAATAATATTTTCTTTATAATAAATATAGAAACTAGTATTAGGTTTATAAATAACTAATTAGCTATTACTTAGCTAGAATACTTCAAATTAGTAACTTGTTTTAAAAAGAAAATATATTATAAAATTAAATATAATAGTAAAAAGAAAATACTAGTAATAAATAATTATAGTTCCTATTTTATTTATAAGTTTATTAATTATTACTAGAACTATAAAATTCTTTTATTTAAGCTAATTCCTTATTTTATATACCTTGCTTTAATTATATAATATAGGTTTCTTTTAGCTTATAAAGTAATACTATTAAAATATTCTTATAAAGCAAGTTTAGTATAATAGAACTCTTTATATAAAAAACGACTTTTTTAATACTTATAATAAGATCTCTATTTATACGGAAAAAAAGAATCTAATTTAGTATATTTGAATAAAAGAAAGGCTATAGCTATTTAATTTATTAATTATTCTTAATAAAATAAAGTAAATAAAAGTATTATATTTTAGGACCCTTAATTCTAATTAATTCAGGTCTTTTAAGCCTGAATTCCCTTTATCTAATTAAGAAATAAACTAGAAAAACTATAAAATAGGGCCCTAAATATTATGGCTTTGGATAGAGTTCTTAAGGGAGAGAAACTAGATAAAAGGAGAGTAAAAGAGGCTTATAAGGCTAAATATAAGATTAAAGAAAGAAATTAATATATACTTACATATTATAAGATAATTCTCAAAGAAGATACTAGGCTATATATTATAGGAAGGGCTTAATTTCTTACTTAGAAGAAGGTAAAGTATTAATAAGATTAATAGGCTTGGGGATTATTAATAGAGGGTTATTATATATATAGTAGTAAGGAAAGTAAAGAACTGGCAAGAGAAGAAACATATTATAAAGCGGTAATATAGGTATTAGATAGCGGAATTAATATACTTTTATAGAACTAGGAGCCGTATATTACTATTTATTAACGATTAATTTAATTAAGTACCTTTGCAGTACTATATAGATCCGTGAAAATTAATTTATATGGCGATTCCATACAAATAACTTGTGTTTCGCTGAAATTTGCTTATGGGTGTGCCTCGCCTATTTTTAGGGAAATGGGCGAAATTGGTGGAAACCTCGCGATTAGGTGGTGAAGTGTGGGTTAACGGGGATGGGATTGCTTGTAAATCATTTTATTTGAAGACTACCCCCTTGACCAGTTTACTATCCCTCAGATGGCGGTCGCGTGCTAGCCAAGCGGGACCCCCTTGCTAGCTCCTGGCAATGTCTCACTAAAACGAAGGATAACTCTAACAGATAATATAATTTGTTGCCCACGCCGAGCGGCCCTTGACCGGCTCAGCCCCAGAATGCTACCGCCTGCTTGCCCAACGACGCCTGCCCAGCAGTGTTGGCGTGGCAGCCGTCAACCTCTTGTCCTTTCATTAGCTGGAATGTACCCGGGTAGGTCACATTCTGGGTAGCGTCCGCGGCAGCCTGCTTGGCCAGGGACTCTGTCAGCGCTGGCCCTGTAGGCCCAGCTAAAGCACAACTCGATGGGTTGTCTGGGTATATTGGCTGGCCAGTGATGTAAATCTTCGCGCCGGGTGCTGCGTGTTGGCGGGCATTGGCGATAAGACTTTTGACCTCCTCGTAGGTGGCCCCCGGATTCGCGAAGATACAGACTTGCACCCAGACTGCGTTGGGCTTGCCGTACTTGGCGACCTGAGTGTCGAACAGCTTCCAGGACGCTGAGGTGGTGCTTGTCCAGGACTGGACCACCATGCCGCTTGTTCCGTACGGGCCCCACATGCGCTGCCCGCCGACGGCGACGTATCCCTGAGCGACGTTCTCGGCCATGGAGCAGCCGATGAAGCCCATCGAATGGGCCGGTTCGGCCTCCATGGAGCCAGTTTCGCCGGCTACGCCATTGAGTGCAAGGCCAACAGCCGCAAAGAAACGAAGAAGGTTAAGAGTGTAATGCATAACGATTTTTTAGTTTTGATACTATGGATGTTTGTTAGAGTTCGGCTTTTGTGTTGTTGAATATTGTTAGTGTTCTTTTATGTAGGACTCGAGGTCGTACTTATATATGTTGCGACGGACATGGTTGAGAGTGGTTGACAATTTGTACTTACCCAGCAAGTAATCCGCTTCTCTTCGTAAATTAAAAAAGTGAATAGCCGGACTTGACGTTGTTTTAAGGAGCCCTACCCTTAGTTAATTTGTCCGCGGGAAGCAATTTGTCTGTACTCATACAAACCCTTACTAAAACTTAAATAGTGTACTTTTCGCTACATAATTAATAATAATTTATTAAATATATAATTTATTAAATATATGATTTATTAAATACATAATTTATTAAATACATAATTTATTAAATACATAATTTATTAAATACATAATTTATTAAATACATAATTTATTAAATATTAAAAATTCAAAAATAAAAACAAAGTTAAAATATATATAATTTTATATTTTATTTTAAGGTTTTTCTTAAATAATTTAAACTTTTTAATATAAAAAAGAATTGAGAATAAAATTTAATTATTATTTTATTATAGTTTTATTAATTTATTTAAAAGAAATCTTAATTTTGAAAAAGTTTATATTAATATATATATTTATATATATTTACTTTTCTCTCTCTCTTTTTTATATTAATTAATTAAATACTAGTATTTTCTTATTTAAGAAAAATTATTTAAAAAAGAATATCTCGAATATTAATAAATTATAAAAGTTATTAAAAAATAAAATTCAACTTTAAAGAATTATATAATATTTATTATTTATATTTATTATTTATATTTATTATTTATATTTATTATTTATATTTATTATTTATATTTATTATTTATATTTATTATTTATATTTATTATTTATATTTATTATTTTATTTATTATTTATATTATATTTTATATTTATTATTTTATATTTATTATTTATATTTATTATTTATATTTATTATTTATATTTATTATTTATATTTATTATTTATATTTATTATTTATATTTATTATTTATTATTTATTATTTATTATTTATTATTTATTATTTATTATTTATATTTATTATTTATAAAAATGACTTATAATATATTATTATAATAGAAATATTAAATAAAAAATTATAAGTTTTTATAAGTAAAACATGAATTAAAGAATAAAACTTAGTTAATTTCTATAAAAAAAAAGAAGGAAAATAAAATAATATATAAGCAAATTATAAATTATAAATATTTAAAAGTTATTTAGTTATATTTTATAATTTAAAAAACAAGTTTTTATTATATTATTAATCTTAATTTAAAAGTTATTTTCTTTCTTATTTTCTTTATAAAAATAATAACAAAAACTTTATTTAAATTATTTTATAAGAGTTATAATATATATAAATGTTTTAATTTCTTAAATCTCTTATTTTAATATAAATTATATTAATTAAATTAAAAGAAGTTTATAATAATTATAAATTTTTAATATAGCTAATATAATAGAAATTAAACTAATATCTTGCTATATACTTGTTTTCATGTAATTCTTTAGCTTCTTGCTTTATTTTATATTTAGTTTTCTTTCTTTTTAAAAAGAAGACCTTAAGTAACCCAATATATACTTCACCTGCACAATGCCTCCTTGATTCGTGGTTATACTCATTCGATTGATTTTTATGTATTGTATTTCCACCTACCCCTCTTTATTAATTGAGCGCGGACAAATTGCTTTCCGCAAACAAATTGCTTTCACTAACTAATAGCGGTTCCTCTCCCACTGCGCTTCGCTTGGAGTCGGGATAAGCAAGTGTCTCGGCGAGAGCTTGCCCCCAAAAAAACGCGCGCGACACTGTAATAATTTTATAAGAACGTACGAATTACCCACGCACAGCCCTTGAATTTTATTCTAATTTAGTAGAAGTTTAGAACTACATATAAAGATCTAAACAAACAATTATCCGACCGTGCACCGAATAGCAGGTCAAGTTATTCTTTCTTCAAAGTGAGTTTTATGACTAAAATTCGTGGTTTTTCATATCCAATTATATGGTAGGACACTTACTTAGACAGGATACTTGCTTATCCCGACCACAAGCGAAGCGCAGTTGGGGAAGGGGGACCGGCTATTAAGGGTAGGGGCTTCTTAAAAGCGACGTCAAGTCCGACTACAGTGAAACCTCGATATAAGGACACCGAAATTGTCCCCAAAAACTAAGCATATACCGAGGTATCCTTATAACGAGGTGTGGCACACAGCAAAATTAATCCCTGCGGGGCCAGCAGATGTATCCTTATATCGAGGATATCATTATATTGAGTATCCTTGTAGCGAGGTTTCACTGTATTATATATTCTCGGTATATAATTTGTCCGGAGCCAACGAAGAGCGGCTTGTTCGACGACTAAAAATTAGGTCAGTAATTTGGAAGTCAAATAGTTAAAATATCTTATTAGATCCTTAGAATTTCGAGGGCTAATAGGGTTTGATAGACGCGGGTAGTATGGACCGGCAACCATTCGTCGCCATACGAGATAATTGAAGACCTCTCCAGTAAACCGCCCAGTGCTAAGCCGTTAGATAGATGCGGAGTACTTTTCTTCCTCAAGGGTTAATACTGGTTCCCCTCTACCATGCATTGCCGGAACAAGTACCGCTCCGCTTCCCCTCCTACTATTCACTGTGTACTGGTGCCTTTGGAGCATGGCCGGGCGGGGTTGAGTTCAACGCCCCTTTGGTAAGGGCGATGTCACTGCAAGCCTCTCCCCTTTTCTCCGACACACCGATATCCAACCGGAACCGTTGCGGCATGGAAGAAAATGGTTGGGATCAAGAGGGGTTGTAAGGGTGTGGATTGAGTCCTGTCAGGGAAGTTAACTATGTAGACTCTGTGTGCCTAATAAGGTAACCACGCGTCACTAAGGATACTTCCAATTTCGATCCTTCCACGATGGATCATCGTCTGAAGGCTGTGGCGGCGCCAAGATCGGGTTTAGCCTTTGATTCATTCCTCATATTGATGCTTGGCTTTAAGCGAATACGTAAACGAGAGCTGACTTAAGGTGACTATTTCATAAGCGAGTACGCAAACGAGAACGAAGTGACATGCAAATGATAAGGACCGCGGTCTTTTGATTATGAAGCATTTTATTGTCCCTAATTCGAGATGCTGTACTCGGCGCAGGGAACGCTTATCAGTGTAGAGATTTACGTGTGCTTTTAAAGAAGAGCTTTCAGGCAATTGGCGGCACTGTCGTAATTGCTTCCAATATCTACAGTACGCTTTTCAACAGGTCTGCACTGCTCCATCAGTAAGAGAGGCTTTCAACCCTCTAGAGTGAATGCATATTTATACCATATATACCTCTAGATTGAATGCATATTTATACCATACATACATTTCCTTTGAGCACAATAACCCTAGGGCTCTCATCTCAAGTTTTAATATCAGGGATCAATTTGCCCTCTCACTGGCTCTCCCCCATCCATTCTAGAAATGCTCTAGTCAGTTTGCCAGGTCAACGCAAAAATATTTTATGTTCCTCGTTCTCGTTTAAGTTTCCTTGGCTCTGGCTTTCTGGTGTTACTCTGACGCGTCAATCACGTATCAATGCCTTGGCGCACGGCGCTAGTATGTGCTCGTATTTTGCTGCCGCTCGTCGCCAGGCCTTATAAGAAGGGATCTTTCCACTTGTTTACTTATTGTTTCTGATTGCTATCTTTCCCACCTCTTTCAAAATTCTCTCTCCGATCTCATCAGCCAACGTTATTCAATACTGAGAGATTCTCTTGCTACATTTTTGGTCGATCAACTACCTAATATCTTTGTTCGAGATTTTGAGAATATGGCCAAAGAACAACCCTGGAACTACGTTCCTTCACTCCCTCTTGCTATTGTTGCCACCACAGTATTTGCTTCCTTGACCATCCTCCACATATTTCGGTTATTTAGAACTCGAACTTGGTTCTGTATTCCCTTCATCATAGGAGGCGCATGTGAGTTCAAAACACACATATTATTGACATTGTCTCTAACAATGTCTCTACAGTTGAAACAATTGGATATGGGGCACGCGCAGCCGGTCATTCTAACCTGGACTCCCTCACGCCATACATTATTCAAGCGCTTTTAATTCTCCTCGCTCCGATTCTCTTTGCGGCATCCGTATATATGATCCTTGGCCGTTTGATCCGGGCGACATCTGCCGAGTCCTACTCTATTATCCGTGTTAATTGGGTCACCAAAATCTTCGTTGGAGGCGACATATTCTCCTTCTTGGTGCAAGCTTTGGGTGCTGGAATGCTTTCTGGTGCCAAGACCCAGAATAGCAAGAAGCGGGGCGAAACAGTCATTTTAGCTGGCCTCATCTTCCAAATTATCATCTTTTGTTTTTTCATTCTAGTGGCTCTCGTCTTCCACAACCGCCTCCGCACCCGACCAACTGAAAAGTCTACTGCCTCTGAACTGCCTTGGGAACGTCTCATGTTTATGTTATACGGTGTGAGTGTCCTAATCACTACGCGGAATGTTTTCCGCGTTATCGAATATGCGATGGGTGGTAAGTTTTTCTGCTAGCTAATAGCTACCTTAAGATTTTATATGGCGTTGTTGTTAATCAAAATACAGAAACCGGTTATCTCTTACAAAAGGAATGGCCGATATATGTCTTCGATACAGTCCTCATGGCATGTGTTCTTGGTATCTGCCAAATGTGGTACGTGGGTAAGATCAGACCTAAATCAGACGACGTCGATCTCGAGACAATCGGTGAAGGCCATCAACCCTCTCAATAAACCCAAATGGCTTGACCAACTTTCGAGGGATTTTACCATTGGCGTTGCCTGATGTTCATCGGGTCCAAACGTCGGCGAATGCATTGGAATTTCATGGTATCTTTCGGGATTGGCACGAGCCCAGATTTCTGCCAGGGAAGTCCGTCATAGATTGGAGCACGCAGAGTGTTTTGGCGTCTTTAGATATGTGTCCTTTATCATGCATTAGTTATTTGCAAGGTGTGTTAGACTGAGACTATGGGCCGTTGAGATAATATGGGAAATGAAAGGATTTTTGGTTATAAATTGCTAGGTTTCAATGTAATGCGTGTAAATCGAGCAGAGTAGGGAGTTGAATTGAGGTTAAAGAATTAATAAAGCTAGCTAGAAAAAAGCTCCAGTGAGGTGTGGAAGTTCTGGAATATATATGTGCAAAGCTGGGCTATGCGAAGTAATCGCTCCCCGCCCAATTGAGAGATCCCAACTGCAATACACCTCCTCAGCAGATACAAGCGTTTAGTAATTTGCGTATTCTATCTAATTAGAGAGCACTATTTCAATTAAAGTTCGTCTGATATTAGTAATCTAGGGAGCCATACGATCTTTGAACCAGTGTCACGGCCTGGACAAGCTATAGAAGTGGAATATGGTATATTTTGATATAAATATATATGAATAATTGTGCCCTAAGGGCAGTAAAGAAGCTATATATACGCCTGTACGCAGTACGTAACATGCCCCCTCAAAAAGGAAAGGAAACGTCCCCGTTAAGCCTAGCCCATGCCGTCCAAATGAGCCATTTGCCCCTTAATATAAACTGGAAAGGAGGAACAAATAGAGCTTGTTATAAGAAGTGAGCTTATTAGAGGAAGGGAGCTCGTTATAAGAGCAAGATTGAGTAGAAGGCAGCTCTTAATAAGAGCAGGTATTGAGGGGCTCGTTATAAGAGCAGGAGTAGGAGGAAGGGAGCTCTTTATAAAAGTAGGAGTTGAGAATTACTCTTCGTCTGCTTCGTCTTTGTTAGCGGAGGCAGAGGGGCTCATTATAAGAACAGGAGAAAAGGATTATTCTTCGTCTTCTCTGTCTTTATTTTCTTTGTCTTCGTCTTCGTCTTCTTTGTCCTTATCTTTGTCTTCTTTGTCCTTGTCTTCTTTATCTTTATCTATATCGTCTTTATTAGCGGAGACAGAGAGGCTTATTATAAGAGTAGAAGTAGGAGAAGCAAGAGCAGAAGCAGAATCTTATAGCCAAATTTGGCGAATAAGTTAAGTAATTTATTAAAGTTGGATATCTAAAAGCGGGGCGCTATCTTGGAAAAATTATTAAGGGATCTTAGACTAGGGGGTTTTAGATACTATTCTAGAGGATAGTATAAATGTGGGTCGAGGACTTAATTAAGAGCTTATAAGGTATTAATATAGAGGTCGAGATCTTATAGGGTATTAATTTGGAGGTCGATTAATTATAGGATATTAAATATTAATATAGAGGTTAAATCTTAAGGTATTACTACTATATTATAGCCTGGATAAGCTATAGAAGTGGAATATAGTATATTTTAGTATAAATATATATAAATAATTATACCCTAAGGGCAGTAAAAAAGCTATATATATACCTGTATATAGTATATAATAACTAGATAGGCCAAGGATATATTAATTTCTCGGATTATTAAATAGTAGGCTATACCTATATAAATCTTACTTTCTTACTAGTTCTAGAGCTTTAAAATTTAATAAAGCTCCTATAAACCTTTTAGACCTCTCGTTTAAGCCATTATTCTATTTTCTATTTACTTAATTATTTATTTAGCTAATATAATTTCTCAAACCTATCTAAATCATTCCCAGATCTTATTAAGTTTCAAAACGATTTATCTAATCAAAAATAATAACTATTATTGTTCTGACCTCCGCGGCAGGTTTGCAACCCGTATATCTCCTTGGAAATGGTTTATGAAGCATTTCTCCTCTGAGATAGGAGACAGTGGTAGTGGCCGCAAAGCACTTAAGATACACACCTCAATGCACCGCCACATGTCTGGTTTCAGAGCTGTGTAGGTGCGAATTCAGCTTCACCTTCGGAGAATATATCTCCATGGCCCACCTGTACCATAGCCCACCTCGCAGCTTCGGTCCACTCCTTTCCAAGTCCAAGTAAATTCACACACAGCTCCTTGACAAGCCTGTTCCCTGAATACTTCGCCCACCACATCTGATCTAGTTGGCCCACCAGAACGCCCCAATACATGAATATTATCTGGGCCATCGGCTCGCCTTTCCTTAACTCATTCATAAACTCCGTCCCCGCCAAAACCAACCACGATAGTGCCATGTTCTGATCCATTATAAAGCATGTTTCCAATTGTCCTATTGCGCGTTCGTAGACCCCGTGTAAGGGGGAGTTGGTCATACCAGTGGTGGCGTCATTTAAATTCCTCAGAAGTCTTACTGGAGGCATCATCCGATCCTCCCTGAGGGGTTCAGCTTCGCGCTGAGGCCTGAACAGGATTCCGAAAGGACCGCCTTCAAGCCACTGGCGACTCACACCCACAATAGATTCGATGCCTTTAACAAAATCGAACAAGAGCAGAAGACTCTTGGTTGGCAACGTGGGTTCATCATCCTCCCCAGTGGGGAGGAGGGGCGATACAATCGTACAAGCCATCATTAATAAGGACGACGCGAAGACAGCATTGCAGTTAGACGGCGTGATATTCTGCAACACCATGTGAAGGAGAGCGATTGTATTATTCTGGTATCGAAGTGCTGCACTGACATAGGGAGCCGCCGAGACTGGATCCTGCAACTCGCTTGCGATGTGGAGAGAGGTAAGCGCGAGGATAGACTCCATGAGATACTCGTGCTTCAGCGCTTCTTCGACAGCATAGCCTTGGAGTATGCTCGCACATTTAGTAGTGAAGCTATGGCACGTTTTCGTGCACCAGTGGTGCATCAACTCGAGTTCTCTGAGCCTTGTTGCCGGCGAAAAGGGTGCATTGCTGATATTATAGCTGAGACCAAGGTCTTGATTCATGTCTGTGCTGGATCGAGGCGTACCTGCAGCTGGGTGGATCGAGGGTGCCGGGGGTCCGCCGGAGACTGGACTCAGTGTGTTTGAGTTGGAGTTCGCACCGGAACGATTGTGTCGTGTGGAAGCTGGCCGCGAATACTGACATTCTTCGTCGCGAGAGATGCATGTTGCGCAGCGCGGGACTGCTTCATCACATTTAACGCGCCTTCCCTTGCATTGGTTGCAGCCATTGCGCGACTTATTATGCGGGCGTCTCGGTGCCATAATTTGCTGGAAATAGGAACACTGGAAATCTTGCACTTTGGATGAAGTCACGGCCCCTTATAGTATGGCAATAGCAGGTTAAGCCGCCAAGCAGCTACAAAGCGTGATCTTGGGAAGCTAGCGCTCAGCCTTTCTTGATCGTGTCTGCTTACGGTAAGGCGTACCAAGCCACCTGTATCAGAACCAACTTGGTAAGGAGCACTTGGCAATTACGCCGAAGCTGGGAAAGCTCCTGGGATAGAAGTCCCATAAATCAAGGTCTCAATCAATCAGTCCATCAACCCATCCATCCATCCGGGGCCATACACGAAGAGTGTTGATGCAACAGTTGTCATTCATTGATCGTTATTGGTTAGCACTGTCACTGGGTTGCTGATGCCACGCGTTTTAAGGCTTAGCGCTCGGTCTGTCACCGCGGAATTTTATTGGTCAATACTGTACGTGTGTCAAGTCTACGGAGGCTGTGTTGAAACCTTAAATCGCGGTGACATAATCGTGCGGCAGGACTTGCACCAAAGCCCATATGTCCCTGGGGGTTTTGGTGCGTAGTGTAAGTCTTGACTCACGATTACTCGAGTTCCCGCTCACGTGCAAAAATAAACGTCGCTTAAGCCCTTCAACTGCTCAAATTCAAGGGATCGGGTACTCGTTTTCCCTGTCATATGTACCCGTTCGTATCGTCCACTAGTTTTCACTGGTGGTTCGTGAAAGCGACCTGGCCATGAAAGCGACCTACCAAACCCCCAAAATTGGTGTTCCTCGCTAAACTTGTAGCACAAACCAGCACATACCAGCTGGCTAGAAGTACCTCCCATACAAATTACTATGTGAAATACTTGGTCAGGTCACTAGTAGGGCCAGGCCGCTTCCACAAACCAGTCGGAAGAACGGGTACACCCTACCAAAAAATCGCAAAATTGTACGATTTTTCTAAGCTTATAACTTTTCTTTAATTAGTAAAAGATTTACTTACTTTTTTTTTATAGAATAGATATATAAATAATAATAAACATTTTTTTTCGTTAATTATTATTAATACTTTTACTATTGTTATAAGGCTTAACTCTGAGCTTAAAATTCAGGTCAAAATAGCTCTTCTTCCGAGAATACTAAATTAAAGATAAAAGTATATATAAGTATAAATATATTGAAAGTAAGTATATAAATAGCTTAGCTCGATATAGTCTGTGCGCACATAGGGCGCTTCCAGGGAAGGATTCCTCCAATTTCATTGTATCTCGTCGCTTCTTCTCTTTCTCAAGCTTCTCATCAAGGCATCGAGTCTGCCACGCTTGATGACAACGACATCTTTGACATCGCCAATGGCTTAAGATACTCGGACGCCTCAGCTCTCGAAAGCTCGATGAATGATGCGTGTCGTGGGGAGCGCCGCTTCTCGCCCGGCCTGTCCGCGTGTTGCACACCTTCCGAGTGGGTTTGCATTCCTCAATTTACCGTATCTTATCTCGAACTCGCGTATGATTGGCATTTTCATGACATAAAATCTTTGGATACCTTTAAGCTGAGCCGCGTTTGGCAAGGTAATCTTACTTCCAGACCTCAAGGGGCCCAATTGCCAACTGATTTCCCCCACGTGATCCCACTGAGGCTTTTGACAATCCAGTGACTGAACTCGGGATTTTGTGTGCAGATTAGTCCAGAAGTTCTGGTATATAATATTGTTTTCATAAAATGAGATCGGCAGATGAGTTCCAGTCTGCTGGGTCCCAGAAAACCTCCACATTTTAAAGTTTAGCTTACACTTCGTCCGTTCTTCAGATCCACCAGTTCTGCAAACTCCTTCCTATTTAGGATGACACCCCTTTTGATGTGTGGACTTGGGTGGGCGTAACCCGATGGCGCGATTTGAAGCTTCGATTTTGCAAATGACTTTTCCTATTCACATTCATCCACCCCGTCTTTTTATGCCTTTCGTTGAACTCACTGCTTCCACTGGGGTACAGCATCGTGACAACTGCCTTTCTCTGAACTAACCCATATATTGTACCCTACTTCTAAGGACCATCGCACAGCAGAATTCACGATGTTCGGGAAATCGCTGAGACGTCCAATTTGGACGGGTTCCGAGGATGATATCGAGGCCAAGGCCATCACTGAAAGCAATGTGCAGGTTGGGCCGGAACAAGGACATGGCGTCGTACAAATCGTGGACTCTCATGAGGAAAACGACCTATCACGGTCTTTGTCACAAAGGCACATTCAGATGATAGCCCTGGCTGGTGCAATTGTAAGAAGTCGAATATATCGTTTATTGTAATGAACGAGCGCTAAAATTGCTAGGGAGCAGGACTCTTCCTCAGTCTCGGTGGTGCGTTGCAGACAGGCGGGCCGCTCGGCGCCCTGCTCGGATATGCGCTCATAGGACTCGTTGTCTGCGCTGTACAATTTGCACTCGGGGAAGTATCAGCATTATTCCCCGTCACCGGATCCTTTCTTCGTCCGACATGCCGAACTCCTTGTCGATCCTTCTCTCGGCTTCGCGATTGGATGGAACGTGGTTTATGGGACATATCTAAGTGTGCCAAGTGAGATATCAGCAGCTGTTGTACTCATTGAGTTTTGGACCGACAAATATGCTGCACTCTGGATCACGCTCTTCATCATCGTCGCCTTTCTTGTTGGGATTATAGTCGTTAGAGTCTACGGAGAAGTGGAATTCTTCTTTGCTACACTGAAGATCCTCCTAGTCGCTGGAATCACTATTATGGGCCTGGTCATCGACCTGGGAGGAGTCCCAGGCCAACAACGAATCGGCTTCAGATATTGGAATAATCCTGGGCCCTTTGTCGAATACCTCGCGTCTGGATCTTGGGGTTCTTTCCTTGGCTTCTGGGCGGTCATGAACAACGCCGTTTATTCCTTCGCTGGCGTCGAGAGCCTTTCCGTTGCAGCGGCAGAGACTAAAAACCCGAGGCAGAATATCCCAAAAGCATGCAAACGTGTTTTTGCAAGGGTTTCGGTCATGTACATATTGTCAGTGTTGATTGTGGGCATGCTTGTCCCGAGCAATGATCCGAGTTTGGACGACGAATCAGGAACAGCTGCTCAAAGCCCTTTCGTCACGGCAGCGGCCAGGGCTGGTATATCAGTTGTCCTTTCAATCATAAACGCTGTGGTTCTTACATCAGCCTGGTCTGCTGCGAATCAGTCTCTCCTTGCTGGGACGAGAATTCTATACGGTCTAGCCATCAAGAAACAAGCACCCAAGATATTCCTCAGGACTACGAAATGGGGCATTCCATTTGTATGTGTCATTTTACAGACCCTCGTTGCGACGCTGGCCTATATGGGTCTATCAAACGGAGCTTTGACCGTGTTTTATTGGCTGCTTGATCTCACGGCTTGTGGGACACTGATCAGCTGGAGCGTGATATTATTCAATCACATTCGGCTACATCAAGCATTGAAGAAGCAGGGAATCTCTTCCCAGGAACTGCCGTGGAGCAATTGGTGGACTCGTATGTACCTCATCCAACCCATCTGTTCCAAATACTTACCGGAGTTAGCTTACTCGTCTCGGGTCGCGCTTGTTGCGTGTATTATGTTCCTTCTTACCGGCGGCTTCTCTGTATTCGTGGAAGGGAACTGGGATACAGCTACTTTCATATCATCATACCTGTAGGTCTCAGTTCATTTGTGGAATCTTACTTTCTGTACTGAAAGTTCTGCAGCGATATCCCGATTGTCATCATTGCATACGTCGGCTGGAAGCTCTTCAAGAAAACAAAGATCCTATCCTTGGACGACATCCCGATCCAAAATGCCCTCAAAAAAATAAGAGAGAAGCTAGAAGAACGGATTTCGCTAGCAAGAGGATGGCAACGACTGAACATCCTGTGGGGCTGATACGACCACAAGCCGACCCAAGAAAGTCCTCACGAGCTGGACACGGATCGTTGATCCCTGAACGGGGTCGAGATAATTGCGAGCTAGAAATTTGCATACCCACCCATAAGCCCAAATAATTCGAGAATCCCCAGTTGCATCTTACTCGGCAAGTTATGTCCCAGTGGAATGTACTCTTCCCACAACCACGTTTCATGGCACCATAAATGCGGTCACACCTCGTCAGAATCGACCACAAAACACAATTCTAGTGCAAGTTGCAACTTTCCCCAGCGCTGATCAGTACTTTTGTTCATCACTGCTTACGCGTACTCTGGTGGCGACTCCTTCCAATCCCCTACCCATGTATCGCCGATTCCCTGGAAACGTCTTGATTCTTCTCACATGCTTCATTCTCATAATGGTCTGCCTCTTCCACAACAACATACTCTCTTCCAGTATTGGCATCCCGGAATACTTAAATCACCCGTCTCTAAGCACTATAGAAACACCAACGATTATCGACCCCCTCCACCTCCAGGATCGACACACCACAACAACCCTCTCTCTGTATACAACCCCGTCATGCACCTGCCCAGTCCAGCAAATCCTCGACGAGCCGCTAGCCATCGAACAACAAACCATCACTCGCTTACACGCCCACCGCATCGTCGCAATCTTCAAAACCGGCGCAGCGCCCAACAGCTGGCTCACCCCACCATCCAACTCTGCACCACGCTGCGCTACCTGCAGCCCAAGTGAAATCTCCTTCTCAGACTTCCAGTCCTTCTCTCTGGCTTTTCATCATCAACGACACCCTCCGAAACGTGAACAACGAGCTGAAAGACGAGGAGCTGGATTTCGAAATCTATCGCTAGATCACAAAGTAACAGTCTACGGGGCAGGATATTGGAGACCTAGTGGAAAAGCGCGGGAACGACAACCGGAGGCGGGGCTGGAAGCTCGATAAGTATATGTTTATTCATATGGTGGAAAAGACGTTCGAGGAGCAGCCGGATCCGAAGTGTATGTGTTTATTGAGACGGACTCGTACGTGTTTTGGTCCAACATGATCGCCTTTCTCTCGTGCTTCGACTCTTCAAAACCGCTGTACTTGGGCTCAGCCGTCTCGCTCAGTTCTCTAAGGTTCGCGCACGGCGAGTCGGGGTACGTGCTCTCCAACGCAGCCATGCACCTTCTCCTCAGTCCAGAAATGAAGGGGGACTTGGCAAAGAGTTGGGATGGAAGGATGAAGAGTAATTGCTGCCGTGGTCTCGCGTTAGGAACAGGGTTGAAAGAGAAGGGCGTAGGGATTACGGTCGCGGATCCGTTGCTGAATGGGTATAAGCTTGCCAGCATTAAATTTGGACCGGGGGAGCATTGGTGTCAGTCTGCGGTGACAGAGAAGCATGTGCTACCGGTCGCATGGCGCTACGTCAGAAGTACGTCTGCGAAACCTACCGACGGGGCAGAGGAGCAGAAAGGAGTGAAGGATGTGGGAGAAGGCAAGAAAACGGAAGATACCAAGGCTGAAAGTAAAGAAGTAGTAGCGAAAGTCGTTGATAAAGTAGAAGAGGAGAATAAGAAGGTCACTGTAGACTCGAGACCAGCAACCTGCAGAAAAAGAGAAACCGAATGAAGAGAGTAAAGAGGGCAAGCCCCACACTATACCATACCTGGGAAAAGGAAAAGGAGGGCAAATCCGGCAAGCTTCCAATCACTGAGTCCAAAGGCGAGACTGCAAAACCCCTCACTGACGACTCCAGGCCTCCGAAGACATGGAAAAGAAAATCTCCAGAAGATCTGGGGAAAAGCAAGACAAACTCAAAAATCCAAAGCTCGCAGCCGCTGAGAAAGCGGCATGGGAATCGATACATAACTGCTGCCATGTATGCAAAGAGAGAGAGGATTGCTTCCAATATGTGTGTTATGACAAGACTTACATGCTTGGGCTCTCGTGCAGACTTGGGAAGCATGTTTCTGTTAGTGATGATGGGAAGATTGTGTATAATTTGGGCTGGATAGTAGATAGGATACGGAAGTGGACAGAGAAGGACGCTTGTATGGCCTGATATAGATGAGTTGGTATCAATGTACCTTCATAGGGGTTAGGTTTAAAAGGGGTTTATATCACGTGCTGGTAAGCGAATGGCCAAGCATGCAGCAGATGTGCTAGGGAATTGGAACAGCACTACTTCTGTTTGAAATCTTACTTACTTTTTGAGGTGGAAATAAGATCAACTAAGTACTAGGGTGTGTCTGAACTAAAGAAGTTCTCACTCTAGCTACTTTAGGCATGGCAGCACTATCCCAATCCTGGCTCAGCCTTATCATCCCCGCTCCCCCTCTCACAACTATTAATCCAATGGCAGGATTGACAAATTCCTTTTGATCAGAAAAGGCAAAAGTACGCCAGCACTTTGATACTTGCTCCATTGATTTATTTCAATGTGCAAATGTGAACGGGAGTGTACGGACCCCATCCAGGCAAAGGCGTTTGCCTTCAGCCTTGCGGCTGCCTCCTGCCTGGCAAGTGGACCCCCAACTAGCTTTGCGGGAGCAAACAACCTTTGTTTGTGAGGGAAAAACGACAGTCCTTCTCAACTCTCTCCTCTCTTCTTGATTACGCAAAAACTCCCCTTTGCCTTTCACGAGAATATCTATTGTTGCACAATAGCCCATTCACATTTCAGCCCCTGTCGTGCTCCCCACGGCCTTCCGTCCTGGCTCTGATCAGCCCCACGCTCTGCTCCGATAACCGACCCGACCGATTACCCTTCAGGCCAGCGCCGCGCCCGCAACAGCTCTTCCTCCCGACCATGCCAGCCCTCCCGAACAAGCAGGCCAGACGAAAAGGTGCGACGCCAGTCACAAAGCAGGAGCAAGGCGATGTTTGGCGTCGTATACTCGACGTTATGGGTCTGGAGCCGCTGAGGGAGAATCAACAGCACCACCGACACTCTCCAACAGCCATGGACACCGACTCTGAGGCGGCTGAGGCCATGGCTGCTCCAACGCCAGCTGCTTCTGCACCAGCGGCCAAGAAGGTGACAATCCTCGATCTGCCATCGGAGACGCAGAAGGATATCTTCAAGCATGTAAGTAGTCCAGATCCGTGGTCCGAGATCGCGTTGCGATGGTATGCCCGAGTCCAGTGCTGATCTGCCATCTTTTACCAGGCCTCCTCCACCGACCTGATTGCCCTATCCCTTGTCTCGAAGCACTTCAGAGACATCGCCGCTGAGCAATTGTACCGCAGTTTCCATATCGTCTTCCCTGATGAAGATGACCCTTCGAACGACTCCCCTATTGATGGTCTGGCAGGCGGGCTAGACACCTTTGTCACGAGCGAGTACGACAATGCAAAATACTTGAGAGAGATCATTCTAGAGACTCTGAGTGGAGGGGATAAAGGTGAACGCGCATACCGTCATTACCTCTACGACGTAAGCTGCGGAAAGTTTATGAATACGCTGCTGCTCCTTACTCTGCGCAAGGCTAAGGCACTGGAGACATTCAGGTCAGTATATTCATTGTCCCGGGAGCCTGCAGAACATCATGCTAATATATTCAAATAGATGGGATATCAGAGTCGAACTCAGCCGCCAGGTCTTCAAGGCATTGCATCAAATTCAAGCTTTACAACATCTCCATCTTCGAATGCAAGTCGGCCACTCGATTTACCAAACCCCGCCAGCACTCGCAACGCCTTCCCTTGGTCCTACCATCATAGACCTTACACTTCCGCCACCCCCTCATCACAGTGCCCCATTGATGGTGCCGCTACCTCCAATGCCGCCAAATTACCAGGGTGGCAGTTCTCCGAATTCATTCGCCTTTGGTAGTCAGATGTCTACAAAACTCCACAAAAAGAACACCAGAAAAATCAGCGAATTGATTCCATTAAAGAGACCACCACCAACGATCTCTGGTTTCAATAACCTGAAGACGCTGTCAATATTGGACATGGATACCTTGGACTACATCCACGAGCTGAAGACTTGTGTTCGGAACTGCTCGCCAACGTTGAACACCCTTAAGTTATCATTCTCCGAAGCTCTTGCAAACAAGTCGAGGAAGCCTCCGCCAGAGGTCCAATCCGATGATGATTCCGATCAAGAAGATGAGTTCGGACAGATCATTGTGCCCACTGGCCCACCTCCGCCGATGGGTGGTGCCTCAGATCCAAACGGTCCCTCCAAGGCTCTCAAGGCAGCAGAAGAGAAGAAGAAGCAAGAGGCGGTGTTGGGCAAAATATTCGGCATGGACCCTCCTGTATTCAGACCCAAGCCTCCACCTCCACCTCCCAAGGAGGAAGTCAAGAAGGAATCAAAGCCGGAAGAGGATCCGAAGAGACGCTTTATCCGAAACCTTGCTCCAGTAGCTGCAAAACTAATGGCACATGTTAAGCCGGGCAGTGACCTGACTGATGAGGGGAAGGAGACTCTGAGTATGATCGAGAAGGCTGCAAAGATGTATATTGAAAGCATAGACAAGGGGAAAGAAAAGGAACCGGGAGAGGCTAGCGGGAGCAGCACGGCAAAAGCAACCCCAGCATCATCGAGTGCTGGTGTGGATGATGCAACCGAGGAAGACGCTGTTATGAGTGGAGCTGCTGCCACTGGCCCAGGCCTTTTTGACGACGACGAAACCCCCAAGAAAAAGAAGCGACCGACCAGCACAGAGACAGGTGTTTCGGACCCAGATGAGATCAATATCGAGGAGCCGGAAGGAGAATTGGCCATTGAAGAAGGCGCGCCCGAAACCACTTCAGAAGAGACTGCTGAATCGGCCGAGACCAAAGAAGACAAAGCCGAATCTACAGGCGCGGCGATCGACGCCATCAGTTGGGCAAATAAACTGCATGTCCTTGATCATCATATGGCCATTCGAAATTCCCACGAAGAGATCGAGAAGGAGGGCGAGAAATTGAAGAAGCGAATGGAGGAGTTCAAGCTGAAGCTACAGTCTGGCAACATTCAAGATGCCGATTATAAGGTGGTTGAGGAGGCAGAAGCTGAGTTCAAGCGCGTCGCCCTTCGTGTTGAGGAACTCTCAAGGAATATGCAAGAAGTCAACGATGAAATTGATGACTTGAAGGCAACTAGCAAGGAGTTCATGAGCACATCTACCCATTCGAAGATGAGCGAGTATGTTCGCACCACACGAGGCCTGACGCTCAATACCCTGGCCATTTACCTCATACCTATTAAAGCATCTATTCTTTCCAGAGCTGTTGATGTCAACGTTCTTCAAAGTCTCACATTGCTCAATGTCGGTCCTCAAATCCCCTTCTGGAACTTGCTCGTTCGCGATAACAAAAACCACCCATTACCTCTGCGGAAGATTTACACAGACAACGTCACATTGCCGTTCCTTACACTCGTTGGGCAACTGGATATGATGACCGAGCTTTTCATGTTGGAGAGAACCGCAAAGACTCGAGTTGAGAGCACAGCTGCCAAGACGACCGTCACCATCGAGCATATCCGGAAAATGGCACTGAAGAAACATGCCAGCACGTTGAAGATCTTGATGATCAGGAACGATTCAAGCATGGAATGGGACCTCAATGTCAAGACTGCCATGCTCCTGTGTCAACGAGCCAAGCATCTAGAGGAGCTAGCCTGCAGCTTTGGCTTCCGAACAATGGTAAATGCCTATCTAATACCTTCATTTAATCTGCGGCTAACACGAAATAGCACACGCTCATGCAATTCTTCCCTGTCCTCACCTCTCTCCGCGCCCTCCACACGATCCAACTCCGCAACGAAGACAATTGCCACACGGTTCACACACAATTCCGCAAATTCCTCGTCGACATCGTCGCTAGTAATCCAGACGTGAAGCTCGAGTACATTGCCCTAGTCGATAACGTTGAGCGGCTGGTCCGTCGAAAACCATCACCAAAAAAGCTCAATGACAAGAAAGGCAAAGGTAAAGCTTCTTCAAACGGAATGGACAATACTTCGAAAGCCCTGGCGGAACTTATCATCGGTCTCGGCTCTTCCTCTACTTGGGGTGACGGCAGCGGTGCGAGTAATGGCACAGCAACGCCAGTAATGGTAGAGTGGCAGGATAGCAGCGATGATGAGGACGTGGGTATCACGGGGCAGACGGGGCTGAAGGTTGAGACGATCGAGGGGATTCGGTTCTGTGATGTGGGCGGGGTGAGGATTTTCGAGAAGGATGTTTTGGCGGGACGGCTTTGATGGATCCCCACCATTGTCCAATTCCTTCGAGGTACATGTGTCATAAGTAGTGCGCATTAAGCATGGATGTATAGAAAATCATGGCAGTAGCGAGTAGAGATGGACAAGTCGACGACAAATGGATGAGGAATGGAATCACGACTTAACGATCTCGCCTCTGGGTGCGACGAACAGACCGGTGGGTTTATTTTGACTTGATTCGGCTTGGCATGGGACGGGAAGGGGTGGGGCAGGCCGATCGATACCTATTTGTGCAGACATACCTTTTCTTCTCAGCGTGCGGTAGCTAGCGATTGGGAAGGAAGGCAGCAGGCGAAAAAATTTCACATAGGAATCGATTCATTTCATGCACCGACTTGACTCTGTTGCTCTTTAGTTGAAATCACTTGTGATTCGTTCTCGCAGCTGAAAGGAATGAGGCGGTAAGAGCAGGGTGGAGGAGGGAAAGTAGAAGGAAGAAGGTGGAGCATCTTCTATTAATAAACCGATGCTTTGCAGCTGATTCTTGCTGTCTTTTCTTTCTGACTATACACGACCTCCATCCAGGTCTGCAGTTGTACAGTACTCTCTCATCGACACCTCATGCGTCCAATGATCCTCTACGCAACTCCATCTCCACCAAAACGCCCCTCAAAGGCCCCCCAGATTCTCATCCATCTCAAATGTCTCCCCACTAATAACATTGATGCCATCGTGTCCTTCCCCCAGCACCGGCTTCCCTTGCTCGTAGGTCACCCTTCTCCAGCCGCACTTCTCGGTAGAGTCCTTGATCCACTCCATGGTTGGGAAGTAGTGGTCGTTCTTCTTCATCGTGATGACCCAGGGCACGTTGTCGAAGGTCATGGCTTTGAGGCGGAAATCTTGTGGGGGTTTAGCAGGGCACTTTGATAAGTAAAGAGTGGAAGGGGGAGGGGACATACATGTGTTATCAGGGATGCCCACGACGGCACTCAAGAAGCTCTCTAGATCCGGGGTCGGCTTGCCGTTTACATGTGTGATGAAATTCGTTGGCGCGAGACCGTACTGGTACGCTGGACTTCCTCTCGTCCTCGCGGAAACATAAACCTCACTGTGCAGCTTGCTGATTTGTTGACGCACAGCATGATGTGGTTTATGCAGTATGGCGCCACAAAAGCTGATCGCGCGGTCGGTCTCCAGGTCATCAGCTGAGACGGTGGGGAGCTTGATGCTCATTTCTACACAATCGCGCACGATGACGGCGTCGAGCACTTCGTGGTCGTACATCACGTCCAGCTCAGAAACTCGGGTGATAATCTTGCCGTTCAGGGTCAAGATCACATCGCCTTCAAGGAGAGCGCCGCCTTCTTCTCCGCGCTCGAAGGTACGTTTGCGGATCATGAAGAGTTGGTGGCGAGAGGAGTTATCCAGGGCGACCTTCTTGATCCATTCTTCTGAGACTCCCATAATGCGGGCTTGGCTCATTTGGATGGCGTTGAACTCGACGCTTAGCATACGCAACTTAGGGATCTCGCCGCGCTGGATCTGTTGAATTACTGGGAGGAGGGTGGGAGTCGCGAGGCCGAGGTGGTAATCTGTGTCCTTTTGGGTGACCGGTGATCGTTCGCCGAGATATGTTAACCATAAGGCCTGAACGGTTCCGTCTTCTCCAACCAGAACACCACTTCCACATTGCCCGCTGAGACTTGTGTCAACGGTGATAGCATCAACGTTAACGGCTCTGTATCTTGGAGCTCCAGAGTTGGCTGGAATTGCCACAGCTGTTATGTCGGTGATGGTGGTTTGAGCAATGACAATTCGCATGTTCTGATTGAAGCCAACAAAGTATGTCGAGGCACCCTGGGTAACATGCGTTGTGCTCAATTTAGCGCTTTGGACTGGTGCATCAACCAGGGAGGGATCGTATTTGATGATGGCGTAGTTCTGTAACGGGTGCATGAAGATAACCTTGCCTTCAACAATGATAGAGTCGGCAATGGTGATGGAGATATCACAGAGATCATAGGGCACGATTGCTCTTGAAATAACAACCAGACCCTTCTCTGCGTCGATCACGACACCCATACCCCATTTCCGATTGCGAGGGAAGCCATCAAGCTTGACTGGCATATGACATAGAACTCGAACAAAACTTCGGACAATATCTGCAGCCGCAGGATATTGGAGGTTTTCGAGTTGGATGAAACTTGCTGCTCGCGGCACCGGAGGCACTTCAGGGAGAGCATCAGCAAGATCTGTGAAATCCCAAAGGCCAGTGCTATCATTTCTGACAGCCAGCCGCATCTTACTTGACCAGTGACGATCAATGTGTAGAATGCTGGTGTTGAGGGTATGTAGATCTCGAAGATGCTTGTATGTGACGACGACTCTTGATCGATCAGGTATTCCCTTCATGACCTCGATGAATGCATCTAGATCCGGCGTCTTCTTATGATCAACAGTCTGGATGATCCATCCGTTATCAGTACTCTCAAATCTGAAAGATCCAGTTGCCTCACAAACGAACACGCCTTTGCATGCTACTGCGTATAGTCTTGCTTGTTGGTATGAGAGGTTGTGGAAGCTAGCCCCTGCAACTGAGACGAAGCGATCAGGGGTAATCTTGTGCAGATCGCCCACCTCAACTTCGACCTCGATATCTTCCCCACCACGCTGCAGCATGAGCTTGACCTTGTCACCGACGCTGGAATCGAGAATGTCATCAAGTCTGACGAATTGGGTGAGCAATTCGCCATTGACCCTGACCAGAACATCTCCTTCCTCAATCTTGTTGTCCGAAGGACCTTCTGGCAAGACAATCTCCGCCACCAGCATACCAGTCTCCTTGGGGAAGCCTTTCCGTACAGCGCTCTCCCATTCGGGAGCGAGACCGAGCCTCCGACATTCATCAAAGGGCTTGATCATCCACTGACATTGTATTGTTCCTCGCGTGATGGGTTTCCCTTCTTGTATACATCGGAGAGCACGTAGCGGTCGATCGAGAGGGAGGAAATAATCAGTTGCGGCTCCATCACTTCTTCCGCCAGCTTGTAGAGCCACTGCATATCCATCGATGTTGACTACTGGACTTCCAGAACTTCCACCGCTCGCAGCTGCAGCAGCTTGTATGTAGTTCGTGTTGAAATCACAGTAGCCGTCTCCATATTCTGGCGCATTCCGATCCAGCCGACTGATGACCCCGGACAGAATACTCAGCTTCTCTCCAGCATCATTACCCACCACCCGAATCTCTGCTCCCACCTTTGCAAGATCTGGTCTCAAAGGGAGAGCAGCCACAGGCATGTATTTGATAGCTTTGGGGTCGAACCGAAGGATACCGAAGTCGTGGACAGGGTCGCGGTAGACGGGGTAGGCATCAACTTCTTCGTGGTTGTCGAATATGCAGTATCCCCAGAAAGGTCCAGCTCCAACCACATGTCGATTTGTCATGATATATCTGTAGAATATTAGCCAGGGAGACACTGTAGCTTAGGTAGAACATACCCTCTTTCTGCATCCACCACAAAGCCTGTAGCCTCACTCGTCAATGCAGGGTCTGTATCAAAGGAGCAGGTCTGGCAGAACCGGATGGAGACGACATTTCGAACCACGTTCTCGATGCAGGCCTGCCATTCTGCTGTATCTGCCATGCCGGGAAGTATCCTCGTATCCTCGATCTCGATCTCCTCATCCGCGTACATTGTGCCAATCTCCGGTGTGTTCTGTCCCGCGGACTCCTTCCCATTGATTGCCCGATGCTGCTTCTGGGGTCGTTCGGTCACGGAGCTTGGGTGCTGCTTTCGCTTCGCCCGCACCGTTCCATTTGTGCCATTCATGGTCGAGGTGTGGAGCTGGCTGGCAGAGGTCGTGCTGAGCCGGCGGAGCGTAGAGGGGCTCGTGAAGGCAGAGAGCGTCGAGGAGTGGTGTTGCAGCTCCAGAGACACAATATTCGAGGATGGAAACGCGACTGCAGAGGCAGAGCTCGCAGGGTTCGTAGATGCGACAGCCTGAGAGAAGCACGTCAACGAGTGGTGTCTCAGTCGCGCATAGAAGGCTCTATTCATCCAGCATGGATGGACGGAGGCACCAGAAAGGGCGGGTCGAAGGAGCGTCGGAAGGAATGTGAGGCTATTCCGACAGCTGGCGAGGTGGCACGTCTAGGGTCAGGATGGTGCTGCTGCAGTCACCAGATGTCGTCGAAGCGTTGCGTTGCGTTGCGTTGCACGAGACGAGGGAGGGAATGCGCGAGGATTTGCTACTGCGTGCAATTGGCAGGGGGCAACGACGAGAAGGGGCACGGCACGGATCGCAGCGTGATCCCCAGTTCACATCAGGCTAAGCGAGCGCAATCAACGACGTTTTTTCAATTGCTTCATCTATCCATCGTCCACCATCAAGCATGGAAGTCATCGTGTATGTAAGTGAACGACCCGAAGAACGCAGCGAATTCCTTATTGCATCCCATTTGAAAGAAGAAAAAAGAAACCCTCAGAAGACAGCCCATTCCATGTGTCGAAACAATCCAGATATGCCGCCAAGGGACTTCCGTCAACGCCTCCCAATGATTGACCAACGCCAGCCCAACGCCATGCATGTAGGAAATCGAGAAATAGGGCAAAGAAAAGTAGAACCGATGACGTCTGCAAGTGTGTCAGTTGAAGAGCTTTAAGAGAGTGCCTGAGAGTGCGGAGACTTACAACCATGCCTCAAGCTTCAGACACCCCCATCCCAACGCCATGCATGTATGAACCGAGGGAAATAGCGAAGGAAAGCTGAATGCCGACGTCCGCAAGTGTGTCAGTTGAAGAGCCTCAACAGAAAATCTGAGAGTGCCGAGGCTTACCGCAAGCGTAGACGCAGAAGTACTGAGAACTCACGGCGGCACGTTTATTCATCGTCCGGGTCATCTGCAATCTCGGTGGTGGCCTCTGTGTCGTCATTGTCATCGGCAACAGAGAATGCTTCAGACTCCTCATCGGATTCCTCCACCACCTTGCGTTTCTTCGAGGCTGGCGACTTGTATGGCTTTCCTTTAGACGGAGTGGGGGCCTTCGGTGTCTTCACACGGGGAGCCGCAGCTGCAAGTAGCGGTTAGCACATTGTACCAGATGCAATTGGATAGAATTACCCTTGGTAGCCTTGGACGGAGTGGCGGGATAAGAAGCGGACTGGGAAGCAGCTTGACCACCAGTAACGGAAGCTTTGGCGAACTCGGCAGCAGCAAGCTTCTTCATGTCTCTAATACAGTGCTTCTTGGCTGCGTGGGTACGGCCACCAATGTGAACACTATCAGCATTGATGGGTTTGCCAGAATGGCCGAGGTGGATCATCTGGAGCATCAAGGAATTCTATGAACAATAAGTATTGCTCCGACGAATATAAGAATGAACGTTACTTACGTCCTCAGTAGCAGACCATTTGCCGGAGGAAGACACCATTTTCATGTAGTTGTCTGTAATCTATTTCGTCGGAAGTTGGGTGAAAGTTCAGCGGAAAACGAGCTATGTCAAAGTTAGCACATTGTTCTCAACTCGAAAGCGATCCGTTTTCCGCTGGTCTTCTGTCAAGAACATGAGCGGAAAGCTAGGAATCCACATCGCTTTCCGCCGATATTCTCAATCAAAGGGAAGGTTGAAACTGAGTCAAACCCCCCCTGACGTCGTCAGGAACATCGGCGCAAAGCAAGTTCGCTTTACGCTGATGTCTGTAGCTTTCCGCTGTTGTTCATGATCAAAGGGAATATGGAAGGTGGAGGCAAGGGACGATTGCAACTTACAGAGGCGGTGGTGGTTGTTGAGGGAAGGAAGGGAAGGAAGGAAGGACTCGAGGGCTGCCTTTATGCCCAAGGGTCGGGCAAGGCTGGCAACTTTGGCAGCGAGCTAGCGGGGGACCCCCGCCAATCCGCTGGCCTTGTGGACAGATGATCCGAATAATTCGATTCACTCGCAGCGAGTGAATGGAATCATGTCTCCTTGCGAGTTCCAAGCTGTGGTCTTATCCGGAGGTGAGGGAAATGCAGACGAGACTGTGCCTCTTGGTTCGAAAGCAACTCAAACATGGACAAGAGACTCATTCCTTTGAGTTTCAAAGCGTAGAAATTCGGATGAGGGAGTTATGAGCAAGTGGTTCTATTCTTGATTCTGTTTACAAGACTCTGCTTATCTTTACCTTTGGCAAAATAGTATCCCAAAATGCATTCTCAGCTTTCCCCTACTACTTGTTTTCCGCCCAAGAGGTATGTGTCTAAAAGAAGAATTAGACGAGAATGAAGGATATCTTCCTTTATTGCTATGCTTTGTATTACCAGCTATTTTGCCTTTGAGACCAGCGAAACCAGCCCAATATGTTATGCATTTGTCTCTTAGCCATTACTCTGAGTTGCTGCCCATACGACCAATACGAGTGAAGCGGACCAGGAGGTCACAGCCAGCAGTTGGAATTGCCACTACCTTAACAATAAAGGTTATCTCGTCCCACATATCTGCAGGAAGGAGTGCGCCGACTTGCAGTCAATTGTCCCTTATGCCTGTTTTCGGCTAGTAATGACGCATGCGATGCTGGACTAAACCGCGAAGGGCCCATGGGTATTTAGAAAAGTAGGCTTTCGTCGAATCTTTTCCCCTGTCACTGCACGGCTGAATATGCCTCCACTACTGCGAATCGCGAATTCGTTAAGCTCTCCCTTCGCTACGCACGGACCCCGGAAGAGCTTCTACAGAGTCACCCCTGCGGCCGCGTCATGTGGTTCTCCCAGGACATTGGAAAATCAAAGTCTGCCCCGAGTCAAATGTTTTTTTTAATTAAATATGTCTGCATCTTGCAGCTGTGCTTTGATTTAAAGCTATTCTCCAGCATTATTGCTGCAATGTGAAATCGAAGCGATACAGCACAATGCTCTTGCCTCGACGCAATCGCATCACCCACTTTAAGGTAGAAAAGCTAGCTTAACCGACCCTCGAATATCCTCGAACACTACAATGCCTCTCGTGCGGGGTAAACAAGTCACAAGTTTGTGACTAGCCTTGATGGCCTTGTTCTCGGAAAGATTGATAGTTCCGTAGCTGTCTTACCCCGCAGTGCTGCCGTTCTGGAATGCATTGACTACCTTGTTGAAGCGCGTCCGTCATTTTTGATCTCAGCTTAAGCTATTGTCACGGGTAAATTCTTGATATCTGTTCTCCCTGTTCGTCAAGATCGGAGCAGCCTGGTGAGGCTAGGGCTGATGAAGATAGGGGAGCTGGGCGGCCTCGTCTCTGTTCTTGAATATCATTTGATCAAGTACGAGAGGTACTTCGTACCGTCCTGGCCGCACTTCTCTCTCATCACCATATCCGTCATCCTCTTCTGTCAACAGCCTCTCCCCCAGAGCCCTACCCTTTTCATCCTCGCCATCAAGCCAAATCTCATGCCCACTCCCCTCATACACACAAAAAGCACTCGCACACCCCGCCAGACTCACACCCGCAACCACCTACCAAGCAGCACCAACCACACCCCCCTCTAAACCCGACCCAAACCACCACCCAGCCATTACCGGTCCCGCAGTCCTGAATGCTGCAGACACACTCTGGCCAAGCCCCATGTACAGTCCCCAGCACACTCGGATACGGGCTATAGTTATTCAACAATGTAATGCTCGCGGGAAGTGTGAATGTTCGCGCTGTAACCCGAAGCAGAAGAACGAGCGTGATCCCACTCCAGATCAGGGGTCCTGACGATGCTACTTCCGCTGTTGCGCTGGTGGGAGGGAGGAGCGAGAGGTATGGAACCAAAAAATACGCCAGGGGGAATAGGAGGAGGAAAGTGCGGAAGGAAAGGAGGATTCCGAGACGGCCATGTATGGTGGGATAGAGGAAGAGTTAGAGAGCCATGCCAAGGAGGCCAAGGATTAAGCTTGCGAGTCTGATGGTTGGCTCGGGCACACCAACACCGCCCGCGAAGGAAGGGGGAACGGGTTTGAGTTGATAAGTCTGATGAGGAGCGAGGGGTCCAAAGGAAGAGAGTCCAGAGGTTGGTGAAGGCTCTGAGTGTTTGTTAGCACGAGTTTGATTTCGGATCGGAAGAGAAAATGAGCATACCCAAGCGGAAAGTCAAAGAACGCAGCTGTGATAAGGGCGAAGGCAACATTGCGCGTCCAGATTTGACTGAAAGGCAATTTTTTCCGTGGTAAGAGTTCTTCCCGAGATGCCTGGAACGAAACATGCCAGACATTAAGATAACGACGTCGTTGAGACCCCGATCTTCGCAACGACCAGGCTTCTCCCCACAGTGGGGCTCGCAACCTGGCCAGTTATAGACTGGTCCATAAACTGCCGCCCGGTCAGAGAACGACGAGATGGGAAATCATGTTACCGTTTTCAAGACAAGCTTTTCGAAGCTCATTATGACGAACTACTCCTAGGATGACGCACTCGCAGAGATAATGGCTCTGAACAGGGAGAATATTTGCCAGAAGCGCAAAGATATTGAATCGAGTATAATCATTAAGAGAAGTGATCTCTTGTTCTGCCTTTATGTATTCTGAGCGCGCCGTACCCAACCTACCCAAGTCTTTCAGGAGACAATCTCAAATGACAAATGGAAATTCCCACCCATAATATCCTACCCCATATCCATTTTACACTCAGTGACCACCCACCAAGCTGGTTGTCAATCAACTTTCGAAGCGGAGCCGATTATAGGTCCTTGCTTCCATCACCTGGAAGGACGCTAGCCCAGTCCTTTCCAGCAATTAAGAACATCTCGGCGGTTAAGCAGATGGTGAAGAAGAAAGTAACAAGCATGGTGAGGGCGTAGACCTTGGCATACGCCTTGATAAGTCTGATACGGGAGCTCCAGTCAAAAGTCTTCCACGCATCAAGCATGCTTACAACGCCGTTGCCGCCAACAATCTCGGGAATGACCTTTCCGCCAAAGCTGCGGTCGAAGGGAACGATAGTCTCATCGGTATCTGGGAGGAGGGAAGCTTGAACTCGAGTCAAGGTGACGTTGGCAGGCAAGACAAGCAAGAAGCCAAGCACAACACTGAGGACGAAGATGCTGAATCCTTTCAAAGACAACATGGCCTGATCGTGAGGGCTGAGTTGTGCGATCGTCTTGGCGTCCTGAGTGAAGCCAGCCAATTCAAAGAGTCTCAGCGGTACAAGGATAGTGATCTGCTCCGCAACAGCAAGAACAGCAGTTGGGACAGCCACCTTCCGCCATACTCTTGGCGAAGGAATGCGACGGTACCAGCTCTTGGGGTTGGGCTCGGAAATGACGATTTGTGTCCAGGCCAGAGGAAGTTGTGCGCAGATGACGGCTGCAATAACTCCGGCTACTCCGTATGGGACAAAAGGAATGAATACAAGCATCCTTGCGATCCATCGTACAAGGATTGCATTCACGATGAACACAGCGAAACCTCGGAAGCGTCCACGGAAGCCCCCAACAGCCTGGAGGTGCTTCACCGTTCGGCGGAAGCTGGAGGTTATGTATGCTGGTCTGGCCGGCTGTTCCGGGTCTTTGTTAATTGTGGAGTCGGGATCTTCGATTGCGAGGGGCTCGAAGGTAATGGCCTCTTGAGGGGATTCGATCATAAGGAGGGTGGTGAGGACGCGACCGAAGGTGTAGGAGATCTGCAGCAGGTTAGCCAAAGTTCAGTCTTAGGAATCGAGTAGACGTGCGGTGAACCAAATACCAAGGGAGATGAGGAAAGTTGTGCCCACGAGCAGGGCGCCCCAGGCTGGCATCTTGGTGGGTTCGCCATCTTCGTTGCCGATGGTGGCCACGAAGCTACGGCGAAGGAGATGTGTTGCGGTTTCCATCTTGCTAGATTCGATGCCGCTGATAAGAAACGACTGAGGATTGCAGACTGTTGATATTTGGCGATGATCGTTAATCGTGAAGCAAGATGGAGGATGTTGAAAGATCGAGGGGAGGGCAGGGAGAAGTAAGACACGAGGGGCCAAGATGCGGTTGGCGTTTGAGGCGCAGTCGTCGCGAGCCTGCGCCGGGGATTCACGGTCCGTGATTGGCTGGTTAATCTGCTTGGAGTATACAAAAAGAGAATGGCTGCCTGGCTAGACCCACCTCACTGCTCTATTTTCGTAAAGGGCGGGAAAAAACAACACGAAACGATCGTTAACATCATATTTCATGCTGTCTCTTCCTACTATGTGTTGACTCAACATTGTGCGCTTCTAAACCGTGTTTCTTGCAGGGACCTCGGACTAAGTAGATCTAGTTCTTCCAGCTGTGTTTTATAGGCGGCTCTCAAATCAAGGCCACGAAGTTATGACGTCCCAAAAGCTTGCTGCATTACAGTCTTGACCTTTTGAAGATATGTTACTGCCTTACAATGATGTTTGATTAAAATTGCTCACCACATCTCCATAATACTACGATTATCACGTAAAGGGCAGGATAACTGAGCTGGGGTAACCCTTACCACAATGCACGAAATGCCTCCCTTGGCTCAAACTCATGGACATACGGGCCTCGGTCCTGAAAAGTTCCTGAAATCATCAATACTGGGGAATCGACCTCCGATCTGAATTCCGCAAGATTTAGCAAGTGTTAATCAATGGAAGGGGAGTCAAAGAAGGGATATACTCCGACACTGATTGCCCAGCTCCAAAATCAAAGCCATAGCCCAAACGCCAATCTCCGATCTACAGCGTTAGTTGAACCCTGCTATTTTGGAGGAAAAATTACTGGTATTGTGTACTCCATTATAGAGACTTTGGGACATGAACGAGGACGGGGGGATATGTATTGTTGGCCGAGCGGATTTACACCAGTAGAGAGATTTTGCAACCCTACTGCGAGGCTGGAGGAAGCAGGATGACAGCCTGGCAGCGCCGTTTAATAATTGATCCGTGCTTGCACTGTTTCGAGCTGACGGTGGACGATGTGATGCCTGGTGGCTGAAACGAAGATCTACGACTCATGAGAGTAATGTTGGTACTTGATGAGTCGACCAAAGGCATTGGTGAGTCGACCAAAGGACTGCGTCAATGGCTGCCCCACGTTTGCTGTGGCCCAGCCCCCACGGCCACAGTGGGAGCCCACCCTTGAAGCCACAGACAGGAATCCCCAACTTCATCTACCTCTATTGTATGGAACAGAGCCTACTGGCACTAATCTAATATAAAGATTAATTGATTTACATGTTTGAACTAGCCTACCTGAGAGAACAGTAGTGAAATCCAGATATGGGGAAGCTATTGGTCACGTGACCTGGGTTTACCCGTGATTCCCGTCTGTCAACGGTGAAGCCGCGCGAAGAAAGTTATAGCTTATTGGTCTTTTGTTCAAGTGCTGTCAGCTGCTAATTCTGTAACATAAAAGAAAGGCTAAGAAATGAGAACCTGGAAGGGGACACTGTCACATCACCTGCGAGGAGTTGAAAAGGATAATCACTAGTTGAGAGAATGCCTCGGCAAGCTTGGAGGCAACGTGTTTCAAGGGTTGTTGTAGATTCTACTTACCTGATCGCACCTGGTGTGCGAGCGCGTGTTTGATCGATCGAGAATAGCTTCAGATGCAACCATTGGCTTCCCACCCCCTCATCCCACCATCTTCTCAGCAGCCTCCCGAAAGCCCCTGGACTAGCGTCGAGGCAATACGAGACAAAATGCTTTCCCCTCCCATTTGAATCTTTCCTCGTCTTCCACTACATATTCTCGCCCGTGTACCAGTCGCAAATCGCATCGTTCCCATGATTCATCCACACACTTTCGTTTAGACCCTCGTATTGAGGACGATTTGATTTTCTTTTCCTTCATTTCTATTTCCGCGTTCCCCTCCACTTCCCCGCCACATCTCTTCGTGTTCGATTCCCTTGGATCAAGATACCTCAGACATGCGACTCAATGTCCTCCTTCTCGCAATACTCGCGACTCTAGTAACAGCAGATTCAGTGTCGTCTTCGAATGCCAATGGCGACTGTAACACTGGCTTTGTCGTCTGCGCGCCTGCAGGCGCCACATCCGCAACGACCCCGCAGATTGGCGATGCAGCGTTCGCGAACCTCTTCACCGACATTGTGCAATCCTCCCTGCCAGCCTTCAAACGCTCACTATCTGACCGAGCCGTGGCATCCTTGTGCTGCAACGCGCTACTATCCTGCCTCACAATAACCGCACTTGGGCTGCCCATGTGTTACGACAAATTTACGACGAACTTCTTCCTCCCCGACGGCAGTCACGGCACCATAGTAGGCGGCTCCTACACTTCATCTTCCGGTGACCACGCCAATCTCGAAACTGGTGATTACACGCTCGCCAGTGGCCAGACAGGGAATATCTATTCGAAGGACCCAGCAGCAAAACCGAATACAGCAACACTCCCAATGCCAACCCAGTTCACAGCCTCTGGAGTGGGCTCCGCGGTCCCGATCTCCAACCTAGGCAGCCAGGTTACTCACACGTATACGACTACGATCCCAGAAAGTGTCGTTCCAGCGGTGACCATATCTCCGAGCACGGTCTCTGGCGTTGTGTCGCAGGAGACGATATTGTTGCCAAACACTATTTTGACGCTTGTCTCGGGGTCGTATGTCAGCAATACGGGGGCTGTGACTTCGCTGTCTACTTTGACAGAGCCCGCCTCGATCATTCCGGGGACGACATTACCGGCCAGCACAGTGAGTGCAATCGTGACGGTGGTTACTACCACACAGGTGGGTGCTATTCAGAGCTCCACGACACCGAGCGCTACTACGAAGAAGGGCGGTGCTGGAAGAAATAAGAGATCGGGAATGGGATTGATTGTTGTTCTGTTGGCCGGTCTTGTTATGCTTTGACGTTGTTGCGCTGAATCATGTATTGGCGAGAATCTCCTAATGACGCGGCCACACTTCCTGCATGTGCGAGAAAGACGGTTAATGAGCGATACATCATTATAAGCATAATGCTTCCAGCTACAATCGTGTCTCCACAGTTCACTTTTTTTTCCAGAGAGGGAATGGCAAGTGACGAGGACGCTGGAGCGCCTGAAGTCATGCGCCTGTACGCGCCTGGCAACCTCCCATTGGGCCTCAAGCGAGCGCTTTAGGGGCTGAGCAAGCCACTCAAGGCAAGTGTTCGGAATCCCTTCAGCCCAACAGCCACCAACATTGGAACCCTCTATTCCCTTGCAGGCCCAACAACAAACCCTGCAAAACCTTCAAATTCGCGACAAAAGGAAGGTCGTTCAATTTTCTCAAGGAACAACCCATCAATCCGACAAAGATGTGTCTCCCAATGTGACAGTCACCACTCTCCTCAGCCTCTCCCTCAGCCTCTTCGCCCTCGCAATCCCATCCTCAAACGAACCCGAAGACAGAGACCAACACCCCAAGCGCGGAGAGGTAGAATACAGGGCCGTATGCCCCAGGAAATGGGGTGGAACCCAAAGAAGGAAAGGTGTTACCTTAGTGGGCCGAGGTTCGCATATGATGTCGAGGCCTATGATTGTGAGGCTGCTAAGTAAGCGGGAGATGTTGCAAGCGGAGTAGAGAGCGGGGAGATTTGAGCGTGATTGGGGAAATAGCAGGGTGGAATGATGCGGGTCCGGGCGAGTTAAAGGGACAAGGGACGCGTTGGCTGGAGTTTCGGGCTTTTTATTTGAGAGCAACACTTGCAATTTTTTTTGGGGATCTTGGTTGTGGCGGGAGTATGCGCAGTCAAGTGGGTGAGTTTTCAAGTTGAGTCCGCTGGGGGCGGCTTCGAGGATTGAGCCATTGTTACACACATGCTGCATACGTCCCCTGACTGTTAAGGTTCGTCGCCATAATTCACTGCAGAGTTCCAATAACTCGTTACCGTTTAAGTATGGCACCTGCAAAACCGGTGGGTCTCGCACCTCCAATTCTTGCAGTCATTTCATTGGTGCATCAACTTACCCACCATGATGTGTCTGCCAGAAGTGATGGGGATACGAGAGGATCGAAAGCCACACAATCCCTGCGGAAATCAATGCACGGCGTGCATCAGCAGAATCCCCAAAAACAGGATACTAGATTTCGACCCTGAGTCTCGACCATGATCCCTGAATTGCGACGTCATTAATAAATCCAGCAATGACAGCTCCAAACACCGCCACATGTTGGCAATTCAACCCCACCTCCTCTATGATACCGTCCCATCTCCTATCTCTATTCGGGATCAAGTTTCCAACTCACCTAACCCTCAAAGTACTTCTTCTAGACTTACCAAAACCTCCATTCCACCGCAACCGAAACCTCGCAAATGGACTCACTCAAGAACACAACCGGAATGGGCAAAGCCGAGCCTACGGAACAACAAACCAAAGACGAATATAACAACCTCTCCGCCGAACAAAAGAAAAAGCAAACATACAGCGAGTGGGTGAAGGAGAACTACAACTACCAGTACGAGAGATGGATGCCCTGGATCGAGGACCAGTATCTCAAGTGGTTTGGGAAGGGAGATAATAAGGCTTCTTATGCTACGAAAGGTACTTCCGTGTCCTTCCTTCGCCTGCCCCCGTTTCCTCCACATTTTCTGTTTCGACTTGGCTAACGCGGGCAAAAACAGAGCAACTCAATAAGACGAAAATCACGGGCATCAAACAAGTCGACCAAATCCAAGACGACGTTAACAACCTCGTCGGCAATCAACTTGGCTCCAACGGGCTCCTAGCCCCGGTCGGCAACATGGTGTCTAAGGAAGGTGTTAATCGTGCCGAGAGAGGAGGCAAAGATGACAAGGGGACGTATGGAGGACCAGTTGCCGGGTATAGTGACCCCGTTCTGGAGAAGGGGCAGGCTGCCGGACAAGGCGTGGCTGGTGGTGCGCAGAAAGTTGGCAGCGGAGTTCTAGATGGAGCTAAGGGTGCGGGTGGATATCTTGGTAGGTTGGCTGGTGGGGGGAAGAAGTAAAGTCTAGGGGAGAAGGGGAGAGGTGAATGTTACGACGGTCCGTACGGGAATATTTGGTCCTTTGTAAATAACGTTCGGACCCTGACGGTTGGAAGTAAGCAATTCGCGGGAAGGCGTTGATAGTGAAATTGATACCTTTGTTTCCGTCAACTCTTATGATTGTCTGGTTTCTACTTGCCCATCAGGCCTACAAGAACACGTTTGGCTATAAATTTCAGTCCCTATTCAACATCCCAGAACCTACCAAAACGTGGTAGTCCAAACAGGACTTTGCATATTTAGCTCTCCTCCCGAAAGCTTCACCGATCACCTCGGCCTCGGCCCCTCAAAACCCTTCTTAACACTATTCACACCATTCGCATGCCTCTGCTCCACCCACGTAATTGGCGCCAACATCAGCGCACCCAAAATACACAGCCCCGTCGCAAACACCTGCCACAACCAGATAATTGTTGCGCCACCAGGCCAAAAGAACTTCACAACCTCATTCAACTGATACAAGTCCTCTTGGCTTTGAATATAGTATTTCCCGTCGTTTGCGGGGTGTACGAGTTGCAGTTTTGTGGTCAGGCGGACGTCGGACTTGTAGAAGGGGACGAAGAAGAGGGAGAATATTTGGTGGATTTCGGCGAACAGGATGGACGACTTCTGGTTGAATTCTACAATTTCTAAATGTTAGAGGGGATTGTTTGGAAAGAGGGGACCAGTTGGGAGAGCGAACCGTCACACTCAATGTTGAGAATAATTCGTGGTGACAGGATTTTGTACCAGCGATAAATCATCCAGATCACCCACCGCGAATTAATCTCTCCGATCAATGGCAGTGAGATGTGCGAAAAGCTGGGGACTCGACACAATGGATGGATGAAGCTGGCGTCGGGGAGGAAATAGGCATCGAGGGCATCCTTTTGGTCTGCGGGAGAACCTTCGGTGAGCAGGTGGATGACGTGCGAGATTTGACGTTCTGGATGTTCTCGTCAGTAAAAACTAATACCAATTGAATAAAGTGGATTTCGCGATTCGGGAAGTAGATTGCAACGAGAGGTGCAGTTTGAGTTTCCATTTGTCTCCCCAAACAAGCTTCCCTGGCCAGATGGCTGCTCCCAAGCGCCAGAGTATTGTCAATTCAATTAGAGGATATCATGAACTTACTTGGGTGATCCATTGTATGGGAGTCTTTGTATTGGGAAGCGCGACGACAAGGTATGAGAATTAAAAGGAGAAAGGAAGATATTGTGGAGGGAGGAAGCTTCGGAGCTTCAACGATTTCTGAGGTTTAGCCATGATGTCACCACGGAGAGCGATTTTCATGTGAAGATCTCGCTAAACTCAGGGGCTGGAGTGGGGAAATTCAGGGGCTTGGGTTGGCGTCAAATCTCGAGATGTGCAACGAACTTTTCCAACCTCGAGACTACGATTCCGAGCTAACTACGCATCCATCTTTCCAATAGTGCTAATTCAGAACATTACAAAAGTCTCACACACTCGAATGTTCCAATGCCTGTCCATATTTCTAAATAGCTCGCATGTCTATCAACGTCTAACTTGACAACTCATCCCTAATTGAGGAACTTTTCGTTACCTCCTTCCCAATTGATACGGCATCAATCGCCCAAAGTGACGATACTCCAGGTATAGGAATCAAAAGTTCGATGGCTATTGTACGGCCCCTCTTAAAATTCTCAAGCATCCTTTTCAATCTCCTCTCCCTTCTCCCCCCCCAGGAGGCGGAATATCTATTGCCATCCCAATGTCTAGATTCTCGAACTCAAACATACCCACTCCCTGCACACCAAGTAGTTTCATCTCCGCTACCTTCTAATCAAACACTACACCTTTCATTTCCATGGTATCAGTAGTCGTCACCATGATGTTCGGCTCTCCATCTGTCCAGATGTCTTTGATTGCTTTACCAAGCAACTGATTAGGACCCTCTACCTCGTCTTCAGGTTTGTTATTGTCGCCGACAGTGGAGCAGAAATAGTCGTCTGAGATATTTAAGAGATGTTTTTCCTCCTCCTCGACTTCCAACTGCGAAACAAGAAGGCGCAAATCAGCCAAGGCTTCCCATTTCTTCCTAATTAAAATGTCCCCTCCAACACCACAAAGCTTTCCAGGACTCCTACATCCACACACAGAGAAGCTTAAATCTATAATCCTACAAGAGCGACCTTTAATGATGAGGTAATCGCCTCTCCCAGCCTGTGCTGGGGAAAGTGGCTTGACTTCGGAAACCTGAATCTCGTCCATTGCGCAGACCATCATTTCGAAACAATGAGAGGTATTGCGCCGATGGAGACAAGGTGCGTCTTCCGGTTGAGGTGCTGTTGCGATTCCTCTGAGGCAAAGCATCCCTCTAGGGGAGAAGAATGTGGTGGTCTTGATTCGGCACGGCTGGTCGTTGATCGTAACAAAGTCTCTATCTTTTACTTGGTGAGCTCGTCTCGAGAGCGTGATCTTTATTAGACCCACAAGCATCAAAGTTTGCTTGTTGGCTTCCAAAATTTCTTCAAGATTCAAATGGCTGCTGTTTATTGATGCTATATTGGGTCCGATAAACTTGACGTGATATTGAAGTTCGAAACTGTATGTATCGTTCCGGGCGAGATACGGCTTTGAGAGGGTTGGTAGCCTGGTGACAACTCTTCTTGAGGTGAATACTCGTCTTGATAACGGGGAAAGAAGTGAATTGAGAAAGAGTGATTAAGGAGACTTCTAGAAGAATACGGTACACCGATTGAGTTAGTCGGAACAACAATGTGCAAAAAACGGCACCCCATGGTGTGGGCTCCGCAATTAGGACCCAGTCTAGCTAACCAAACTCAACTCCAGAGTCGATCATTCATTCCCAAATATCTAGGAACACAACGAAATTCTTTAAAAAATACTAACGAAAACTACAAAAAATGGGTGACATACACGCAAGTTGCTTTCGGTATCAGGATTTCCATGTTGAATATCGTGATTCCGCCAAAATAAGCGGATCCTCAACTCGAGGTCATTGTATTCAGCGCAGCGAAACGTTAATTACAGGGTATAACAGTGCATCTTACCTATGCCATACTATACTAGATGTAGGTGTATATGCTCAGCCTATTTTCAGCATCGCAAAACTCTGTCGCAGTTCCAGCGCAAACCATGCAGCAGTCCTTGTCAAATGCAGCTATACTGTATGCTCCCAGTGAACTACTGCCATAGCACTGAATGAAACAAATTAGCTTGTCATCTATGGAGATATTTGCTCGTAGCGTTTACAAGAAGGAAAATCAATGCGAGAAGAGCATACTTCAGAACCTTCCCACGGTGCCCACGACGCAAAATTCTGGACTATGACTTGTTTTGGCAATTCTTTGGCGTGACACGAGACAAAACATGCGTGGGAGCGAGTAGATAAATGCAGATACAGCAACCTGACAAAGTCTCATTGATATTCTCTTCGGACTTTCACCATCCACACAAACTTTATTCCGTAACCTCTAACTCCCATCCCTCAAACTTCACCTCTAATTCCTTCTCGTCCGGCTTTGGACTAGCAGCATAAACCCCGACCCAAGCCTGCACATCCGGCTCACTCAAAATCCAGGTAACCTCTCGAATTGGATGTCTCCTCTTCCCATCAATAACATACACCCAAAGGGTATCCGCTTCTGTATCCCGCTCCATCTCCAGCGTAACCATCTTCCCCTCCTTGATACCCACCTGTAGCAAACTCCAATCCGCCCACCGATCCGCGGCTACAGTACCGACATACGCCTCCTCTTGATAGAACTCGATTCCGGTCTTGACCCATTTCCTGTCGGTATCTAAGATTATTTTCGGGTCTTGAAGGACGATGGCTAGGCCGCCTTGGTCGTACAGCCGTGACCAATTGCCGCTTATGGTGACGCGGGCTCGCTTGAAGGCGGATAGTGGGATGGTTTTGTACATAATGGGCGCATTGAACGTCTTCACCTCTGGTGGACCAGGTTTGCGCCATACGTCGGTCGGAAAAGAGGTGGTTGGACTCAAGGTGAATGAGGTACGGTCTGACGATGGCGCTGGCTCTGCAGCTTTGAACCGGGACCATGGAAGGTGGGATGAGGATGCCATTGCGGACGTCGGAACGAGGCTTTTAGAAAGCAAGAGATCAACTGTTAGTGATTGAGGAAGTAAGGTGTTCTGTTTCTTGAAACGTGAGACTCAGCGACTGTAAGACACTGCGTGTGAAGTTGTGGGAGGGAGAGGTTGTTTTATAGGATAGGCGGACCGCCTCAGCCGGCTGATTTCAAAGTGTGGCGCAGGGCAATTGAGGGGCATTTCGGGGCTCGGGTTCAATACGAGCACCGCTGGCAAAACTGAATTACAAACAATTCTAGCAGCTCCAACAAATAGAGTTATGACACAGGTGTGGGTGTCATGTAACTTCTCCTCTGGGTAGGGAATGCGGGGTCTGATTATACCAAACTAGAAGCCCAAGGCCACTCAGCTTCCTGCGCGTCGGATTGCTAACCCGAGTTTAGTTAGAACCCTTCCCGTAAATGGATTGGTTCTTCTCAGAATTGCCCGTTAAGGAAGGAGAGAAAACTCCTAGGCATCTTTGAAGAATTGGGATGGTGGATGGAATACTTTTCATCATATTAGTTTGATGTTATGAGTGGAAAATCAGGTACTGAAAGGTAAGATTATATCCAGTACCCAGCTCAAATCTTTTCCTACAAAATTGCACCTAAACATGAGGAATCTACATCTTTTCTTGCCTCTACATCTGATAGACTGCTGTTAGTGACTAGCATTACCGATCTTGTCACTTCGCAGCCAGTCTCCCTGAACAGTGACATGTTAGCATATCTTTACCCTTGCGCATGTAGCCATCGCGGGTTTACCTTTGCAAACGCTCTTGCTTGTCGCTTCCACAAATCAGCATTGACTTGCCCCAGCCATTGAGGCAATGTTCTATCAAGACCCTCTTCAATATCAAAACCCCTCGCAGCTCCAACATACACAGTCTTTCCATTTATCACGGGATCTGCCGTGACATACTGAGTGAAGACCGCCACGTCATCTGGACTTTGAAGCGGAATGTTGTTTTCCGTAAAGAGGCGAGTGTGACCTTCGACCATGGCAGTATCCGTGGCCCAGGGAGCAATGACATTGACACGCGTGTTGCACATCTTCGGTGCAAGACTCCGAATCGATCGCATCAAACCGAGTATTCCGACTTTGCTCGCAGCATATCCCGGCATGCCGGGTGCTTCTTGAAACGCCGCCGCTGAGGAGATCAAGGTGAGGAGGCACTTAGATGGAAGCTGTGAGTTGTCACTGCCCGCATGTAAATAGGCAAGAGCGATGCGAGCAAAGTATATACATCCGTTGAGATTGATGTCAAGTAAGTCCATTATGAGCTTAGGATACTGTATTTGTAATAAATTAGTATCATGAGAAAATGAAATTGACGAGTTTTGCTAGATGCGTACTTCCTTGACTGTCTCCAAGTTGTTTTCAGCTGCAACTATACTTCCAGTTGCTGCCATCTCATTAATCCCGGCGCTATACACTGCCATATCGACACAACCATGCTCTTTGTATGCTGTGTCAAATAATGCAAGTTGTGCTTGGTAGTCGCGGGCATCGACTCGTGTGAAATTGCACGTTCCATCGCCAGGTGCTAAAGATTCCTGCAAGTGTTTTTCAAGAGCTCCGCCGCCCTTTTCATCCCGATCACTGAAGAATACATGCGCTCCGCTGTGGAAGAATCTGGAGACAGTTGCCGCTCCAATTCCGTTCGCGGCACCTGGAAAATGTGAGTAAGGTAATATTTGAATGGGATGGGTTTGATGTTACCTGTGATCACCACAACTTTTCCTTTACATGTTGCCAGCACCTTCTCATCGATCAATATCTCTGACATATTTGGTCAATGTTGAATTTGAGTTGTAATGAATTGAACAGAGCTCTGATCCCAAAACTACCAGCTTCTCCCGGCCAAAAGTTCACCAAAGTTCAAAGGCAAGAAACTGTCAATTTAGCCCTCTGGTACTTCTCCTCCATCGAAGCTATATGCAAATTAATAATTAATTTTATGCTTGCATCCACAAGCCGAAAGGAAGCCAATCATGCGGGATCCGGCGATGAGAAGTGCGGGGTAATTCGTGCACGGCACAGCCTTTTCTTCAACCCGGCATTTTCAATTATTAAAATCATCCCCAACGTAGGAAGCTCTATGCCGTATCGGCGGATGTGTTTTGTGAGTCCTCAGTAGTCCTCAGCAAAATTCGCATGTTATTTAGAACAGCCCTTGAAGATATTGCACCCGGAGCGGGGTTCTGAAGGTGGATGGCCAAATTATCCGAGTTCAACTTGGCTCGCTTGTTCAGGGGTAACCCCCAACATTCATTCCGCCTCGAAAGAAAATATGCTCTCTCCCATTCGAGACAAGAGAATTTCCGATGAAAGAGACTAAGAAGATTGTTATGGCTTGACATAGGCTCATCACCTTCAACAACATTCACCGATTATAACATACTCCCGGGTCCACCACGGTGGATTGGGTGGCGGGGGTCCTGAGACTTCGACACCACGGGAAAACGTGTAAAAGTTTCCACGTCCATCGCCCGACATGCGAACTCTTCAACTACTCAGCCAACATTCACATTTCAATTGATCAAGTTTGAGCTTTCCATGTTAATCTATATTCTGCTTAGGATGGGGTTGTAGGTCGGCACTCGCAATATTGCACACTAGCCTGGTCGGTTCAAAGGGGAAAAGCTAGAAACTCCTGCTCGAGTCCTCTTAACTTTATTGTTGATCATTTCGCCAACTCTCACTCTCGTCGAGATTTGATTGATCCCTTTGCGCCATGGTTTTCACTCCTCCCGCAGCGTTGACGCCGAAGCTTCCAGAAATCCCTGACCTCCCCCTCTGCGATTTCATATTCGATGAGCGTTATGGCAGACATCCGATTGCAAAATCACGGGACCCCTACGTTTGTGGTCTCACCGGCAAATCATTCAGTCTTACCGAACAAAAGGATCGAGTTCAGTGTCTAGCAAGAGCACTGGCGCAGGAGATGGGGTGGGAAGTCAACGGAGGAAGCGAGTCTGATAAAGCGGTTTGTGTGTTTGCTCTCAACACTGTGGGTCTGCTTTCCTCTCTCCATCCAAGTCTAGGGCTAGAACGAGGGATAATTGACTGATTCAAGTATCTAGATCGATATTATGACCATAAACTGGGCGATTTTGAGACTGAATGGCGTTTCCTCCCCGGCAAACGCAGTCTATTCTGCAGAAGAGCTAAACTATCAACTCACCAACAGCCACGCAAAAGCAATTTTCACCGTCACGCCTCTCCTCCCTGTAGCTTTAGCAGCAGCCGCGAAAGCCGGTATCCCCAGTACCAAGATCTATATCTGCGAAATGGCTGGACACGAACGAATTCCCGAAGAGTTCAAATCACTTACGCAACTGATCCAAGCCGGTCAGAAACTACCAGAGTTGGAAGTAATCCGGTGGAGTAGAGGTCAAGCCGCAAACCAAGCAGCATTCCTATGCTATTCCAGCGGAACCTCCGGACTCCCCAAAGGCGTCATCATCTCACACCGAAATGTCATTGCAAACACCATCCAAGTCTGCATCTCCGAGCGAGAGCCTCGCCTGAAACTAGATCCGAACTATACGCAAGCCGTGCTCGCACTCTTACCCTTTTCTCACATCTATGGGCTGGTTATCATCGCCCATTGCAGCACTTTTCGTGGAGACGCCGCGGTCGTGCTCCCAAAGTTTGACCTCCAGAATTACCTCAAAAGCATTTCCCGGTTTCGAATCAACAGTCTTCTCGTGGTCCCTCCAATCATCATAACAATGGTGAAAAATGAGAAGTTAATGGGCACCTTCGATCTCAGCAGTGTTCGTTACGTATTCTCTGGCGCCGCTCCGCTGGGACAAGAGACGGCTCGAGAGCTGGCGAAACAGTATCCAACGTGGACCATCAGGCAAGGTTATGGCTTGACTAAAACATGTACTGCAATCACCTCAAGCCATCCTGATGACATATGGTTTGGAAGTTCTGGATGCGTTTTGGCTGGCGTTGAGGTGAAAGTCATTGATGCGGAAGGCAATAAGGTGACTGGGTATGATCAACCCGGAGAGTTACTCGTGAAAAGTCCAAGTGTAGTCATGGGCTATTTGAATAATGACAAGGCGAATATCGAAACGTTTGTGAACTTGCCCGAAGGAAGATTCATGCGCACTGGCGACGAAGTTATTATCAGGAAGTCGCAGAAGGGGAATGAACATGTCTGGATCTCGGATCGGTTAAAGGAACTGATCAAAGTTAATGTGAGTTGTTTCATTCTCTTTTTCTACATGCTACATTTTAATAATTTGATGTAGGGTCTACAAGTTGCTCCTGCAGAGCTTGAGGCATGTATCCTTGATCATCCAGCAGTCGCCGACTGCGCTGTGATCTCTATTCCAGATGAAAAATCTGGGGAAGTCCCCAAAGCGTTCGTAGTCAAATCAGTTTCTTCCAAGAACCAGAGTGATAACACCACCCGAAATGATATCTTGAAGCATGTGGAGCAGCTAAAGTCAAAACATAAATGGCTGAGAGGCGGCGTTGAGTTCATGGAGGCCATCCCAAAGAGTCCCTCTGGGAAGATCTTAAGGAGAGTCTTGAAAGAGCGGGAGAAGGCCGAGAGGATGAAGAGTGGAGTCAAATTGTGACTTGTATTGTATTATAAAGCATCTCTAATGCCCACTGGCCTCCTTTTGCTCTCTATTCCTGGGGACAGTTAATTGTGTAAATGTGAATAGTAATAACCCTTCTCAGGTCCCACTGCGAGGTATCTTTTGTAAGCACGTTGCCCACGCCGTAACTCTTATAACTACAGAGTATGCGAAGACACATTTGCCTACTCGTACGGAACTGCCTTACTGAAGGGATTTGGGTCTCGTCTAGTACAAAACTGGGTGTGTGGGTAGGAAATACCGTGATTGCCGCGTCACGAGGATGCCCGAGCGTAAGGCGGCATTGCCATGGGAATCCCAAGGAGAGCGATGCTCACTTTCTGGCTCAGCGCGAGATCGGTTTCCAGGCTTGACTCCGGGGTGAGAGTCCATATATGGTGGCCACGGCTGCTCTGGGGACCGGGATTTTATAGGGTTTACGGGGTTCCAGCTATCAGATTAGGGTCAACAGTAAGTCTAAATTCCATATTGTGGTCACTAATCTTGCCCCTGCGGGCAAAGAAGGCAATGATAAACTCTTAGACCTGCGACTTACTACCTTTGCCCGCGGGGCAAAAATAACTTTGGCAGACATCTAGGCTCGTAACTCACCTTTGCTCCCAGTGGTAAGAAAAGCACCATCAAAATCTGGTAGAAGAGTATTAAAATCGAATTGCTGATCATCACTCAGAGTGTAGTCAAAATCATTTAAGCCAAGATACATTAATTATTGATTATTAGTATAATAGAAGTTATTATTCGTAGATATTGTGCTAGTGAGCTAGACGAAGTCTCATTGTATGCGAATACGGACCGGAGTGCCGGCGAGTAGTATTGTGAACTACCATGAAGAGTGTAATCGACTAGTAATACTTTAGATGCTCGCAATGCCGTACTTAACATTCTTTCGCAACGGTTGAACCTCCCCACGACCACCAAATCCAGCCCGGACAATGCCATCAACCTCCCCAGTGCTTTCCGACTCGACACTAACCAGCGCACCAAAGCGAAGCTCCATATCCTTAAGGGCTTTGGGGACATTATTCGAGCCACCAAGACATCCAGCAGCAGCTAGCCTGTCCAGATCCTTGTTGCCTCTTGTTGTCATAAGCACTTGGACGAAACCGCCATCTTCCGCAGGTACGCCATTCTGGTAAAGTGAAATCATGGCAAGCACGAGGATTGGTATTGAAAGGATCAGTAGCAAGCCGTAGGGGATGTAGAAGTTGCGTGGAGTGGCGAAGGTGTATTTGTTTACCATTTGAGTTGTACTGATTATGGTGCTGATATTCCAGTAACCGATTTGGTATCCAATGGCAAGTGTCAAGTTGAACAGGGCTTGATTTAGGTGATCCGGGGTAATGTTGTAGCTTGGGCCAGAGCCGAAATCCACATTATCAAAGTTATAGTTTGGGTTCGTATTGAATTCGGTCATGTCAATCATGGTCTGATTTGGGTCTAAAAACAGATTAGCTCCGGATATAACATGTTAAAAAAATAGTCACTTACACAGTATGTCTTGGGCGTACGAAAAAACATAGTATGTCAATGCAAATTCGGCCATAGTTCCATTTGGCAGTGGCAGTAATACGTTTCCTGGAACACCACCATAAAATGGGTAGGAATCAGACATCTCATACATGACAGCTTGCTGACTGCCACTGAGTACAGTCACTATGCTGTCGAATATGGCGAATAGATTTACTGAACCATACATGGTCCAATTATCATCACCATAAACCTCACCGCCAGTTTCTGAATTCCGCCAGGTAGTGAAAATATCAGAAATATTCAAAACTTGGTAATTCAGGCTACGTTCGCCATTGACATATTTTGTGTCGAGTTTGTAAGTTGCGCGCCTAGTGGTACACTCGAATTGATGAAATTCAATAGCAACGTAATTGTCTAACATGCCGATGGGCCGAGTGAAATTTAGCAAGAATAGCTCGGAGTAGGCAGTGCTATCATTCCATTTAGCAGAAAAAGCATCTGCTCGGCCAGTCCATTCCAGAGTTTCATTGAAAACGGATACGGTGCAGTCGAAGTGCGGGACAACAATGTTCTGCGAAAATGCACAGTCCGTACCACACGGCGATGCAGTCGCTGGAATGGCACCAGATAGAAGTGTGGATGTTGCAAGCCGCTGGGTACGTTCATACGGAGTCCTGCATAAGTCAGATTAGATTCAACGTATTGAATAGAGTAGCAGAGCTGCCATTATGAAAGAACGATACTTACTCGTAAGTCCAGTCATATCCTCTAGTAAGATTATCCTCCAACCTGGACCACCCAATTGTATACTCGGCCAAGGATATTTTGCCGACAGTGGGGTTGCCAAACCAGCCTAGAGCGGAATCATTTCCCGTATAGTACGCATCGTATGTGGGCACAATGCCAGGGTAATCTGTGGTGAATGGGAAAGGAACAACGATCAGTGCGCCAGGTGGGTAGATGAGAGCAACCGGTATTGTCCATGCGATAATAGCCAAAAGAAACAGGATAGGTGACGTTTTAAACGCACTGCTAGAAAAGAAAGACAAAGGCCTGTAGCGCAGGGTATAAAAACACTCAATGATAGAAACCGATATATGCCTTCTTCGGAATACCGTCCACATGTACTGAGTAAATGCAATTGAGATTAATGCGGTAGCAGAGGCTCCGACGGCACTGGCGGATAGATGAGAGATTGCAGCGACATAAGTTTGGGGGAACGCTCCATGACCGTTTGCTGGTTTGTGGTCTAGATAGAGGAAGAATCCAAGGTGGGCGGCTGCGATTACCAGAGCTGTTCCAATGCGTCAGCCTTACTGCTTCAGTTAACGGCCAGATGGATTAAACGTACCAAGACAATAGCAAGTTATGATCTCTGCCGGCGTTTTCCATCCTACCCCCCAGGACGAAGTTAACGGTTCGCCCGTAGGAACTACCGTCTCAACCGGTACTGGCTTTCTTGGGAGAGGTTGAGTTATTGGAGAGTACCGAGGAGGCGTCATCCACGAATGTCTAGTTTGTTCATGGCTAAGAGCCTCCTGCTCTTGATGTTGCACTGCGGTATAGGGACCAGAATATAAATTCGTGGACATGATTGTTATTGCGAAACTTGAGTGCTACAACAAGTAGACAATTGCGAGACATGCGAAGGTTGAAATCCGATGCTTGGGCGCTGAACAAATATTCGGCCGCTGGTTGCGCTTATCGCAGTGTTCTAGACGGAATCCCATTATTGGACTGATCTCCACAAAGAGGCAGTCTAGATCACGAGATCCTGGCTTCTGCAAAAAGCAACAACATCGCAAAGCAGTGGTATTGGCCACTGAACGCCGAGCTGAGATGTATCCTGCGTGTTGAACCAATGATTGTGCTTTTCAGGACAAAGATAAGGAGGGGAAGCGTCTCTAGGCACTGCTGTTCTGATGAGTCGAATTCTAGATTTCGGGAGAGTCGCAGTTGAGCCGCAATGTTATGGCGACAGACCAGTTGAAGGAGGATCCCACAACGCAGCTTCGTTTATTCTAGGCTTGGCAATAAAGCCACCTCTCTTCGTGCCCAAGATCTCAAGCGATTGTAATTGCTAGTTCACCTAGACAAGAATCCGAATTCGGTTGGTTGCTGAGACTCCGGCCAACCGCCTTTAAAAAGAACAGCCTAAACAATATTATTCAACGAGGTCTACCCTGACTCCGAGATTTAGGCGGAATTCTGCTGGGCGGTGAGATACCAAGAGTCTGGGTCCAAATTTTGTCGGGCGATTTTGCGACTGAATTTTTATTCTTTCTACAACTGAGATTAGGAATCATCTTGAGCATCCTAGCTAACCATTGAGAACCCCAAACCCATACCCGATATCCAATGACCCATTATTATTGTTGAAGACTGACTACTTTTGACCACTTCGACTTTCCCCATATACCATCTTTGGATCCAGTCTTTTCTGCAACGCCATCTGTGTTTTCTCCGTGAGTATCTAGACCCCCACAAACTCCCCACAAAATCCGCAGAATTACCCTCTCGGCAGCGAAAAGCCAGCCTGAGCAGCCATCTTCTCACTCGCCCTACGTCGCAACGGACTCGCAGTCGCAGCATTCACCCGATGCAACCCCGCGAAATCATGAAGAACTTCTCCTGTTTCCAGTGGAGACTTTGTTTGACTCGCTGAGTGGAGTGAGCCGAAACTGCTCAGCGGTGGGAGCTCAGCAGGCATTTCCAACCCACTGAGATCCATATCCCCAATCCCAAGCTCCTGATCGAATTCCGCTAGCATAGCGTCATCGAGTGTCGGTATGGAGTCGGAGCCACTGGGTGGAGTTGGGAGGGAGGAGATCCCGTGCATGGCTTTGAATTTCTCGAGCAATGCCACATCGTCTGCAGACGTTCGCTCCACACCCAAGATCTCCCTCGCTTTTGCTCTCAACGCGTCATCACTTGGAACACTGCCTTTCGCCATCTCGATTCTAACGAATTCGTTCAAACCACTTTCTAGATCCCTCGAGCAGAACACCGTAGCAGGCTTCTGCCATCGCTGAGGCATGCTCTCGAGGAATTTTGCGGCCGTGGTAGCTTTGATATTGAAGACTTTCTGGTCCATCTTCACAGGAACATCGGTTGTAAAAGGTTCGAGGGGTGCTTTTGGCCAAACATGTGGAGGGGAAAATCCAGAACCGCCTCCTTTGACTTGCCATGAAGCGACGGTTGATGGAAGGCCGGGTCCGTCTTCTCGGGGGGCAAGGCCAACATCTCGTTTGAAGCGGATGAGCCACTCCGCATTGTCGGCTGCTGTTTGGTTCCAGGGATCGTCATCATCGTAGACGACCCAGCGGGCTTGGTTCTGAATTTCTGCATCTGTGGGCATCTAATTTGCGTTAGCGACAGGCATGAGTAGATGAACAGTATACGAACGTGTTGGTTTGGGTTATTTGGTGACGTGCATGTTGTCACGAAGCGAGTGAGCTCTCGCACGAGTCGGCCATAACAATTTGCGTCGTTGAGAAAGTACTTGAGTGGTAGGGTGGGATTAGTGTTGGTGGAGGGTTGGTTTTGAGCGACCATGTGGAGTGGCTGGTCATTGTTTGGTGTAAATGTTCCTGTCACGCTGTTGCTGCCGCTGTTTGGTGAGGACAGATTGATTCCCAGATTTTTCAGATCCCAGTGTAGTGTTTGGGGAGATTGGGAGCTGTGTCGGTGATCCTCTGCGCAGCCGTCATGACAAACTTCTGGTAAAGGATGCATGAGGAGCCCAACATCAGAATCATCCGGCGGAGCAAGTCCGTTCTGGCGTTTGAACAAATGTAGAATGACAGGATCATCGATTGCCGTTTGGTTCCACGGGTCGTCGTTCTTGTAAACTATTAATCGTGCTTGTTGTTGAAGATCGGCATCACTCGGTGGAATCCCAAGTGAGATTTGGAAAGCCGTCCAGTCTTTGAGCTCATTCTCTAGGCGAGCATGATTGTGAATGCTATAATCGATGCTCTTGTCGTCCGTAGATCTGACTTGTTCCGATGCCATCTCAGAACTTCGAGGTAGACCAGCCCATCTTCTAAACTCCCGAAGCCAGCATGTTGACGCACCAATTAGATACTTGAACCATCCCACAGCCGCTTTGGATTTGTAGCTTGAGGTCGTCTCGATGTCATCCAAGATTCTGCAGCATTCGACTTGCAATTCACGATCAGTGGGTGTTAGTCCCAGCGCCTGCTTGGCCATCACAAAAGCCATCAATGAACGCTGTTTGGAACACGGAATCGTCTCCAGGTCAGTCCTGTCATGAGGGGTCTGAGCGGCAATCATCTCTAGCCTCTGTGCCCAAGGAAGAAAAGCTTCTGCACCAGTCAAAGGAGACTGATCTTCCGTAGTGCCAGAGAGCATGATCAGATCACGGAACCAGGATATTTCAGGGTCGCCAGGCAGACTCGCAAACTGATCTGCGTTGGTGACAATCTTTTGAGCTTCGAAAAGAAGATCATCATCAGTCGGCACACTTCCCTTCAAAACTCGGTCATGGATATATTCAACGAGTCCTATCTTAACCAGGTCTTCAATCGTTCGCGACTGATCCGCTGTCGGATTGGTTGGCTCAAACGGATTCATAGTATTTCGCTCATCGTGGATCAAGTCTAGCAAGTGTCAATTCTGGCAGCACCAGTCGAGATGTTCACGCTTACATGGCGGCATTCCGTTCTCGACAATGTCCAAAACTTGTGGTTCGAAACCCCAGTCACCCTTCCAGTCAGCCATACTCTTTCCTCCCTTGAAGTGCTCGGCAAGGTGGTCTACTCGAATACTCCACGAATCCATCACGATACCACAGAAACCGCATCGAGAACGGATCTGAGGGGTCACGATCTTCCAAGTTTCCATGGAGAAATTCTGGAATTTGACGTCGTGAACCAGGTTCAAGTGCTGACGAAGGTGATCTTTCCGGTAGAAAGTCCTCTCTCCCAAAGATCTCTCCGCACAACTCGAATAGTTGTGGATTTCGGCATGATCTGCTGCTGGATTGGGCAATCCGCAGAAGACACATCGATTGTGATCGTAGTCTATACAGAACTGGTTTGGGCCTTCTGGACAACAAACCCACCTTTCGAGCGATAGATGCAATGACTTCTCGTGTCTCTGCCAGTCATGTTTTGTTTTGAATGTTTCGGTGCAGAAAGTACATTGGAAGGTTCGGGGAGGGGTTGTCGTGGGGCTGATCTTGACAGGCTTCGGAGCTTGGCGGCGGCGACGACGTCGACCTCTGTTTCCAAATGATCCAAATGATCCGAAAGAACCACGAGATTTGTGAGAGAAGGCAGAAGCAAACGAGTTACCACTAGACTGAGAAGTTCCTAGACTGCTAGTGGAAGACACATTGCATAGAGATCTGCTAGATCCATCATCAGTGTGACCGTAGCTTGTGAACGGGCTGTCGCGGCCGGATGAAAAGGTGGAAGCGGTGACGGCCTTTGCAATAGCAGTGACGGAGGCAGGTTCATGTTCTGGTGGAGAGTGCTTCCATCGTTCCAGGGGATTCATGTTCTCCAGAGCTGGTGTAGCGCGTCTTGGAATGTCCATTGCATCAGAGAACCCGCGCACATTGGGTGACGTTGATCTAGGCGCCCGAACTTTTCCTCGCCGACGAGCATTGGCCAGCCAATTGGTGATCTGAGTCTTGGTAAGACCAGTCTGCCTCTGAAGGACTTCTTTTTCCTCGTCAGTTGGATAAGGATGGCTCTGATGAGTGGAAAGCCATCCTCTGAGAATCCGAATCGAGTCTCGGGAAAGTCTTGCACCGACTTTGGGAATGGGTCCACCGAGATTTGAATTCATGTTCTCATCCGAATTCTTGTTCAGGGCAACGAGGTCAGGAGTGGATCGACTCTGAGGGAATGAGCCTTCCAAGGGCGAGACCAGATTGTCAATCGACTTCGAGCAGCCGTCGTCGTTCCAGCCCGGAATGTTCAGATGGTTAGACAAACTGCACGGGCAAGCAAAAGAGACGCAATTGGAACAAGATCCAAGCGGATCTCTATGACTGATCTTGCACTCCAGTCCCTGCCTGCAGCAGTTATCGCATGGGCTTGCCGGCCAGTCGGAGAAGTCGAGCTCTCCCGAATCATCAGCGTCTCTGGGCAAGCCAAAAGATTGTGAGCTGAGGTTCCTGTCAACAACTTCTTGGTGATGGTTGGGCCGGGTGAGACTGCAGGAGCGGGCGAGGGCAACGCAGCTGGTGCATGAACCCTTCCGGAGACCTTCCTTGATGACCTTGCAATGAATACGCGTCCGCTGGCAGTTTGCACACGCTTGGCTCGGTACTTCCATGCCGTCGATCCATCGTGGAAAGTCCGTAAAGTCGTCGGGGCCCATCATCGACGGGTCTGCAAGGGCATCTTGCAGGCACATGGAGAGCTGCTCCTCCGGCGCCGAGAAGTGCTGGATGCAGGTGAACGAGTTCTCGTCATTCTCAGGCTCCGCAAAGGCTAAATCAATATCGTACGGCCCGGACTCGAGATTGTTGAAGTCGATGCCATTTTGGACCAATTGGTGGGCAGCTTCGTCGAAGTCGAAGAATTCATCCATCTCCTCGATGGTCGTCATTCATCAGCAGGGCGTCGGGAGTATGAGATAAGCAGGTGGTAGGAGTACAACGCACAGCACAGTAGTAGGAGTTTGGATGGAAAATCAAAGGAAAGGCGTGAGTGAGGAAGGGTGAGAAATGGGATAGTGGACATAGATAGACTGATGATGCGGTTCTTGCTCTGCCCTGTTCCCCCCTCCCCTCCTTCGTCAAGCGAGAAGTCGATGACTGTACTCCCCCTGCCCTGGCCGTGCAGCACTGGCTTGTCAAGAAAAATTGACATGCGCCCTTCAGCATCCGCTTGTGTGCGTAGCGCGCCCGCAATCGTCGTGCTAGAAAGTGCCCGATTGGCGATGGAACAATCGAACACCACCGCACCTCTTCCACCGCTTTCCGCTTCTCCAGTTTTCGGACGGCTTCGCCGCTCAGGAGGAAGCAAGGCTGCGAGTCACGGCAGGCCGGACATAACACTCTATCCTAACTGTATCACTTGGGATAAAGATGGCTTGGATCCCCCCCACCACTCGCCGAGTGCAGGTGCTCGAAGAGGTGATGCTTTCCCACCACATGGAGCGATTGAAGCCGATGCTGACCGCGGGATCCGACATCGGTTGGATCATCAGACGGACCTGGAAAAGAGCAACTGAGCAGGTTTGTCAGCTTCCGCGGAGATGGTCTGCAAGGGAAAACAAAGATGGATACTCTGGCTTTGGAGGGCTGATCTGCTTCACGACTAACGACGCGTGTTGGCGGCTGGTGGATGCTCTACATCGACGAGGATGTCACGATGTCAGGTGGAAGGAATGGGCCGATCACGTGCAGCCACCAATGTCCCCCAATCCGCTTCCAATTGCGGCGTTCAAGTGAAACGAAGGAGCAGTTCTATTATTTTTCTTTCGGTATAATACACGTCTATTTGTCACTCATAACCTAGACCGGAGAACGTTCGGAGCTGAATCCCGAGAACTCACAGTCATGTCCTAACTCGGGATTCCCGAAGATGTTAATGAATCTGCAGGAGGCATTGCAGTCAGCCGCTTCTATGCAGGCCCGACAGCTCTCTATACATTCTATCCATCCTAACAGCAGCCATTTTTAGGCGAGAGATAAGCAGTCAATACATTTCATTCAGTTTCCGTGTTGTGCTAAATCTAGCAGAGCCGAGCAGGGCAGAAAACCGTCCCACCATAATGTTTGGTTGAAAGGGCGGTAGCTAAACCGCTTGGAACCATCGGACAGGAAGCATGTGAACTCCATTCCTTGAATTTGGAATTGTTCGAGACCTCTGAATGCGTGAGTGAAGAAGTCCCTGCTCCGCATGGGCAGGTAAGTCTCGTAAACGGTGTCCCATATATATTTGACAGCATTCAGAAGAGAGCTCAAGTGAGCTTATAACGACCACTTACTTTGACGGCTTGTTATAGAGAGGTATGAAATGTTTTCATCCTTTGTGTCCAGACCCCAGGTTCCTTGCTGACAGACGGAACAGGAGAGGGCATACACCATTTCCATTACTGCACGGGGGGTCTAAACGCTAGCGTGGAAGGAGGTTGAACAAAGTGGGCCAGTTTGTTCCTAAAATGCAATTTTGCTACATGAGTTTAAGTTATGAATGCCATTGTTTGGCTTCATTTCATTATCTACTATTTCACCTACAAGTCCCGTTAAATGAAAATTAGTAAGATCGAGCAGCTTATGTACTGTACATGAATTAAGTACCCGAGTCGGAGTGTATGAATCGATTCTGCACGCTATACAGCTTACCTTGTTTGTGGCCTGCTATTGAGGACCAAGTGTGCAAATCAGAGGGTTACAGCTAGTAGATCACAAGGCCTGACCCCGAGCCTCCTGCTCTCATATATTAGCCATTGAATGCCAGAATACTGTAAAATGTCACCAGATTCAGAACAAGATCTGCAACATCCTACTTGCTGTTGCACTTCGGGTTCCTGAGCCGCGTATATCCTCGCTCCTGTGCATCCACCTACCTCCACCCGACACCGAGATCTAGCCGCCTGACTGACGAAACGAATACCGTGCCACTTGAGCACGTTTGGTGGTGCAAGTAGAAACCATTCAGCCAATACCCCTATTTGTCGAGACGCTAAAAGTGAAAACAGGATCCAGCGTTCAATAGCTGCACTAACTTCTGCACTACCAATCTACGAATAGGGCATGATTAGTGGGAAGTCTAAGCTTTTTTCGTTACTGCTCCGGGAAATTGGTCTGTGGCATATTTGCAGAAGCCTTGCTCTTTTATGGGAGGGAATGGGACAACGGATGTAGAGCAGATATAGGGTCTTTAGACTTGCTAGAGAAATAATCTGCGCTTTCTTCATTCATTTATACTACAAGGACTGATGCTAATTTGGAGCTACATGATATGTGCGAGTCAGTCGAGGCCGACTTAAAATGAAATACCAAACCAACGCCAAAAGGACATTTGTGCAACTGGAAGCCAAGTAAATGCTAGTCGATGCTCTCCCCCCCATTCCGCGTCTGGTTCTGTGCTGTTCCTGAATATCTCTCATTACCATCACAGTCATGCCTTCCACTTGGAACCGTAGCGCGCTTAGCAGAACGCCTAACCTCTCCAGTACCCGCTATAGCCAGTATATACCCCCCGAACCTGCCTACCATACCATATAAGCCCCCCACCCCCACCCTAGAAGCCGATGAAGAAAGTATCATAAACAACCACCCTTCTCACCTCCCCCTCCTGCTGCTTGGCTTCCGTCCCCCAACAGCTCCACCAAATGCCAAAGGATCAACAGTCCTATACCCGCTCTCACGCCTATCCTCCTTGACACTCTTACTCTTTCTTCTTGGCGGGCTGTGTTCCTCGATAACAACCACTTCATCACTTCCCCCTCTACTCCGACTCCGACTCCGCTCGACTCTCTCCTCCCTCCTTTCCTCAACAATTATTCGCTCCACCCTCTCCGGCGGTCTGACGATCCTAATGGGACTTCTCTCCCTCCTCACCTCGACGGTCTCGGACGCGCGTCGCGATCTCGTCGACCCTCCATGTCGGGATTTCCGGTGTTCGCGCACGATGACAGATTCAGTGTACGAGGAGTCTGAGGAGACAGTGCCGAAGTTCAAACAAGTATATATCAGCCAAAGGCAGATCAAGAATCCTCCAACAGAGCCCAGGACAATGCCGACGATTGTTCCAGCCGAGGGGCCAGAGTTGATCGAGCCATATGTCGTCGGTATGATGCTAGGGGTATTCTGTCTTCGTATTAAATCGTAGATTTTCGTAGCGAGCTTTGGAAGGGAGGTTTCGTCGCGGGATTGCAGATGTTGCGATCGTGGCGCGAGGCTGCCGGCGAGTGCGGATGCGCGTGAATTGAGCGTAGAGAGGAGGGACGAGGAAGAGGGCAATGGAGCCATTGCGCGCCCGTGGCTGTAGGGCAAAGATGCCTTCCGCTCGTTTGCGCGTTGCGATGCGAATGCGCCGATGTTTTGCTTGCTTGGTCGTTGATCTGCGTGGTGATGTGTGTCTGGCTAGGCCCAAGCTTGTGTCAAGGTCCTTGGAACAACGTCACGATAGGGTGACCAGTGCCGATAACAACAATGCGAGGATCCGCGACTCAAGATTCGGACGGTGGGGTTGGGCTTGTTGTGTTTGATTGTTCGCAAGGGAGTTGGATGAACGAGAGACGAAGAAGATCGGATTGGTGAGGCTGGGTGGTCTGAGGATTGACGGCTAGGCAGGAATAGAACGAACTTGAACTTGGCCTCTCTTCAGGTTCTCGAGCTTCGATCAGGGTGTCGCAGGCATGCTGTCTGTCGTATCAAAAAGTCAACCAGTGAGGTGGGGTGAGTAGTGTCTGCTGCGGCCCAAGAAGCAGAGCGGGACCCAATCCAGGGCTGGTCGACTGCAGCGTGGTGGAGCTGCCCGAGCTGACTCCTGAGGGCCTGTTTGTGTTTCTGGTTCCAGGTTCCAGGTTCCGGGCTCCAAGTTACGTGCAGTTGTACCGTGATGTCTCTGATGGCGCAAGGAACAATGAGAAAGATGCGCCTGGAGATGAAATCGGAGAGGTTGGGATTTTATGGCGTCAATTCAGTCTCCTGGCTCGGATATGGCGGGGGTTGGCTGCGGCGTTTACTTTGCTCAGTGGCTGGCGAGGGAACAGACAGGAGCAGGATGCACGTGAGAGCGATAAGCTCACCCGAGTACGGAGGTACGGAAGGGGGATGTAAGAAATCACCGCCACCCCCCTTGTTAGGCGGTGAACTTTTTGGCCAATTAGGCATTGAATTCTTACGGGTTTGCCCCATAAATTCCCTTATCTAGCGATGGCAGAACCAGGGGGGTGGCGGTGATTTCTTACAACCCCCTTCTGTACTGTAATCAATAAGATAGATACTTTCGTACCTTGGAGGCTGGAGCCGAGGTGGAAAGCGATGTACTGTACTGTACAAGCCTTGTCCGTATTTTCATACATTACCTTCTATTGTACTTTCGAGGCCAACCAATCCTCCTTCTTCGTCTCAAAGGCTGGCGACGCCTCGGTCTTGATTAGTCAGGAGAAGAGGGGCAAATCCAAATCGTGGTCTCGGAACACTCCTGCACCCGCTGCTCAGCCACACGCACTTGGGTGCAACACCAAATGTTGCAACAAGACATCTGTTTCTATCAACGCTTTCTCTCTCCTCTCGACTTTGTAATTGCTCTGTATCTCCTTGTTCATTAATATACCCCTTTTCTTTGCTGTCTCCTTCAACACCGATATTTACCTCCGATTCCATCTTCTGGAAGGACCGGATCCTCGGGATTCTCGAAAGCTTATTTTTAGTCACTGACCTTACGACACCCTCGACGTCGGCGCGGACCATTTGCCTTCACCTGCTACATCTCGCACAATCACGAATACCTACGAACCTGCGAACTCCGTTGTACAAGCCGCACACACACCGAGCGCATACCTGGACTGAACAAAGCAACCACACCCCTCCAATCGGCCAGTGGCACTTCCCCCCATTTCCATCACCAACCCTCGTTCCTCCTCTCTTCCCGCAAACCCTCAAGATGTCGCAAAAATACAACCCTCCCTCCGGCGCACCGCCAGCGTACGACGGCTCATCCCAAGGCGGATCGCAAATCTCCTCTCCACCACCCGTACACGCCTCCCCCGCCCCACACTCAGACTACTACAACGCCTCTCCCTACCAGCAAAACGCGCAACCCTATCCAAACCAGTACAATGACCCCCATCCTCCGACCTCAAATGGATATTACGCGCCGCCTCAGATGCAACAGGGGGGTTATTACCAACAGCCACAGCCAGGCTACGGGCCAGGATATGGACAGCAAGGCTATGGACCAGGTGGATATGGACCCCAAGGTGGGTATCACAATGGGGGCTATGCGCCGGGGTACGGACCGCAAGGGCAGTACTTGGGTGATCGAAGGGGTGGGAATGTGGGATTTATGGAAGCTATGTTAGCTTCTCTGGCGTGTTGCTGTTGTTTGGATGCTTGTTTGCTCTTTTAAAACGAAGCGAGGTAAAGGGGCCGTGGCAGTGAGGAAGGGTGACTAGACTAATGACCGGATGGATAGTGGGACATTGGCGAAAACATGGAGCAACAGGACGCAATAACAGAGAGGGATTGTGGAACGCAAGCAGGTTTCCGGAGAAGAGGGCTCACATACATGGCGTTGCGTTTGGCTTCTTGGCTGGCTGGACCGTCCGAGGAAAGAAACACGGGTCCCAACTTGGAAATCTCTAACATGCATGGAAAGGTGTTGCTGGAATGAATCGGCTTTTGTATGAAATTGTAATTGAAGTACTTCATCCCTATCTGTATTGAGCTGTAAAGAGTACTTTGAGGATGTCAGGTTTAAACATTGGGAAAAGCGGAAGTTCTATGCAGCATCTTCTCTTTGCCAACTCTCCCGGATGTTGTGATACTGAGACACAGCCATGACTTGGTTGCAACTGAACCAGCTGCCTGGAAAGCACTGCAAGGCTGCTGGCCAAAATTGTACCCTATGCTTAGGTCTTGTTTTGAACATTCTTTGAGCAAGCTCTCACGGCATACCTGGACAGCTCACTATCCTAGCCCTTGGTAACTCAAGATGCCAGGGATTTATATCTCAAAGATGAGTTTGAAACTCCCTGGTTGTCAGGGCTTGAAGCTATTGATGCTAATGATGTCGTGCGCCAGGACTTGGTAATACCGCGAGGATATACTTGAGGCCAGAACTGAGGTTGGCACGCCAATGCGGGAGAGATATAAATGACGGGCCGTCCCATCCCTACGCAGTGACCGATGTCCCTTTGGCCAGTCACAAACTCAACACTAGCATGGCATGACAACGGGAGGCAAGGCTCGCAGTGGGAGTTTCCATGCCCAGTGTACAGTTTCGAGGTGAGTGAGTTGTCTGGCTGCAAGCAGAATTGGATTTAGAAGCCCTGAAGAGATGAAGTGTCCCCGTTGTACCAAGTCGAGTCAGACGTTGGGGTACTGGTAAAATGTAAACAATCGGAAACGTCACCTCTTCAAAAAAAAAGGGGGGGGAGGGGGGTACATCACCCATCTCTGTGAACTCTCACTCGGTACTGTGCTGTTCAATTTACTTTATTCTCAAACAATGGTATCATACACTATCAATCCTTTGCACCACCATGGCGGTTGCTGCCCCTCCACCATTACAGATTGCAGCAACACCATACTCTCCAACCTTCAGTTGATGCAGCAGGGTAGTCAGGATTCTCGATCCTGAGCTGCCAAGTGCATGTCCGAGAGAGATGGCTCCACCCAATGGATTTACGTTCGCCCCCTCAAGACCGAGAATCTAGAATTGTCAACAACGTCCTTAACTAGAGATTGTTTATCATACCTTTTCGTTTGCCTTGATGACTGCAGCAAAAGCCTCATTGAATTCCCAGACAGCAACATCTTCCTTCTTGATCCCAGCTCTCTCAAGAGCGATCGGGACGGCCTTTGCAGGAGCAACAGGGAAATCAATTGGATCGATAGCTGCATCTGCACTTCCACAGATTCTTGCGAGAACACGAGAACCTGCCCCGTACTCCCTCACAATGGCAGCATTCCCCAGAACCAAAGCACTTGCCCCGTCATTCAAAGTGGAAGAGCTGGCCGCTGTAACCGTTCCCGTACCATCTCGGACAAATGCCGGCTTTAGCGTTGACACTTTGTCCAGCTTGATATCTAGGTATCCTTCGTCAGTGTCAATGATGGTGTCACCTTTCCTTCCTTTGACTGTGACAGGGGCTATTTCGTCCTTAAAGGCTTGCCTACTCCATGCTTCCTGAGCCCGGGAGTAGCTCTGCTTTGTGTATTCGTCCTGCATCCCTCTCGTGATCCCGTATTTCTTTGCCGTGGTTTCCGCGCAGATGCCCATGTGAAATTGGTTGTACACGTCCCACAGACCGTCCTTGATCAAACCGTCTTCCATCTGGACATTTCCAAATGCTGGCAGACCACTGGCTCTGGGAATATAGTATGGGACTCGAGTCATATTCTCCATTCCCCCTGCCACTTGTGCTTCTGCAAGGCCGAGTTGTATGTTTTGTGCTGCGAGGACAACTGCTTTTAGACCGGAGGCGCATACTTTGTTGATTGTTGTAGCTTCGACGGTGGAAGGAAGGCCTGCGAAGATAGCCGCTTGTCGGGCGGGAGCTTGTCCGACATTACCTTGGAGCACATTCCCCATGTAAACATCTGTGATCTTGGAAATGGGAACTTTCGATTTCTCGATGGCGGATTTGATTGCTACCGCGCCGAGCTGGGGAGCGGAGACGGTGGTGAACGATCCATTGAACTGGTAGTGTTAGCTGAATGCCGGCCAAAAGAGTAGTTTCCCATCATACCTTTGCTGTCGGCGTCCTGGAAGCACTCAATATGTAAGCTTCTTGTATTTCCTGTCTGGCCGAGGTTGTTGAAGAGAAGTGTCGCTGGACTTGCGATAGTCGTTGTTTTGAGGCTGTAGAGGAATTCCGAAGGGAAGACATAGCTGTGCGAGCGGTGCGTAAAGACATTGTAGTGTAGGAAACCAAACCAGCAAGCAAAAGGAAAAGCGTGTGGAGTCGTGGTGAATAACGCGGACGAAGGAAGGGGGCGGAACCCGCTCCGTTTAAGCTCGGCTTGTGAAGGAACAAGGGAGGCGGGGCGGGACCGGGACAGGGGCTGTAATCGCCACGTGACAAAGCTAAAAACTGGAGGACCCTTGCAATCGCTGGCTGTGGCTTTCAAGTAAGTTCATGCACCTCCAGCCTGTCAACGCCAGACCCAAACCGTGAACAAAGACTTTCCATTCTGCAGCAAATTCCTGTCCATCAACCACCCGCCTCGCCCTCGCCCATTCTTGATTTGAGATCTCATTTCATTATCCCACCGGCTGTCGCAGCTGTGTTTCGCATAGTTTCTGTTAATCACGACTCGGGAACCTCGATCACCACTCGAATCAACTTCCGCCTCCCCACTCTACGACAGCAAACAGAGCACAAGATTCGACGCTTGTGACTCTTTCCGCACACTTCAGCGCCCGGCCAGGTTAATCTGCAATCATGTCTACACCCGCCCGTCGCCGTTTGATGCGAGATTTCAAGGTTCGTGGCGGAACCAGTTCAGAGCACACGATCATTTCTTGGGACTGACAAAACACCCAGCGCATGCAAACAGATCCTCCTGCAGGTGTATCCGCATCGCCCGTGGCTGATAATGTCATGACTTGGTAAGTGGTACCTAGTCTTTGCTTTGTGCTGCTCTGACGTTTCAACAGGAATGCTGTGATCATCGGACCCGCGGACACTCCCTTTGAAGACGGTACCTTTCGACTTGTTATGCACTTTGAGGAGCAATATCCAAACAAGCCACCTGCAGTCAAGTTCATTAGCCAAATGTTCCATCCAAACGTATACGCCACCGGTGAGCTGTGCTTGGACATTCTGCAAAACAGATGGAGCCCAACGTACGATGTGGCGGCAGTCTTGACGAGTATCCAAAGGTATGGGATCAAAACTGGGCCGGGCGGAAAAGAATCTAACTTTAGTAGTCTCTTGAATGATCCTAATACATCTTCTCCAGCAAACGTTGAGGCCTCGAATCTCTACAAGGATAACCGAAAAGAATACCACAAGCGGGTCCGGGAATCGGTAGAGAAGAGTTGGGAGGATTGAGCAGGGAAAGACTGGAGACTGGGTATACTACACGGTTTCGATAACGGTTAGCTTCTGGCGTTGGTGGTGAGGGCTACTTCATGAATGTTTGTTGTATGGGAGATTGGAGCTGGCTGGTTGGCTGCTGATCCTGGCTGCGGAAACAACGAGTCAAATTCTAGGCAGCTGGGCGAAAGTCGACATCGATGGCTTCTACTTGAAATCCTGCATAGTATAGCGGTCTTGCCAGCGTTATTAATTCGAAACCAAAACAATTGTCCCCCCTTGCGTCGGTACAATAACAATCGCCCCTCCTCCCCCTTCCCTCAATATCACCGTGAACTCCTCGAAGCCAAATCTTCCCCCGTCGGAGTTTCCCTGGATTTTCTCCTTCTGCGCTCCAGTAGTATCGTGATTCCGGCAAAATAACATGCGCAGGCATCTTCCCGAGTGTTGTAACTCGATGCATTGACATGGGCTGGTCGCCAATTAGCTGATTAGCTGCTACGCGAGACTTTTTCCGAAGACGCGCGACCAAGAGGCAAGGGCCAAGTGTGTCAACACCTCCTTATCGCCTACAACCGTCACGCAAAACCTCGACAACGCCTTTGTTGTCAAGCTCACTATTCAGCTGCATGTGATCGCTCCCAGCTAAGACACGCCGCGATCATGTCGAACAGCATCAAGGTCGTGGCGCGGTTCCGCCCGCAGAACCGCACCGAGATTGAGCTTGGAGGGCAGCCTATTGTGGAATTTGAGACCGAGGACACATGCCGTCTGGACGTATGTATTCATCGGACAGTACAGGACATCTGCTGACGCGATGGGCAGTCAAAGGAGGCCTCGGGGGCTTTCACGTTCGATCGGGTGTTTGATATGAACTCGCGCCAAAAGGACGTCTTCGATTTCTCCATCAAGTCCACGGTCGATGATATCCTCAATGGGTACAACGGCACAGTCTTCGCATATGGTCAGACGGGAGCGGGGAAGTCATATACGATGATGGGGACGGATATTGACAACGATGAGGGCAGAGGCGTGATTCCCAGAATAGTGGAGCAGATCTTTGCCAGCATCCTCTCGAGTCCTGGCACCATCGAGTATACGGTGCGAGTCAGCTATATGGAAATATATATGGAACGAATTCGAGATCTGCTGGCTCCACACAATGACAACCTGCCTGTGCACGAGGAGAAGAATAGGGGCGTATATGTCAAGGGGCTGCTGGAGATTTACGTTTCGAGCGTGCAAGAGGTTTATGAGGTCATGCGAAGAGGTGGAAGCGCCAGAGCTGTTGCCTCGACGAACATGAATGCGGAGTCTTCACGCTCACACTCCATATTCGTCATCACCATCACACAGAAAAACGTTGAAACGGGGTCAGCGAAGAGTGGGCAGCTTTTCTTGGTCGATTTGGCTGGTAGCGAGAAGGTCGGCAAGACAGGTGCTAGCGGACAGACTCTCGAGGAAGCCAAGAAGATCAACAAGAGTTTGAGCGCCCTTGGTATGGTCATCAATAACCTTACGGACGGGAAATCATCCCACATCCCTTACCGAGACTCGAAACTTACTCGAATTCTTCAAGAAAGTTTGGGAGGAAACAGTCGGACCACGCTCATAATCAACTGTTCGCCGAGTAGTTACAATGATGCCGAAACACTGAGTACGCTGAGATTCGGTATGCGGGCGAAGGCGATCAAGAACAAAGCCAAGATCAATGCAGAAATCAGTCCCGCAGAGCTCAAGGCACTTCTCAAGAAAGCCCAATCGCAATGTACAACTTTCGAGCAGTATATTCAGACACTGGATGCGGAAGTTCAACAATGGCGAGCTGGAGAATCGGTGCCAAAAGAGAGGTGGGCGCCTCCTCTAACTGGTGTCGGAGTTTCAAAAGCACAATCACAACCGCCAAGACCCTCAACGCCTTCGAGGCTTGCGACAGAGAGTCGTGCAGATACGCCTGCCATCTCTGAACGTTCTGCGACACCAAGTTTACCTTTGGACAAGGATGAGCGCGAAGAATTCTTGCGGAGGGAGAACGAGCTCCAAGATCAAGTTGCTGAGAAGGAATCACAAATCGCTGCCGCGGAGAAGACTATTCGAGATACAAAGGAGGAGCTTGCATACTTAAAGGAGCATGACACCAAGACAAATCGGGAGAACGAGAAGCTTACTAGCGATGTCAATGAGTTCAAGATGCAGCTAGAACGTCTTTCTTTCGAGAGCAAGGAGGCACAGATCACGATGGATGGTCTCAAGGAAGCGAATGCCGAGCTTACCGCCGAGTTGGACGAAGTCAAGCAGCAGCTCCTCGATGTGAAGATATCCGCCAAGGAAACCTCTGCTGTTCTGGATGAGAAAGAAAAGAAGAAGGCAGAGAAGATGGCCAAGATGATGGCTAGCTTTGATCTTGGTGGCGAAGTGTTCAGCGATAATGAGCGCAGCATCAAGAAGGTCATCGAACAGGTGGATGCATTGCACGAGCAATCAGCTGCTGGGGAAGCAATTGCGCCCGACGAGTTGCAAGAGATCAAAATCGCCTTGGTGGAGACACAAGGCATTGTTCGACAGGCTGAGCTGTCTTTGTATGGCAATTCGGCAAGTGACACCAACGCCAGGCGAAGGGAAGAGTTGGAAGACCGCATTGAGAATCTCGCGCGCGAGTACGAAGATCTTCTGGAGAAAAACCTCAGCGAGGCCGATGTTGAAGAGGTCAAGCAGAGACTTGCCCACGCCTATTCGAACAAACAAGATGCTCAAGTTTCGCTTGTTGAGGACTTGAAGTCTGAACTGGCGCAGAAGTCAGCCGAGGTACAGAAATTCAAAGCAGTGAATGAGGATCTGCAACGGAAAGTCAAGACTGGTGTTGTTCCAAATGGTGGTGCTATGGCGAATGGCAAGACTGTCCAGCAACAGATTGCTGAGTTTGATGTCATGAAGAAGAGCTTGATGAGGGATCTCCAGAACAGATGCGAGAGAGTTGTCGAGCTTGAGATTTCGCTGGATGAGACACGGGAGCAGTACAACAATGTTCTTCGGTCGTCAAACAATCGTGCCCAACAGAAGAAGATGGCATTCTTGGAGAGAAATCTGGAGCAGCTGACACATGTTCAAAGACAACTTGTTGAGCAGAACGGAAGTCTGAAGAAGGAGGTCGCCATTGCAGAGCGGAAATTGATTGCACGAAACGAGCGGATACAGTCGTTGGAGTCACTGCTTCAAGATTCACAAGAGAAGCTCACAGCGGCGAATCATCGGTATGTCCTCTTTTGCTGGAGTTTTGTTCATGCTAACAAGGCACAGATTCGAAGCTCAATTGACGGCTGTCAAGGAGCGTCTGGAGGCAGCGAAGAGCGGCTCGACTCGCGGCCTTGGCTCCCCGACTGGCGGATTTTCCTTCGGGGGAGCGGGATCGAGGATCGCAAAGCCTCTCCGAGGAGGCGGAGGCGAATCTACTGGCACCATCCCAACCATCTCAGGACTGCAGAACGAGGCGATGTCTGGGAACAAGAGGAGCTCGTGGTTTTTCTCAGGGCAGAAGTAAAGAAGGGATGAATGAAAGGTAGAATAGATGAGTCATGTATACCCACGTTTTTCGTTTGTTGATTGGACATCATTCCCTGGGTGCCCCGGCTTTTCTGCATACTAGATGGGCAAGGCTGGTATCGTTATGCGTGGACGGAGAACGGACGGGCATATGAATGGAGCAGTTGTCGATATAGCGCGTTCAGACTGAGTAACAATTGAGAATAGCTCAACCCTTGCTTCTTCCTTTCAAGGCCTTTATCGAGCGAGTGGGTTTACCGCCCTGGAGAAATGCGAAAATGGATGTTTTGTGGGCATCACTACGCAAGGAAGCCACGTCTTACCTTCTCAGTGGTTCCAGTGTTTGTTATCGCGAGTGCCGTCCACATCTCTGTTTCATGTATTGTTTCTAGCTGGTGAGTCTTCGGTAAGGAATTGAAATTGTGGCTCTATACTCGCAAATCAACGAGTTTTTAAATTATGCAAAAGTCTTTGCAGGTACTTCTCAGATGCCGTATCTCGCCATCCAGGACACCATGGAGATAGCAATCCTCCATCAATTCATAGGCATTGTTTGGGGTCGAATGATGAATGGCGTCTGCGCCCCAAAGAGCACACACACCTGGTCACCTTCCCGGACGCCGGAGGGTCTCAGGCCAATATAGCCAGTCTTTGCCACAAACAACGACCTCCCTTTCGATACCGATCCCAAGGCCATGTGGTAGTGCAACGATATCTCATTGCCCGACTCGGGCAAGACACAAGTAGCCCTCAGTCCGCTTAGTGGATCTAGCCCCATCGCGAGAATCCAAGAACCCCGTTTCAAAAAGGCATCATGAAGTACCTCGCGGCCTGTGCTTCTGCCGAGAAAGGGGTGAGAAGAGATGGTTCTATTATCCATAACTAAGACTCGTGCGAAAACTTGCAAATTACCTTCGCCACTTGGGTATGGTTCCTGTTTATTCATATGAGCCTCAAAAACGGCTGCAAATTTGAAACCGCACTCGAAATGTGGTTCCACGGCGAAAACCAAGTAGTTACTGTTGCAAACATACGACACAGTATCCAACCGGAATCCGCGGACTATCAACTTCTTATCGGCAGCAAAACACAGCTGTGGTGGCTGCATTGCTGATTAGTCGCTGAACCACCCTTAGTGGCGGTTCGAGCAGTGGGAAAATGGTTGCTTCGTCTGCCTTCATCTCCGGTATTGGACCCATAAGTCTCCAATCGGGAACCCTCGAAGGCATACCAAAATCAGATAGCCCGTATTGTAGCAGTGGCCGCTTGTAGCAGAAGTGGAGTGGATTCAGATATGTCGAATTCTGAAGAGCGTAACGAGCCAACTGCTCACGCATCGGCAATCGTCTCTGGGTATCTCGGCTCGAATGGGCTTACTGTGTCCGGATTCCTGTTGATTACACTGAGAAGAGCAAACACTCTATCTATGTCATCGGAACAAGCACAATACTAGAGAGTCCGAACCATTTGCTCGCATCACCGACCAGATCGGTTTCCCAGTCGCGTTCTGCATCCCTTTCCAGGCCTGAATGGTTGCATGAACGTGCACGCACTATTGCATAATCCAGTTTCCCGACGTCATGTCAATATATTCCACAATCTTATGGGTTGCTACGAAGTCTTCCCAACCCATGGTCTCCGCCCCACAAAACAAAGTTGCCCGTTGAGAAAGGGTAACCCCTTGAACAACCCAGCGACGGGAAACCGTGGCAATCCAAAGAATCTCTCCAGGGCATTCCATTCTGGTCGGGATGCAAGTTCTCGTAGAATTTGTTGCTTCCATTCAAGTTGGGACTTGCCGTCAACTTCAGAAACAGCCCCTTTGATATTACCGAGTGTTGGATTAATCACTGGGTCTCTAGTAGGTTGACTAGAGTTATGGGATGATTCGGTCAATTTTCTGGCTATCTCAGATATAGTCCTCCATCGGCTGCACGGACATTCAAGCCTTTGAGAAACCGTAAGCTCCAAAGGTACCCAGGAGGTGGGTCACCAAGCTAGACGAGGACCTGACTAGTTTGGGAGTAGATTCGAGCCATGAGACCAATCTGGACGAATTTTTCGGCATCAGAGTTTTGATTGATGCAAACAGCATTCAAGACACAGGCGCCGGGGCTTGTCTAGAGTTTGGAACCTGCTCAGTGCAGAGTAGAAATTGTCGGTAATCTTGAAATCTCCTTTCGTGCGCGCCAGAGTCTTTGGAAAGTCCGGCCTGCCCCATGTGTAGGACAACGCCTCATACTGTGGAAATTGAGAGAGTGAACGTGTACGAGCTTGCGTGTAAGGCTCTTGTGTGCCTCCTCCTCTTACGGAGGCCGAAGTTCAAGGATTTGGATGTGATCGTATCCGCTAAAAGGCTCGTAGCTGTATGTTACCTGAGAGGTTGCCATTATAGAGTAGATAAACCACGCACTAGTAGATTATCAAGGCAACAACTTCACAGCACACAATCGAGATCCCAAGTCTCAGCCTAAAAGCTTAAACTCTGTCCAAGAGTTAAATGGCGCTTCGGGTGTTTGCCAGGTGCAGTTATGAGTTCAATGGACTCACTAGCCATGCATTTTCAAGTTGACTACTAATAAATACAACAACACTTAATCCTGCCGTGCTGGATCTGTAGCTGGCTTGTTCTCGATCACTCGGTCAATCTCGTTCATGATTTCTGCTGTCAACTTCTCAAGTACGGCCAAACATTTGACATTTTCAACAATCTGATCGGGTCTCGAGGCTCCAGTGATTACCGACGAGACATTCGCATTTTTGAGACACCAAGCCAAGGCAAGTTGTGACTGCGTGGCTCCCAACTTCTCGGCAATTGGCTGTCGGATATCAGCCCCTCCTCCCTGTTTACGTTCAGGATTCAAACATACCTTCAGCTTTCCAACCTTAGCCACATTACTCTTCCACTCTTCATTTCCGTAGTTATCTCTCATGAACTCTGCGAACTTGTCCTTACTCTCTGAAAATCGTGATCCATCAGGTGGCCCTTGGAGCGCGTCGTTGTACTTCCCGCTTAGCAATCCCATTTTCAGGGGGCTAAAAGTCGTTAATCCAAGCCCACACCTCTTGTACAATCTCTGAAATTCCCCTTCAACCTTCTTGCGGTCAAGAATATTGTACAAGGGCTGCTCAACAATGGGTGCCACCATCCGCAGATCTTTTGCGATCCCACATGCTTCCGCAATCTCATCGGCAGACCATTCGGAAGTTCCCCAGTAAAATGCCAAGCCACTTTCAATTACGTAGTTGAATGCCCGAACGGTCTCTTCCATGGGAGTTAGGCGATCCGGTCGATGGGCGTAAACAATATCGACATATTTCAGATCGAGACGTTCAAGAGAAGCGTGGAGTCCTTCCACGATGTGCTTTCTTGACAAGCCGTGGTTGTTGACGAGAACTTCGCCATTGGCTCCACCCCAATTCAACTATTCATGATCAGTTAATTCGCTTTCTTGCTGTTGGGGTCTGAGGACATGCTTTGGTGCTAATCACAATGTCGTTTCGCTTCCACTTGTATTTCTTGATCGCCTGGCCCATGATGATTTCGGACTGACCACCCGCATAGCTATTCCGAATTAGCCTTACCTATGAATGACGAGCAAGGCAATTTACCTCTCTGCGGTGTCGAAAAAGTTGATTCCGCAGTCATAAGCCTGTTTCATACATTCGAATGTGCGTTCTTCCAAAATTCGTCAGCTCTTCTTTCCGGTACGCCGGTACATCGTCTTTCCATGCGGAACTCACCATTCGCTACATGCCCACCAAATCTGTAATCATGCATTAGTAGCAAACGTTTTAATAACTATACCAGGAGGTCTTGGAACATCCGTTGAACATTTCACTCACGTAAGCCACCCTCCAAGCCCTAGAACGGATACATGGAGTCCCGAATTGCCGACTCGCCGGTACAGCATCCCCGTTTTTCTAGGCTCTTCCCAAGCCATCTTGTTCTCGTTTCCCTGGTGGCTGCAAGGGATTGAACTCAGTGCATCCTTGGTGGTATTTGTAGGAACGTGAAGGATATTGATCATCACTCGAGAGGGAATCGTAGCCTTAATACAAAATTTCATCGGAGAAATTCTCGGAGTAATCGCGAACAAGGATCTCGTTCGTATCCACAATAGAGACTGTCTCGATAATGGTCAATTCAGGGTGAAATTTTCGCTTCATTTGGTACTTGAGTACTTCTTTTTCTTCCAAATGTGATACCACGCGTTGTTTTTCATCGTGTATGTTCAAAGGGAACCGCAACATGGATATTGGTCACGTGAAATCCGAGAGACTTCAACCCTGCCAACGAGATCCTCGTGCCCGGACCTCAAAGTTAAAGCAAAGTGCCCCGAGATAATATTCTAAGAGTTCTTAATATTCAGGCTGATGAAACTGCTACATAGTAGTTTCCCTTTCAGCTTCAAAAGTGATGCCGCCGAAGTTCAGACCCAACCAGTAAATAAGACGGTAACCCGACCTCACGCCGCAATTAAGAGACGTTATGTTACAAAAACCGGCTTGAATAATGCCTCCCGTATTAGAGAAAACAGTGAAGGGGGCTACCGGGAGAAAATTGACTTGGGGGTGCGACGGTAGAGAATCCACCACCTCGAGGGATCTGCGAGGTTTCAGTGTTTGGCAGAAAAGGGCCCAAGGTGTTAAATGACTCGAAGCCGTTGAACGAGCCATCGCAACTTTGTAGTTGCTCATACAAACCCCATGAGTTTGCAAATGTTCTTGTAAGGTCTGGGTCAATGATGGTGAACCACGATGGGTCTTGGCCTGCTAAGAGTATCTGCTGTTCGGTCTGTTCAAACTCCAGGCCAGGGTCTTCAGCGTGGGCTCCCGTTGATGCGCGGCCGTGATCGCCATTTTGCTGAGAGCAGATTGTTAGATGTGAAGGGGCCGTGGGAACTAGGCCACGGTCACTGCCATCTTCAGAGCTGAAGCCAGTGGGAGTACCGAGCTGATCACTTTCACACGATTCCCTGATCCGTGAGCTTGGTTCCAGTAACAAAGGCTCTCCATTCTGGACCTCCGCAATTTTCATGCAAAGCATTATTGACAATGTTTCGTTGCCACCACGACAGGACATAAGAATCCGATGAAGTTGATTTAGGACCTCTCGTGCATTTTCCGGGAATGTCCAACTCCGAAAACTGACATTAAGTGCATCGGTCACTGCACTCGCTATTTCGAATATTTTGAATTCCTAAATGTGTCAGATAACAGTCAGAACAATGTGCCGCTGATCTTCAACTTACGATACTTGGCCCATGAGATTCAATCGCAGCAGTTGGCAGTTTCGAGATAACTGTTAGGAACTCCTGCGCTATTTGAATTGGGTGTGACAGAGACGTGGCGTGGTCAGAACCGGAGTTGCGGAGAAGGGATATTCTCCACAAGACTGCTCGCATCCATTGACGAGTGACACAGATATCGGCTCGTTGAACATCGTTGCTCGCTTCCCAGTCAATGGGCACATCCTGAAGTCGTTGCTGCAACACATCAAGAGAACTTTGATTTTGATTTGTTGCAACTGTCCCTCCGGCATCCGCTATATCGACATCATCAATGTTCTGGAGAATATCAAACGCGCCGGATTGATCAAAGATCCAGAATAAGTTGACAAGCTTTCGGAATGCTGGTAATACGTGATTGTCCTCGCCACCACCGGTAGATGGAAAGTGTGTGTTGCATCTCAGTACGGCTGGAAGATTGTGAAGCATTGCAACCCCGCTTGGCAAGATCAGTTACAAACTTTTGATCGATAAAGGGAGCATACCGTTCCGTGACAAATAGCAACCAAAGAATCCTTCTTCTTGACTCCTGTTGGGAAGATGAAAGTCCGATATAGGTTGACTCGCGGTGAAGCCCCATGATTTGAGCTAATGTAATGGCCTCACGGAGATATGACAGAGACGAAACACCACCAGGTTCGAGATTTTCGTGGTAGACATGAAGAAAGAAAGCGATGCTAAGCGTGTCGAGACTTGCATGCCGCCCTTTGCCGTCAACGCTTCTAGCACGGTGGCACTCGGCTTCCATCCAGCTGGCAGACGCTGTATCTGCAAAAGAGTCGAGTTTAAGTTGGGCCATGGTAGCTGCTCCCACAGCATTAGCTAACGCATACACCAATGTATCTCCGTCGTCCTTCTGTAAATCGGCGGTAACATCCTCTACAGACACAATGGGCCAAACAGGGTATAGTCGGAGGCGGAATATACATAGCCGTAGTACGAGGGAAGCAATCGAGGTTCTTGAGTGTGGTCAGCAGATTTCAAGGGTGTATGAGCGTATGAGGCGTTGATTTTACCTCGCTGAGTCTTGGGGGATAGTGTCACCCGTAACTTGGGACAATGGCGTGCTAACTACATCAGGGGAAGAGCCACAATCCGCGGGGCGGTCTCCATCCTCCTCTGTGCCCTGCCTCTGGCCCTGAGTGATCTGCCGAACCGTTTTCGGGCGAAGGTTTCGAGGCCCCCTTGTGTTTGGGACTTTCTTGAACGTGCATTGTATCCCAGCAGCTGCACAGCCGCCGCAGGGTGGAAATTCGGAACACTTGATCTTCCGGATTCTGCATCCATCGCAAGCCTGTCTTATGACTTTACGCCCTGGCCCTGGGGCAGATCGTTGTACAGGCATAGCGGACGTTCGTCTGCATAACGGCCAGTGATTCAACAGTGGTGGGAGATGTACATCAGCCTGTTGGGGTAACAAATCTCACATTGAACTGAGGTTTGCAGAAGTAAAAATGCGGGGTCGTCACGCTGTCGAAGACGCTCGGCAAATGACGGCAGAACCCCTGAGAATGGCGCAATCCCTGCTCGTTAGTGCATGCAGGGAGCTGCATCTCGCATACTTCGCATTTTCGGCCACAGTAACTTTACTTGATTGTTCGAAATCTGGAATGCATAGAAATAGGGGCTACTGGTATTTGGATATAGATCACCGAATATGGCTATCCTTCTAGACAGGTTGATATATTGAAGTGTTGTGCTTCAGACACGCGAGGTTATCCAGGACAATGAAATAGGGGTATTCGCTTAAAGATGGGCTAAGACCCCATCAGCGCTCCTAGGTAAGCTGTCCCAGAACCCCTCGCCGGTATGCATGGATAATCGAACTTTCATCTCTGAAGCAAAGTAGTTACTCTGATCCAGAGTTACAAATTTGTACTCTTTCTCCCTTCGAATATAAAATCCAGCTGGCACGGTGCGTTGCTTCGTTCGAGCCACTCACTGAGTCACTCAATACTTGAATCTGAAGTCCAACCTCTTGTTCCCATCCAGCTCCCGTGCCCCCTGATCGTTTTGATATACCGATCTCTCGTCCATAGTCATAGAATCCCAGATTTTCTCCTTTCGTTTATTCAAAATGCTCAGATACGCTCGCTGCGCCAAAAATGTCACGAGAGACAGTGCACAGATGGAGATCAAGACTTTGTTCCCTTGGTGGCAGTATGGCGAATCATAAGAGCGATATATCTGTGAACCAATCAGAGATCCGATCTGAATGATCACATTGTAGGTTGCTGCTGTAATTGCTCTCTTCTTCACGTCGAAGGTGTTTTCACTGATCCACGAGGAAACAATGGGGTGGAAGTAGGGATCTGGGGGGCATAAAGTCAGTAGGCAGTTAAGGCAACGCATTGTGCTTCCGGGGAAGCTTACAGCCAGAAATCAGAGTGATCATAGAGAAGCGCGCCCAATTTCGTCCGCCATCCGGAATAGTGATGAGTGCAGCAAGAATAGGTAGGATCCAGAATTCTCCGAGAAAGCAGTGGAAGGCGCGCTCATTGAAGTAGTCGCTACTGTACGACAAAGTGAGCATTGTGATTATTTGCAACACTGCCGCCGGAATGGTGAGCATATTCGAATTGAAGGTGCTGTATCCAAGGCGTTTTAAGGTGAGCGTGAGATATCCAGTAACGGGAGTAGCGGGTATGTAGGCAACAAGCCCAATGAAGTACAATCCCCACATTGAGGAATCGCTCCAGGAAGCTTTCACATCTTTCCAAGTGGCAGCTTCCTTGAGCGCAGTGAGGCCCTTTGCAGGGTCGTCGCGGAGGACTCTCTGTACAGTATCAGTATTTCGAAAAGGGTCAAACATCTTGGGGAGCAACATTTGTCATGATTGTTTCTTCTCGCTCTGTGTACCAAGAATTTCGGAAAAGGACACCCTTCGTAGAGGTTGGTGATTGAGGAAGATAGAAAAAGCTCTGCTTCGTTGTAAGCATTGCCCCACAGAAGTGGTGAACAAGGACTGACTATAGCTCCAATTAGAAATGTGAGGAGACCCTCGATCAAAAAAAGCCAAAACCATCCTGACTTGCCACCAATACCTCGCATTTCTAGGATTCCTGCCGGTAGCAAAGCCGAGATGACTCGTGCAACGTTCAACGTTGACCAAAAGCAAGCGAGACGAATTGCAAGCTCTTTCGTCTTGTAGAAATATGTTGCAAAGAGAATCGTGCCAGGAATGAAGCCGCCTTCACAGGCTCCAATAAAAGCTCGTGTGATATAAAACGATGTACGGTTGGTCATCCAAGCCTGGGACCATGCTGAAGGTTGTCAACCAGGGGCCTAAAACCTTGCTGAAAGGAGACTCACAAACTGTTCCCCAAAGCATCATCATAGTAGGCAGAACATATTTGAAACCATACCGTTTGGTAAGAAACTGGACTGGGAACTCCGCAGTCAGGAAGCAGAGGAGCTGAATGGTGGTCCCCTGTCTACTTGTTAACGACAACTCTTTCCCTGGCCAAGAGCACACACATTGTTGTAGTTATCGCTGGTCAGATGCAGGTCCTTCAGGAGATTGTCGGCTAGAGCATTTGAGAGATTTCCTCTGTCCAACTGGAGTCCAAAGAACTGCAATGTGTTATTAGCCTGGTTTGGGTTTCGTTGCCAGATCCCGTACCATTACGCAAATCCAAGACAGAAGATAGAGATCAGTCTTCCGAACGACTCTCCTCTCCTCTTGCTCGGTCCATGTGGCGCCAGGGTCAAATCGGTGTCGACCTTCATAAGTCTCGTGAGGAGCAAGCGAATCCGACAGATGCTCCCTTCCAACTCGTGCCACTGAAATCTGTGAGGTAGAAGGCTCTCCAGAAACCTTCCTTCTATCGACGTCCATTTCTTTGTCCATATCTATCATTTGTCCGCAGACTCAGCACAGAATTGTGGATGAAAATATAGGGCTGCGGATTTCAGAAGATATTCCAATAGCGAAAAATGTAATGAGTTGGAGTTGAGCCATCTTATAATCAGAGCAGCGAGCTGTTAAGGAATCGTGCAGTTCGGTCCCTGGCCTCAATAGTCGCAATTACTTAACTCGAGCACGCCATCAACATAACATGGATCTCGTCGAACTTTGCCGGAAATCGGTGGATCAAAGTCCTAAGAAGTCGTGCAATTCCAAAGTGGCGTTGAAAGTGGGTTGCGGGGTACTTCAAAGATGGGTGTCGTCCTCCAAACCACGTAAGTGCAGCAAATCTGATTGGCCCCAGCTCCGAGAATTTGTCCGGCGCTGAAGTGGCCCACCATAACCTTGGCATATTTGTAACCTCCCCTTTTCAAGAGGTCGAAAGGCATGTAGTGAGTCTTTAATGCAGCCAACAAGTCGCGAAGCCGCAGTTAGCGGGTACAAGAACATATACGGGACTCTAGTCTTTGATTCTGTTTTGCATCAGACTCTTAAAACACATTTTCATTTCAGTAGCAGAGAGCGCCCAATATCAGTGTGTCAAATGAATAGAGTAGAATAGAATAACAGCCGTTACTCTTATTTTATTCAAGCTAAAAACCCGTTACTCTTATTTTATTCATATATTATTCAAGTTATTCATGAATAACTTGAATAACGCACGTGATTTGCGCACGTGATTGAGCTAGGTTACTCTTATTTTATTCATATATTATTCAAGTTATTCATGAATAACTTGAATAACGCACGTGATTTGCGCACGTGATTGAGCTAGCCTAATCGGGTAAGGATTCGGGGGGGCCCGCACCTAGCGTCACCTCGCTACCTAATCAGGTAGTAGTAGCACTTGGTAAGCGAATCGAACCTTAGCAATAATTAGTTTATTTATTATAGAAAATCAGTATTTAAGTAGACTTATATAAGTATTAGCTTAGCTTATATAAGGCTACTTAATAAATACCTTAGTTCTTTTTTTTAAATTTAAATATATGTTAATTTACTATAATTAATTGACTTCCACGTGACTTCCACGTGGTTATTCATGGTTATTCATGTTATTCATGAATAATTATTCTATTTTACTCAAGTTATTTAAGATATTCGTTACTCATATTCTATTCAAGTTATTCATGAATTATTCATGAATAACTTGAATAACTTGAATAATCCTTTGACACACTGCCCAATATTGAGTCAAGTGTTAAAGTTAGATATCTACAAACCGCGCTATGCCTTCGGTCCAGTGCATTGATTCCCTTGGAGCCGACATCCGTGGGGGAAATGTCATAGCTCGGACACGATGCCTCCGACCTATGATTAACACCGGATCTTTGGAAAAATACAAATACCAAGATCTCACACCGGTGATTGGGAGAGAGTTTGAAGGACTTCAGGTCACAGAGATTTTGAATAGAGAGGAAAACCTCGTCGGAGACCTTGCTGTGACAGTCTCAGAGCGAGGTGTTGTATTTCTCCGGGACCAAGACGTTTCTCCTCAACAGATGAAGGATTTGATGGAGAGAATCACGCAGGCCGCTGGTTGTGTAGGTCCGCTACTCCGCAAAATGCATTCGACTAATGTTTTTCCAGCCCGAGTCATCAGGTCTACATGTACATCCCTTAACGGAAGCAGGCAGCGAGCTTGGAGACCAAATCAGCGTCATTAGCAGCGAAAAGCAAAAGAAAGGAGGTGGCTTAACCCACCAACTGAGCGACGTCAGTCGTTTTGCGAGTGCAGGATGGCATGCGGATATCACCTTCGAGCCTGTGCCTTCAGATTATGCAATGTTGAAAATTCACACCCTGCCTGCAACTGGAGGAGATACCGTACGTTGATTCGATTCATTCAACTCCTCTTGATGCCATTTCTGACTTCAGACTTTCCAGCTTTGGGCGTCGGGTTATGAAATATATGACCGCCTCTCGCCTAAGATGCGCGAGTTCCTCGAAAGCTTGACGGCGACGCACGAAGCGAGGTTCTTCCTTGAAGAAGCTGAACGTCTGGGGAATCCATTACGGGATGGTATTCGTGGCTCCCCACTCAATCGTGGGTCTTCACTTGAAGCAGTGCATCCAGTGATCCGTACGAATCGTGAGTACGAATTCCAGTGTTAACTGCCCCAGGCTAAATTCCTCAGCTGTTACCGGATGGAAGTCCGTCTTCGTTAATAAAGGATTTACTAGACGAATCAATGGTGTGACGTGAGATGAATCTGACCTACTTTTGCCTTATCTGATCAACCTTGTCACTCAGAATCATGATGCACAAGTGCGATTTAAGTGGAAGAAGAACGATCTAGCGATTTGGGATAATAGAAGTACCTGGCATTGTGCAACTTATGACTATGAAGCTGCAAGGGCGGGAGATCGAGTTTGCTCACTTGGGGAAGCACCTTACTTGGACTTGAAGAGTTTGAGCAGAAGGGAGGCACTGGGAGTAAATTGAGATCAAATATCTCCAAAAGGAGCATTGCCTACTGATGAGTCTCGATGAGAACATGTATACACACCCAGAGCAAACTCCTAGCAGCGCCGGAAGGGAGAGATCTCCGATTTCTCAATGCCTGATTAGGAGACTAGATTCAATACCCCGCATTTGACTCCGTTCGCCTGCCAATAATGAACTGCAAGTGGATGCTCGCCAAGTTGAGTTGTGACGGCATGAGACTTGATTTGTCCGCGAACAAGCCACAGCCTCACCCGGCGCACCTCCAGACGTGGCGATGACACAAATGTGCTCGGGGTTCCGAAGATGGAGTCGTTCCGGTCGTCCTAGGCTCGGCACTCTGGTCAACGGAGTATGTTGAGAAGCGGGGTTCACACGTTTAAAAAGACCACCGCCTTTCTATACTTCTTCTTTCTGTCGCCTACTTCAGTTCTTCTGCTTCTCCTACAAGGGCGGCCAATTGAAAGCCTACAATTCTTTTCCAACTCCTGAAAGCCTCGCCGAGAGGAGAGATCACGATGCTCGAAGTTTATCTCGACCCGTGTACCGTCAACAGCCGAAAGGTCCTGGCAGGTCTCGATCTGCTCGGCACAAAATATCACTTCAACCACGTTGACTATTTCGCCGGCGAACACAAAGCAGTGGAGTATCTTGAACTCAATCCAATGGCAACGGTTCCGACTGCGACTGATGGTGACTGCCGTATCTTCGAATCAAACGCGATATTGCACTATGCTGCCGAACTTGACAACGTTGACGACAAGTATCCCAAAGATGTGAAGACTCGCGCGAGAGTCAATAGCTGGTTACTGTGGGAGGCCTCAGTTTGGTTTCCAAGCTGCTATGTCTACCTCTTCGAATACATCGTCAGACCGTTGCTTCAGCAGGAACCCGTCCAATCCAACGTCGATGCTGAGGCCCAGAAATGGAATAAACTCGCTGGCTTCCTCGAAAGTCAGTTGTCCAAGACGAAATGGCTGGCTGGCGACGAACTTACAATCGCCGACATCTCGATTGCTGCATCCATGCATCTCCACGCAGCGCAGCGTCTTCCACTTGACAAGTACCCGAATCTGAAGCGCTGGATGCTTGAGGGTATTGAGAAGCTGCCTTGCTGGCAAAAGACGCAAGAGGCAGTGAACAAGGCATTGCTTCCAGGTACGGTGGCGTAGTTTTGAGGTTTTATGTGTACCATATAGCTGAAGTTCTTTGCGTTTAAGCAGATACTACCAAAGACGCACATGTAAATGGCAATTCAACAGTCCGAGCAACTTTCAATTATACCAAAGACGTCGACCAGCTCACTGAACTGTATTTCTACGAATATAATGGTGTTAAAAATATCCACGAGCCTGGTGACAGCCCACACGAAATGGCCGTGACTGATGGCTGGCACCGTGCCAACACATTCTCGATCGACAAAGAAGGGTTTTCTCTTCACGAGTTCAAGACGGACCACAACAAGTGGGAAGACGACGAAGCAATCAAATCAAACTTTTATCCAGAGGTTGTGGAGATGCTGAAGCAGAAAACCGAAGCCAAGCGCATACTTGTCTTTGACCACACAATCCGTACAAACGCAATCGCTGATAAGAAGTTGACAGACGAGACGAAAACTTCTCAACGCACTCCGGTGATGCTCGTGCACTGCGACTACACTGCAGAATCAGGCCCAACACGCGTGCGTCAACTGCTGGGAGAGGAAGCAGATGACTTGTTGTCACGTCGTGTTGCCTTTATCAATGTCTGGAAACCAATCAATGTCGTTGAGGAGAGGCCGTTGGCAATGTGCGATGTCACCTCTACCACACCTGAAGACTTCTTCAAGCTCTATCTCAGGTACCGGGATCGCAATGGTGAGAATTATGTGATGCGCCACTCTCCCAAGCACAAATGGTGGTACTTTCCGAAGATGACGCCCGGGCAAGTTATCCTTCTCAAGACATATGATTCCGAAATGGACGGGAGAGCTCGATGTTTGGGGCACACTGCTTTTGAGGATCCAACTTCGTTGCCAGATGCTCCCACTCGGGAGAGTATTGAGATTCGTACCATTGCGTTCTTTTGAGATAAGAACCTGTTGAAATTAGGGGCCTGAGGCCCGTAATAGGCTTAGTAAGCCCTGGAACCGAACGCCATGGGGCTGTGCACTAGCTTAATACCCTGTCCAGCTGGAATACCCTGTATAGCTGGAATACCCTGTACGGCTGGAATACCCTGTACGGCTGGAATACCCTGTATAGCTGGAATACCATGTACGGCTGGAATACCCTGTATAGCTGTAATCGGTTCAGCTGGCATATGGATTTAGTACATGTGACTTAGGGGGTTCAGGGCTATATATACGGGCTACTTACCACTGTAGAACAGCAGTCAATTCAGTACGTTTTACTTGGTTTATATTGCAAGCACGTGACCCTAGCTATATTGCTTTAGCTAGTTCAACAGAACCGAGGTGTAAGAATAGTGCAAAAGTGTAGCTGAAGACAACGCAAGAACAGCCGGACTTAGCTGTTTGTATCGAGCGACATTACCTGCATTGAATACAAAGGTGCAGGATGGCTTCTCTCTCCTACGTTTCCAATAGCCCCTAAGCTGTGATCAGGCACCGATATCCGGGATTCCCAGTCACAAATGTGGGTCTCTGGTCTGCCTAAATATCCCAGCCCTGATATCTATCCTTCATAGACATTCCCCGAGAAGTGTCCGAGTGCTTCTCATTTCACTCTTCAACTTCCTTCCCAAATCGCACTAATACATGCCAGAGGAGCTTCAACTCTTGCAGAACCTCGGGGAGGGTCCCTCTGTCTTTCCATGCCTCCGGATCCCCTGACAGCACTCTCACGGCTGTCCCAATTGCCTTCGCATTAATGAATCCGTTTTCCGCAATTCTCGCAGCTAGGGACGGCATTGTGGGGCCACGAAAATCCTTTGTGACATGCACTATTTGCATACGAAACCCCTGATGCCAGCGTAAACGGAATTCGTATTTCAAAGACATCGCTTCGAGATCTCGCCCTGTATCAGTACCGTGGAATGATGGATCCGCCACGAGTTCCAAGATATCCTTCACGAGAAGTATATCGCCGTGTACCTGAGCTTCCACATAATGGTCTAGGTTACGACTTGGGCCGGTTTCATTCTGGACTGGGTTGTTGAGGTTGATAATACGCTTCATGAGCTTTGAAGGACGAATGTTGGTCACGCCAAGGGCAAAATCCCGCGTAAAGCACTCCTCAAATGCAGCATCGAGGATGCCATGGAACTCCTCTACTGTACCATGATACTTTGGATCTGCTTGAGAGCCGCCAAATGTGAACGTCGACCGTTGCGACACATCCGGCTTGAGTACGAAGAAGCAAGACCCAAACCTTGGGGCAGGACCATCAGGGCTGCGCATCAAATCCAGGGCGCCGTACTTGGGACGATGCGTAGCTTCAACACCACTGTATGCACCGTTGGAGAGGGACCGTTCCCATTCATCTCGTGGGGCTTCGGGAGCTGAGACGAGGCCGTTTGAGATGCCGGTCTCGAACTGACTCTTGTAGATGCCATCCTCAAGGAGGCCGCTTGCGACGGTGCGATTTCCGACCGGACGATCTGGGTGGAAGTGCAGTGCGACACAAGCGTACTGGCGGATGGAGTCAAGAGCAAGATTAAGGGAGGAGGAGGGGATGTTGGACAGGCGTAGGATCGCGGTTAGGTTGTCGATCGCGTCTGCCTTGAGGGAGAGGGCATCGGATCGCAACTGCGCGATTGCTCTTTGCTGTGAAGGGTATAGAGTGAGCCGAGACATTGCTTTATAGCGAGGCGCGAGTAACAGAAGTAATCCTACTACTAAGAAGTAATAGGGCAGAACAATTAGTATATTAAAGAGGAATACGTGGGGATGTAACTAATAATATAAGCTTAAGTGCTGAGAATATAACTAAGAAAGAGACGAGAGAAAAAAAGAATAAGAAAAAGATATAATGAGAAGCGTTCGCTCAAGCGTAGCCGAGCGCACTTGACTAGATATATAACTATCTCTTAAATTCCTATTATACTAGCTTAAGAAAGAAGTGAAAAAAAAAGAAAAAGTTATATATAAATACTTCTTAAAATATAAAATGAAAATAGTTTTATTATAATATATTATATTTATTTTAAGAGCTTAAATTTAAGTTATTAAGCCTCGTTTTTATATAATTACTTAAAGTAATTTTTGTTTTTGTTTTAATTAATATTTAACTTTAACTCTTAATAACTTGGCTTATATAAGACGGATTCTTATAAAAAGTAAGTCCAGAAATCGGCCTAAATTAGGGGATTCAATATATAGAATTTTTATAATAATTTGTTTAATAAAAATAGAGAACCTTATAGAGATTTCCATTTCCCTGAAGTGTTCTTAATGAAAAGTCATCGAGTTCTCAGAGAACTCCATAGCGGGTTGCTATAGGACGCCTTGAGTTCACCCAAGAAAGGGGCTAATCCCTGCCCATTACTGTCGCGAATAGCTCATAATATCAAGCGAGCGCCATAAACGCCGCAAGCAATACAGGATATTTCGGCGTCCCCAACCCCGTAACGGGATCCCACCCAGCAACAGAAGTAAAGCCTGCCGTCCCACACCCTTGATTGCCCCCAGTGGTGATATCTGTAAACGCCCCGGGGTTAGCATACAAGGTCGGATTAATAAACCCCACAGCGCTCTTCCCAGCAGCAATCCTCTGCTCATTGATCAGCGTGATAATACTTCCAAACACAGGCGCCGAAGCGGACGTCCCATAAACCAATGACAAGGAGCCATCCGCAGCAACAACATAGTTGGCACCGTTGGCAGACACATCGGGAAAGCCGCGTACGGTTTGGGAATTATTGTATTGCGTGGCTGTATACGAGGGCTTGTGGGATGTGAAATAGGTGGAGATGGCGGAGGATTGGTATGAAGGCATGGCAAAGACGTTGCTGAAGCCGCCACCGGAGTAAATTACTGTTTCGCAGGCTTCTTCGGGGTTAGTTGCTGTGACGGCTGTGTTGGGCTTGATCTGCGTGGCGCCTACGGCCGTGATGTAAGGGCAGGTGCCGGGGAAGGAGGGGTTGAATGTTCCTGAGCCGCCGGAGTTGAGGGTTCCTCCTGCGCACTTGGCGCTGGTGCAGCATTCGGCGCTGTTTCCTGCTACGCCATTGTCTCCAGAGGAGTAGAGAACTGTCACCCCGGCGAGACCGAGCTTCATATACTCGTTGCATTGACGGACCTCGTAGGCGGCGGGTAGATCGGCTTCGTTGTACCCGTATGAGGTTGAGATCACGGAGGTAGGTGCGAAGGTACCGCAGTTTGCTGCTCCTTTGTAGCCGCCTGAGGCTGTATCGGGATAGATGCCATCACTGAGTTTCAGCGTTAGTTAGGACAATAGCTGAAGAGAAGACGGGACTCACTAAGTTGCATCATCTCCTCCGCCTGAAGTGCAGTATGATGCATCGATGGCATCTAAGAAGTTATTGAAAGAAGCGCCCTCGACAGTGTCACCTGTTTGGTACAGCGTGACCTTTTGTGGGTACACTGTATTTTGTTAGAAATTCTGACGAATGCTGTATTGTGCATCGGATCAACCTACCCAGTGCAATGGCATACTGAAGGTCGAGATCTGATTCACCGTTGTAACTGAAGCTCTGAGTTGTGGTCTGGACAATCGCGCCATCAATTAGATCAACAGTCGGACCTGTCCCGGATGAAATTTGACGTTGCAAATTGGAGTAGAACAGATTCAGATCAGACTGCAGATAAGCTTGCGGCGTGTATTCAACGATACCATATGAAGATCTGGTCATGTGAGAATGTGTTCAAGAATCAAGAACTTTGGAGAACCGTACTGTGCCAATGTACCATTTGTGAAATTGTACAATGCTCGAAGACAATCCGGGGTGATATAAGTAAAGCAATTCGCCAAACTGAACGTGACCTGAGGCTGCTGAACGGCAAGTTCTGCAATGGGGTTGGGATTTTCTTTGACCTGGGTGACCGGCTTAATTTTCAGGCTTCGGCCTTCCAGATCTCTTCGCTTTTTCTCCAACTTGACGGTGGCGTCAAAGTGGACAGTTGGCGTGATGAAATCAACGTGCTCTCGAATATGCGCTGGTAAGCTGTATGATTCGCAGGCCAGGTGGTCTTTGCCTGTCGTGGCGTGAGTATAGATGCCGTATTCCGTTTGAAGAAGGGACTCGGCCTCCTCGACAGTCACATCGAACTTGATCCAAGTGAGACTTTTGGACATCTTGATTCTCTCGGAATCAATGCCGCTATCGACGAGCCACTCCTTAACTGCAGCAATAGTGGTTGTTGATGGGGCGAACCTCTCTTTGATCTACTTTTGTTAATTTTAATCGGAGTGGAGAACCTCAACTCACCAACCTTATCAAATGTCCAGTGCTTGCCATAGTTTGGTGACGTAGGGTGAGAGACGTCCATCAAAACTGGGGATATCAGCAATGGTCCCATGGAGGAGGCAAATTATTGCTCACATTCATACCCACTATCGAGATTCCGCTGCGTCAACCCAATGGACATTGGGATGATAGCATCGCCATTCAGTTTGAGATCACTCCGACGAGACCACTTGTTCATCTGAGTTTCTCGCTTCTCGTGCACAACATGTGAGACAGGGGCCGGGGCGGCAAGGGCGATAGCCGCAAATCCAGTAACGAATGCCAAGACAGAGAGCTTCATGACCGTAGACAAAATGTAAAGATGGATAGCTGGATGCCCTTACAATGGGGTAGCTTGACGAGATATATAGCTAGGAGTTTCGGGCATGGTCCTCCTCAAGCTCTGTGGCTCGCCCAATACAAATAAAGGCACGCCCGCGAGGTGCCATTAAGGTTGTCCGTGCTAAAGACCAAGACATTCCCGCTGTCAGAATCTCGTCAATGATAAGGCCTCCGCAATGTTACATGCGCTTGGAAACTGCACCCTCAATAGGAAGGTTCTTAAGTTCGGGGGAAAATCAAGTGCCTTTTGCTAAAGTGGTAGATTCGACCTAACCTTGCGATGCCACAGGGATGAAATATGTGTCTTGTCCAGACTCCAGGATTGCAGAAGCTGCGGTGAGCTAAAATAGCATAGCTATTAGACTACTGCTAACTAAAGGAGAATTGACTGCCATTTCAGGTTATTTTCTTGACGATTGTCAGAAGTTAGTCACCAGGGCCATTCCTTTAGGAAGGTATGCAGAAAAAACCAATACTTCAAAGGTGTGTGAGGACTGCGGAGGTGTTGCGGCGGTGCGATGAAGGGCCGTGAGTTGTGAGCATGTTCGTGATGTCCTCTTTTATCACAGGCATCCTTGATTCCTTATCAATGCACCAACGGTGAGGGGTGGTGATAAGCAAAAGAAGAGCTGACTACGAACGGATTAACCCCTGCTTGACTGCGAGTCGGCATTGAAGAGGCACATATTCAGGGATGGTGACATAAGTCGGCCTTATCGTGCTCAACGGCGAAGCGGGGGGAAGTGGGTCGTGGAGTGAGATCTGATTGAGGAAGGAGGTTTGGATGTGGAGGTCTAGTTAGACCTTGCTTTGCACACGCGCCGGCGCGACTCCACCTTTACAGATTGCGTCCGACCCATGAAGAAATGGACGAAATCCTCGTGACATCCTGGCTGTAGGCGGTAAAAGCCACTATAGCAAGTCAAGTACTCAATCACTTGACATTGGTCCTCGATTGCCTGTGATCTCCTAGCTCTTCAACTGTCCTCAAATTACAGCTGCTCAAGAGCTGGACTGTGGTCTAGAGCGTCTGAGCGTCCACTAGGGAGCTGGTGTGGCTCTGCCTGCATGCAAGTGACGCTTCTGGCTTGAATGCCCAGGAATAATACAGGACTTGAAGACATGGCACACAGCCATTCGGTGTACCGGATTTATGAAAACATATCGCTTGCACGCAAAGAGAGTCGATTTCGGGACGGAAATGGTGGTGTGGGAAAACTAGTGCGTCGTCTTACAGGAAACTGCCTTAGTCAGCAGCTCTCGGGCCAATTGCAGCACCCGGATTTTAGTGTGTAACTAGACACTTCCTCACATAAGAAATAGGTTTCTTTATATACAAAGTACTCTTCTTTTCCTAAAAGTATTTTATTAACTCATATATATAATATATTATAATAATAAGAGCTTAGAAATCTTGAACTTAGAAATACTATTATTAAATAAATTATATTTAAATAAAATTTTAAGAGAATTATAATTAAAATAAAGCTTAAAACTTATTATTAATCTTTAATAAAGCTAAAAATATAATATATTGAAACTCGATTTTATATTTAATATATAATACTTGTATTAAGCTTATTATTATATAATTATATTTTTTATTTTTTCGAAAATTAAAACTTGCTTTAGTTTCTTTTCTTAATAAATTCTCTTTATATTAAGAATTACCTGTTTTTATATATTAAAGGCCTAGCTTATAGTAAAGAATTATATTATAATATAAGTTATAGAATTATTATATATATATAGAAAATACTAGCCAAAATTATTGAAATTCCGGCTAATATAATAGATATATATAATAATATATAGACAGATATTAGATATTATAGATCTAGTTTTCTATTTTAGGTAAAGCTTATAATTAGAATTATATAAATAATCGGAATTATACGAATTATATAGAATTATATTTCCTAATTAAATAAAAGGCTTTATATATTTGGCTAAGTACTAGAAAATATATAAAGAGATGCTTCTAGCTTTAAAAAGAGGTATTAATTAGTCTTTTATTAGAATTAATTCTTGGAATTAGTTATATTTATAAGTATTACTCTATAGCTTATTTACCTTAATTACTTATATATTACTTTACTATTATATACTTTATATTCTAATTAATTTAATTTTTAGAGAATAGTTTATTACGAGATAGTTAAGCTATTAATAAATAAAACTATTAATAGCTAAAGTATTAACTAGAAAAAGCGCCTCTATTATTACTAGAATAACTCAGCTAGATATCTAGAAAAGTATCTAGTTAGGTACTCTTTATATTACCTAATTAGAAAAAGGAAATAGAACTTAGATATTTCTAGAACTAGCTAGTAAAATAATAATAATAGAGAAATTAGTAGCGGTTTGCTATTATATTACTAAATTAAAAACAGAAATATAATAGAAAAAGAATTTAAAGAAGTTAGAAGCTTAAATCTATTATTTTAAAAACATTCAGATACCTAATATAAAATCTATTATAATTCCGGTAATACTCTTAGTTTAAAAGGCTTTAAAAACCCGAAAACTGCTTATTTATAAAAGAAAGAATATTAAAGAATCCCAGAACTTTTTTTACTAAATAGAATTATCTAAGCTACTAATATAATAAAGATTATATATTATACTTTCTGTTTTAAAAATATAAAAAGTAATTAATAAATATTAATATTATAAATTAGAAGACCTTTATTAAATTTATAAAAAATTCTATTTTAAATTTAGAAAACTATAATAATAATGCCTTTACTAAATTTAAAAATACTAAATAATAGCTAGGCTAAAGTATTTAAAGCTTTATATCTTATTTAAATAGCCTATTAGATAATTTAGATTATATAAATTTATTATAAAAGCAAAATAACTTATTTAATAGCTTAAGATAAAAGATTTGAAATAAGATTAATTATTAAGGAAATATTTTATAAGAAAGAGAAAAGTTTATTTCTATAGCTATAAGAATTAAAAATAATTTAAATCTATTTATTTAATAGAAATATAATAAGCTAATAAAATAGTAAAAGAAAAAGAATAGAAGAAAAGAGAAAGAAAATAATAAAAGAAAATAAAAAAGAAATATATTTCTATTACGAGATTTATAAAACCGAAATAATAAAGATATAGTAATAAAGTCTAATATAATACTTATATTAAGATCTATAAAACCGGATATAATTTACTTTATTTACTAGAAAAAGAATTATTATATTATTATATACCCAAATTAAAAGAAACCGACTTATTATAACTATAATAAGTCTAGTTATAAAATATATAAATATCTAGAATTAAAGAAGTCAGGAAATAAATATATTTTATAATAGTTATATTTATTTATATTATAAAAAATAAAGTACTTAAAACGAGAATAGTAATTAAAGTTATTATTAAAATAAAGAAAAGTAAATAAAGAATTAAAGTATTAATTAATTCAGATATAGAAGCCAATTATATAAAAAGAAAATTAGTTTTAAATATAAATATATTATTAATATTAAAAGTAATTTCTTTATTCTTATTAGAAAAAAAAAGATTTATTTATATAGAGATTATATTTTTAAAATTATTACCAAAAATATATTAAAGAACTAAAAGAAAACTAATATATATTTTATATTATATAATTTTAATCTAAACTATATTAATATAATACTTGAATTTCTATAGCTTTATTAGATTAATTTTCTAATTTCTTTTAGAAAAATAATATAAAAATACTATATTTAATTATAAAAGATTAAAATTCTAAATATTAGAAAGTTTATTAAAGTAATAAAATACAAGATATATATTTTTCTATTAATTACTTATTTTATAATAGATAGCTAAAAGATTACTACTATTATTATAAATGAAATAGTTATATTTCTTAAGAAATATTAGAATCTTTTTCGAGTATTTTCTATAGAAACTATAAATATATTATCTGACTATTATATAATAAAATATTATATAAATCTGGAATTAGAATTCTAATTACTATATAGTTTTATATATATATTATTAGAAAAAGAACTTAAAATTCTTTAGAAATATCTTAATACTAGTTTAGAAAAAAAAAATCTATTATTTTATTAGCCTAGCTAGTATTCTAATTATATTTATTTCAAAGAAAAGAAGTAGCCTATATTTATATATTAATTACTAGAATCTGAATAAAATTATTATTAAGAACCAAATATTATTATTATTTATTAATAAAATAATAAATAAGCTTTATAAAATAAAAAAATATATAAAGCTAAACTTAAAAAATATTTATTATTAGTTATAAATACAGGAAAGTAATAAGTAAAAAACAGTATTTCAAATATATTATAAATATTTTAAATACTATATTATATTTTTTAAACTATTTAATACTTTAGTAATATTTCAGATATATATTAATTATATATTAATAGGTCTTATAAATATTATTTATATAGTTTATTTAGATAATATTTAATTTATTTAGAGAATCTAGAATAATATATAATAGTAGTTTAATATATTTTTAAGTAATTATAATAGTATTAGCTTTTTATAAACTTAGTAAAATATAAGTTTAATATAAAAAAATAGATTTTCTAGAATTTATAGTTAGCCTAAATAATATAAAAATAAAAGCTAGTCGAATTATAGCTATTAGGGAATAGCTAGTTTTAAAAAATAATATTCGAGAAATTCAAGTATTTCTGGGTTTTACTAACTTTTACTAGAGATTTATTTATAAATATTTTAGAATAATAAAAGAATTAACTAATTTATTAAAAACTAATAGAAACCTATAATATTATTTTAGCTAGATAAATAAGGCAAATAAGGCTTTTAAGAAACTATAAATTATATTTATAATAGTATTAATTTTTTATTATTTTAATCTAGTCTTAAAAAATTTATATAAAAATAAGTATTCTAGAATTTATAATTATAAATATAATTTTCTAGTTCTTTAATAAAGAAATAAAAGCCAAATAATACTT